TACCACTATTGTCGAGCTCAGACGTTTTTTAGCCATGATTATAAACTTTTATCGCCCGCTTCTTACCAAAGGCAGCCGAGACCCAAGCTTCACTGAATGAACTCTTAAAAGACTCACGTAAAAATGATAAACGCCCTGTTCCTTGGAACGACGAACTTAATCAGGCATTTGAAAAATGTAAACACGACCTTAGTAATGCTGCAACTCTCTCCTATCACTCTCCTAACTAAAAGCTGAGTGTTAATGGTCGACGCTTCTGACATTTCAATCGGAGCTGTCTTAAACGTTCGATATTCTAATGACTACCAGCCGCTAGGATTTTTCTCGCGTAAGCTGTCCCCTACAGAACAAAAATACAGCACGTATGACAGAGAATTATTAGCTATTTACACAGCTATTAAGTATTTCAAGCATAATCTTGAAGGTCAACACTTCACTATATTTACTGATCACTGACCTCTAACTTATGCATTCGCATCAAAATCAAATTCTGCTTCCCCGAGACAAATTCGACATTTAAATTATATAGCTCAATTCAGCACTGATATTCAGGTTCCAGCAATGTCGTCGAGGATACTCTCTCACGTAATTCAAGGGCATCGATGCCAATTGCACCACTGGATTTTCACTCTTATTGCTCACTCAGCAAGCCACTGATGAGGAGTTAAAACGTCTGAGTGAAGACCCAAACTGCTCATTGAAATTCCAGTCATTACAACTTACTCGGGACCTCCAACTATTGTGCGATACCTCTAACAACAGACTTGCGACCTTATGTACCACTTGAGTTCAGGAAAAAAGTTTTTGACTGTTTTCACATAACCTATCGCACCCAGAGTATCCGGGCTTCCAAAAAGCTCATACAAGAAAGATTCGTTTGGCCATCCATGCTAAAGGACATTGCCAACTGGACTCATTTCTGCATCATGTGCCAATGTTCAAAAGTTACCCGGCACACACACACACATAGCCCTTTGGAAAAAATTGTGATGCCCATCCGAACGATTCGACCATGTTCATATAGACATCGTCGGTCCTCTGCCACCATCTGAACGGTTATCGATATCTACTCACCTGCATTGACAGATTTACTCGTTGGCCAGAAGCTTTTCCCATTCAGGACATTCTCTGCTGACTCTGTGGCTCGACAATTCATCACCGGTTGGATTGCACGATTTGGTGTACCATCAGTTGTGACTACTGATCAAGGTCGACAATTCCAGTCACACCTTTTCGCTTCTCTGACATCTATGCTTGGAATACGCCGAATTCGCACCTCACCATACTATCCTTCCGCCAACGGCTTAGTGGAATGCTTACATCGCGACTTGAAAGCAGCCCTGAAGTGCCGTAATGACACCCGTTGGACTACTTCACTTCCTCTTGTGCTTCTTGGTTTGCATTCTTCAAGCAAGACCTCGCAGGTACATCCGCTGAACTTGTCTACGGCACACCCCTTCGATTACCATCTCAGTTCTTTCAGCCATCCTCTGCTCCAGTCGATCCAGCATTCTTTGTCCAGACTTTCCGAGAGGCGATGAAGAAGCTGTCTCCGACTCCTACTTTGTGCCACAACAAATCTGCCCCTCTCGTGCACCACGCACTGAGCACTTGCACTCACATGTTTGTGTGAAACGATGCGGTAAAACCCCCACTCACTCCTCCATACGAGGGACCCTTCAAGGTCTGTGCACGTAACAATAAGCATTTCACCGTTCTCGTGCGCGACAAGGAAACCATTCTGAGCATAGATCGTCTGAAACCTGCTTTCTTCGAAGCTTCAAACACTCAGGTTCCTGTGACCAGCGATCCTCCTGACTCCCCGGATCCAACTGCTACTCTGGATACTCCTCCTTCGACCGATCTTACACTTCCTCCCAGTGCTCCACCAGTCGTCACACGATCGGGAAGACGTGTGCGCATCAACACCAGATATTTGTGAACTGATTTTTTCATCGTACCTTTGGTACTCAGGGGGGGAATTACTGTGGAGAACTCTTTATTATTATTATTTGTCCGCTGCTCCGAGAGAGGGCGCTACCAGCTTTCTCCCTCTTCCTCTCTGGAGGAAAATTCGAACTGGTTACTCGGTTCCTTGGCTGCCGTCGGTGAAGCCACGCACTCACCTCTCTTTCCCTCCGTGATGTTATCGTAGCTGTAATATGACTTTCTTGATTTTTACTCATGCGGACTTGCGAACTGAAAAATGCTCATCTTGTAACTACATGCAATGTGATTGTGTATAAGTGAATATATGTTAAAATATATATATCATCCTAGAATTAAATATAAATGTTAATATTACCAAGTCAGATTTTGTTAACATTCAACGTGCAATCAAAAATGGCATCCATCAACAACAGCTATAACAGTATTAAAATAATAAAACCATTAGATATACTGAGGGAATATTGGAGGGGGGATTTGGAAGGGCTAATTTAAGGATACTCATTAATTATTAAGTCATATTAAGGGTATGGAAAAGAAAACTTTCACTCTTCTAACTTCAGGTCAATTATTCGTTTAATGATCTTGCACGGCAAAAATGTAATTACCACAATGATGTTAACTCCTGCAATAACAACATTTTAGAATTTCCCTATTATTCATATATTATTTGCCCCTCTGAATTTGCCAATTTAAAAAATAAAATCATTTAAAATCGATGCAACCATTCTGAATATCTTTCAAAATTCTAGACATGCCTATTTCATGAACCACTGCAAGAAACTGAATTTAAGTGTTGGGAATAGGCAATGTTTAGTCTACAGTATCTGTTGAAAGGTATCAAGCATGATACTCACTATTTTGAACTGCCATATTTGGGAAACAGGTAATGCTATGCACAAAATTAAGCTAGTTTTCTCAAAAACATATTAATGTGGTTAGTTTTAATAGATAATAACTTCATCTGTTAAGAAGGGAATGACATATCAAACTAACATAAATAAACTGTTAATTCTTCACTCCAGATGATACTACTTAAAACTGGCAATTCAGAAACAAATTGAGATTGTCTTATGAATTATGGAAGAAATGCCATTTCTACTGTTGATAAATTTAACTTTAACTCCGTCACTTAAAATCGCAAGTAGCAATGTTATAAAAAAATTACTGAAATGGATTTAATTAATGAAAAAAATTAAATCATAACAAAGCAACAACCACCAGAGCTGCAGCTATACATCAGGTACCTTTGGAAATAAGAGTCGAAAATGAATGAAAAAGTTGTTACACAAAAACAAATGGCATGTATATGAATGTTCAATTTATGCAAAAAATGAATCGAAGATGACCTAGATGTATGTGCCATGTTTCTATGAAAGATTCTTTTCAATTGTGAAGCTCCTTTTTCCTCATGAATGGTAAAATTAACAATAATATTCACAGATAATGGCATGATTAAATACATTACGAAGTGGTCTGAAGCACTACTACATAGCAGAGTACCGCTGAATTAAGAAACAGCTCCAAAATGGTGAAGATATTACTGCTCACAAAATAACTTCTTAACCATCAGATTAGTCAGATTCAAACATTGTACTCACTACTGTGAAATTTTTTTTTTTTTCCCCACTTTTTAGCTTTGTTATTACGCATCATTTTCTTCATAATTACATTGTATACATTTCGACATATAAAATTTTAAAAATTTTAAAAGCAATAAAATTTTAAAAATTTTAAAAGCAGTATGTGTTTAGAATTCCCAATGAAGTCTTAAAGGTTGGCATACAATTTTCTTTCTAGTCTTTTCTCAAGTTAATTTCTGTTTTGTTTTTCACTTCAGTGGCGACTTTGGAGCATCGAGATATCTGAGTGAGCTTCGCTTAGATGTGCTTTGCATTGTGTTCTATTTAAAGTTCTTAGTTGAAGTGTAACTAGTGATTGTGCTCTGTGATATTGAGAAGAGCTGTACAAGTATTTTTGTCGAAAGTTCCACAAATGTGAAATGTTTCTTTTGGTAAAATAAATTTTATCACTCTATTATCAGTTCTGTGTGTATTCAATCCATTGCAAACTTGTACGTAAGAAAGAATATGTATTTTTGTTTATGCATCAAAGAAAAATTTTATAAATAAGATACTGGTAGTAAGGTTCTCACTATTTATTCAAGTCTTTTCCCATTTGGAAAATTTTCACTGGTAACTTAGAATGTGTTATATAATTTATTTAATGATAAATTAAATATGTTGGAGCTATTTTAAATAAATAACAGTCTGAAGATTTAATATTTAGCTATCAGTATATATGAATAATGAAGTGTAACCAACAGAAATATCTTTCAAGCCCCCAAACTTTATATTTCATATAGAAAATAAATATAAATATGATTTTTTTCTCTTTGCAATATTATTGTTTTTATGGATATTTAAATAAACACTTAGTAAGCAAAAATTAAAATTTAAAATATTTTTATCCTATTAATAAAATTTCTCATTTTGTTGGAAAAAAATCTGATGTGGACGCCACATGACTTTTTTGTATGGCCTATTATACTATCAACTATATACATATTTTGCTGTGCTTTACTTAAACTTATTTCCTCGAATTACTTAATTAACTGATCCATCAAGGAGATTTGAAAATTACATCAAAAATTAAAAATTTTGAAATTACATATAATGGTCAATTTTTGTCATACAGGAGTAAAAATTCTTGCCCCCCCTCCAAATAACGACTATAAAACTTTCTCAAGCTGCCCAACCAGGTTAGTGGTTAGTGATGCTGATTGACCAAAGACCAAATTCAAATCCTGGAGAAGACGTGAAAGTTTAGTGGAAAGTTCCAGAAAAACACACTGTTTCTTTGAATAAAATAAATTTTATCAAGCTATCACACTGTTTCTTTGAATAAAATTAATTTTATCAAGCTATCATAGTTTCTTCTTGCATTCGATACATTATGAACCCATGAGCATGCAATGGTATTGACAAGTAAATTAGAAGATAACAGGAAAAGAAGAGAAATGGATTTTATTCATCTTAAATTCATTTACTCACCTGACAAAAATAAACTTTTGCTTTTGTCATCCTGAGGTAATGAATTTTGTTTATACTATAAGAAGGAAAATAATAAAAAGTTAGAGAAATATAAGGACATCCATCTTGAAATTTAACTTTTGTTAATTTTTATAAAGCATCACCAATACAAGTTTTTAAAAATAATCATTAAATTTGGTCATAACGATTGCTTAAAGAAATTAATTTAAAAAATCACAAAGAAATAAAAGTTACATTTTTTTAATGTAACAAAGGCATCAGTATACTGCATATAAGTTAAAATATTTGTTTAGCACATATAAGCTAAAATATTTGTTTAGCAGACATATATTTCAGCCAAGCACATTTTAGCAGACAGAAAAAGTACACATTACTATATATTATGAGAAAGTTACAAAAATCTGGACAAATTATGAGAAAGGTAGTAACAAATAAGCATGCTACTGCTTTAATCCAAACTTCACTGCTTTAAATGAATGGCATAAGGATTAAAATTTACACACACAAAATAATTTCTCAACAATCAAGTATGTAAATCAAGTATGTAAAGTTTTCAATTATTTTTTCGTGTATTGTTCAAAATGAGCATATTCACAAAACTCATCTGTTATATCATAAAAAATACTGCTCTAATAGGAAAGGGGATACCGTTAAAATATATAACAATCTAATCAATATACAGCGTGTTTCAAAAAGAATATACGTATTTTGAATGCGTATATTTATTAAACTGTATGGCACACGAAATGAAAACATATGTTATATATATATAATATATATATATGTAAAAACTATATGATATATAAGTTTCATACACATATACGTACGAACCTCTCAAGTTCAGATTACAGATGTACAAATATATGCTCCAACACATTAACACATCGATAATCAAATTCCTCCTAAGCATGTCGGTCATCATGATGAGTTATGACAGTACAGATCGGTTCTTCAACCTCTTCCAGGTTCTGTGGAGGGGCTACATAAACATTGTCTTTAACCCCTTCGCCGGATGTAGGTATACGTGCCAGCAACGAACACACTTACCTACCGGCCGAACGCAGGCGTGCCAGAGCATTGTGCATTCTCTCCGACTGTCGCGTATTTGTGCCAGAACTGGAACGTTTTCACACTATAATTCTGCCACAAGATGGCACATGTATGGCCATATGGTTTCAGATACATGGCATTAGACCTTACTTGAAATGAAGAGAAGCATGACTCACATACACGTGTTTGATTATATAAACAAACGGGAACTAAATGTTTCCGAATGGCGTGATATGACGTCGCTTTAATCGCACTTTATTCGGACTGGTGTTGTTTATTGTAAGTAGAAGTTTAGATGCGCTAAAGCGTTGAGTATTTCCATTTACGTTCAGTTTTTAGAAAAAATTAGATCTTGTTAGACGTGAATTCTTTTGTTTTTACCGTTTCAATGTCGAAGCGTCGAAATGTTTAAAGAGCATAAAATATCAGAAATGATGCAAAATTTCAGGATATTATTCTGAAATTCTGATATTCTGGATGACTGAAAGTTAACTGCAGACATTTTCCAAAACTTTGTCAGAAGAGACTGAAGAAAATGAGACGACGATGCATCGTTTGTTCCATTCCCGGAAAAATCCCCAAAACGGCAAATGAGTTATTACGAGTTCAAGGAATGAAAGTAGGACTGTGTGTAGATCCCTTTTAAAATTTTCATACGAAAAGAGAATTTAAGTAATATATTTAATTTTAGATTATAATGTTAAAAGTCATAAAATGGTGAGTAATTAAAATAAAAGTGTAAAATATGCATTTAAACAGAAATAAGTAATTAAGTATATACAGTCAAAAGTCGTTAACCGGACTCGGGGACTTCGGCGATTCCGAATATCGATTTTTCCGGATTATAGATCATCAGTTTAAATCTCGTAAGATGGCATGCAGAAATCTAAAATTAAAAAGATGAAACCATAATTTATGAAATAAAGAACAATTATGATTAAAGGGTATCAAAATTTACAAAATAAATCTTAACTGTATTTGTTTACTTATTAAACATTTCTTTCAATGTAAGTTGTTAAGTGCTTCATTTTATGTGATAATACTTTCTCTTTAATTCTAAGAACGACATAATTTCTTGTTCAGTTACGAAGTTCCGCTGTTCAAGTCCCGTAATTGCTGTGCCAAGAATATCGACTAACTTGTCAATCGAAATTTTTTCGTTTTCACTAACCTCTCTGTCACATTCTTCATGTCTTTATCCATTTTTTGCAGCAATTCCACTTTTTGTTTGATGGACATCGAAGCATACTTTCGTTTTGTACGATCCTTTGGGAGCTCCAGAATCGGAAATTCTATTTGGCATAATCGAAAGTTCAAGTTTACTTTTATAAAATTACTCTTACAGTCTGCAAAAAATAATAAGCCGGATCCAATTCGAAGATTAAGGAACAACGCAATCATCAACATTCACTGAAATAGATAATTTTAGCTTATACCGTCCGTTATACGTAAAATGCAAACGCGAAAACGTATTCTGCGCTTGCTCACACGCATATGCGCAGTCGTAAAAGGTCTTACGCGCACGCGTAAACGCCTATGCGCATGTGTCAACACGGCTTTGAGGTCCGGATTATAGATCATTCCGGATTATGGGTGTCCGAATTAACGACTTTTGACTGTATATAAAAATATCTATAAAGCATAAGCCGTTTAAATACTCTATAGAGCATTATTAAACAATGCGTTGATACTTCGGAAATTTCATGGATTTAAGCTTAGTAGCAAAAAGGCCCCCGGCTCTGGAAAGACGCTCGCGGAAGACACTGCTGGCCTCCGCGATAAGCGCGCGTTTTCGCTACTCGGCTCGAAGGGGTTAATGAAACCCCACAGGGTGTCAAATCCGGTGACCGTGGACGCCAGCTGAGGCATGCTAAGATACCAGTTCCTTGACGACCAATCCAACGGTTTGGTAGAATTTCATTCAGATAATCGCACACTTGGCGACAAAAGTGAAGGGGGTACCCCATCTTGTTGAAAAATGATGTTGTCTTTGTGGAACCTTGGTAACAACCAGTTTTGTAACATAGCGAGATACTGCTGAAAGTTAACAGTGTTTCCATCAAAGAAAAATAAGTCGCTTCACTGAACACAATGTGTTGTGCAAAAGTGTTATCATTGTCAATAGACATCAAAATATTACATGCTTGTTCAGGCCAGAGTTTGTTAACAAATGTAACTTGTAGGACTCCCAACTGCCATTTGACAACATGCAAAGGAGGACGTTGGAAAGCAGTTAAATCATGCAACATTTTCGTCGGGAACATGAGGGAGGCCAGGACTCTTTCCTTTACATACACATCCTGTATTTACAAACTGTCGATACCATCTGCGAATGTTCCACCCATTCAGAGGATTACTTTGGTACTTCAACTTGAAAAGCTTTTACACTGTAATCATGGAATTGCACTTTGCAAACTAGAGAACACAAAACGATTTCTGCTGTGACGTAGCCATTTTAAACATGTGACGGTTACCACGCAAAACAGAAGACAACTGACGTCAAGTGGCTTTTAATATAAACTAGACTATGTATTCGTTTCACCAATAGCCGAGCCGAGGCACAGTAATTGATACTTTCATATAATATATTATTTTGAAACACGGTGCATTAAATAAATGCAAATTTTTCATATATTATTCTTATTTGATTAAAAGTCATCTTCATATTTATATACTCTAAGATTCAAAAAATATTTTATAAACAAGTATAAATTTTTATGGAGGGAACAAAAAATGCATGTCTACAAAGCTCTATTGCTGCCTCTAGAATATTCGAAACATTTATCATTTCATATATTCGTAACATATGGGTTAACGATATATATCATAAATATATGAATATAACTCTGACAACGGTTGTCTTAATTCACGTAAAATGATTTATTTGAAAAAAACAAACAAAGAAACCCTTGTTTTCTTCAAAGCATACTCATCTACCTAAAAGTTTCAATCAAAAGATTTACAAAATTCACAGAATTGGGAATTTTTCAAATTCTTGTTCGGTTGTAAAAATATCAGTTCATTTATGTACAGTAATTTTCCAACTACAAAAGTAAAAAATTTTCATTAACAAAAATAATTCTCCTTCCCCCCCTGGATTAATAGATTTGCATGTTTCATGTTGTAAAATTAAAAGTTTGCATTGGCTTGAAAGCTTATACTAGATACAGCACACTTTCTTCCATCTATGCAAAGAGCGAAAAAGTTTAGCTTTTAAGCGGTTATTTGTCCAAGCACAATATCTGTCTAAATAAAACTTAAAATATTAATAATTTCACAACGAAAGAAGTTACAAATTGAACACATTTAACCCCTTAACTGCCGCGGGCGTATATATACGCCTTGCTCAGCCGATGCGTTAACTGCCCCCCAGATGCGCAGCCGATGCGTTAACTTTGCGAATAATTTTAGGTGTAGCAGCGCAAAGCAAATGATAGCAGTTTGGAAGGACGTATATATACGCCTAGGGCAGTTAACGCAGCGGCTGAGCAAGGTGTAATATACGCCCGCGCAGTAAGGGGTTAAAAAATAAAGAAAAATTTAAAAATATTTAAAAAATATATAAAATGTTTAAATTACATTTTATAAAACTTGGATTCAATTTATATATTATTATGAAGAAATACTTGAAAATTTAACACAGGAAATACAGATGTAGTAATATTAGCAAGCAACATGTAAATTTCCAGAACTACATTGAAAAATCAGATAGGTAATTTTTTCCATTATAAATAATGAGTACAAATCATTGTAAAAATAAGTCTTATTTATTTATACTGAGAAAAGCATAACAAACCTGAGGTAAATCTACCAATTTCTGCAACTGAATACCAACGCCAGGTCCCATATGAGAAATATGGTTAAAATTTGTAGGACCAGAAATCAGTCTAGACCTTCTGTCAACATTTCTGAAACACAATGAATAACATTCAAAATGACAAAATAATTTACTCTGATAAATGGTACCTGTAATCATTTCATTATTATTCCAAACAATCTAAAAAGAATACGCTGACTTCTGTTCTTACTTGAATTTTGCTTCATTTGCCAAATACATCCAAAAATTCAATTTGTTTAATGAAATCATTTGACATAAAATTTTAATACATAAAATTAGAATTCTCTTTTTTTAATAAGATAAATAAATAAGGTGGTGATGCATGCATGCACATACACACACGAAAAAAAGAAAAAGAGATAGAGAGAGATTAGATTCCCACCTCCAAATAAAATCTAACACAGATTTAGCAATTTCTCACTAAAACTTACACTAGACATGTTTCAATTTTAAATATAGTTTTCTTTTCAAAAACTAGGAATGAAACTAAGGGTTTTTATTTTGGGGTGGGATAAAAAAAATTAACAGTTCATGAAAATTACCCATGTCTTCATAATTAAAGATAATGAAAGGTCTAACAACATCTGGTAAGGAAAAAGAGAAAGCAGAAATAAATCACAAAATTATGGTGTTCAATGTCTTGACAAATTCATACTACTGTAAAGAAATTAATACATCTAATTGCCAATTAAAAGATCCCAATTCCCAGTTCAGTTCATAGTCAGAACATTTCATATTTCCAATATTTTTATTCAGAAAGAGGGAGAATCTTAGTGGTTTTTATATCATTATTCATAACAGGAAGATTTTAATACACATAGGCAGCTTCAATTTTAATACACATAGCAAAAAAACTTCAGGAGGAGAATTATATTTACTTGAAGCTTTTCTCACACAAATATAATTCCAATTTTATTTACTAACACAAATTCTTAATATTTATTTTCCTTCCAGTCTTCATATAGGTTAATTCGTGATCTATTTCTCTTTTCTTTTTTCTCAATAGATGACATTAGTTATTCATATATATTGTTTTACAAGTTAAATTAAATACAGTGAAGTAAAATTAAATTTTAATAATTCTCTTGCGCCATTGCTGCAAGGAATGAAATTTGAATTTAACAAATATTCTCTATTCGTAAAAAGCTAATATAAATTTAAGATTTAATTAAGAAATTTTAATTGCAAAAATAAAAAATAAAAGATTAATTATTGCTGTGAACTAATTTACAATATCATATAAATTCGAAGAGTATATGTAAATTAATAAATTAATTTGGTCTTTAAAATTTATTTAAAAAAATTTTTTTTGAGATTATTTTTCTGGAATTTTATATTTTTTCATGGTTTTAGATATGTGCACTTAATTTACATATGCTCTTAGAATTTAAATGATATTGTAAATTAGTTCACAGCAATAATAAATCCTTTATTTTTGCAATTAAAATTTCTTAATTAAATTTTAAATTTATATTAGCTTTTTACGAATAGAGAATATTTGTTAAATTATATATGCATATTCTAATAATGAAATAACACAATGGTACCCTTTTGAACATTCTTCACTCTTGAATTCCTTCCCACCTACAGAACATATTACTCATTTATTAACTACTAGAGAAGAAAGCCTAATTTAAAATTCATAATAATTGGACTGCAAATTTTAATTTTAATGTCAATTTCTATTGAGAATAATGTTTGATCTTAGAAACAATGATCTGAATGAAAATGTTTAAAAAATCTTTAGGCACATAATCCAACTATCAACTAACAATACTGACTCTAAGAAATATTTTAAAGCTTATACCTCAAATAATTATTTCTAAAATCAAATACTAGCTATAATAATCCAGATTTTTCATAATACTACTTCATATACTATTTCAAAATATCCTTTATTAATACAGAAGAGAAATATGCCAAATAGAAACATAAAATTAGTCAGAGCAATAACTTTTTGTTGGGCATAGATTTCAGTCAAGACTCTTGTTGATTTCGAGAGCAAACAGGTACAGGATCTTCTTCATGAAGCAAAGAAATCTAATAGCAGTAACAGATTTCTTTGCTCCTGATGAAAAATAAACACGAGAGCAAATATCAGGTACAGGTTCCTCTTCATGGAACACAGAAATCGGATAGCAGCAGTAGCAGATTCCTTTGCTGCTGAGGAAAAGGGACCTATCCCTGTTTACCATCGAAATTGAGAGAGTCTTGACTAAATTCTATGCAAACACATTGTTGTTGCTGCACCAAATTCTTTATTAAATTTTGAAGAGAAAAATGTATTTAAATATTCATAATATGTTTAAGTACTATGCTGCATTTTAAAACTTATAATAAGCAGTTTTCTAAATGCTAATTTAATAACTTAATAAAAGGTACTGTGACTAATGCAATTATTTGCAGTAATAATAAAAACAAGTAAATCCCATGTGATAATTTTTATTTCTCCCTTGAATGAATGAATTTAATCTTGTGGAATTCTAAGACTTGTGTAATAATTCCTTCTAAATGTACAACTATTTAAAACAAAAAATAATCAAATCTTTCTTTTAATCCTAAAATATAATGTTATATTAATATTTCAAAGCAATGAAAAAGATAACACAGTGAAGAGTTCCACTTAAAAAAAATGTTTATATGAAGTAAATAAATTTTCATTATTAGAACTGAAAATTAATTTCAAACTAAGTTTTATTAAATAGTCCAACAATATTGTTACGAATTTGGTATTTAAAAAGCTAATGTTAGTTCAATTATAAATTAAATGGTTTTATTTCTCGCGCAGTGCAGCGCGTGACGAATATTAAAAGAAAGCTAAGCAGGAAAATTGAAAATACAAGAGCGCGTGCATTAAATAAATAAATATCTCTTTTTGATTTCGAGAAAGTACTGGAAAATTCTAGCGCGTGATTTTAAAATCTTATAAAAGGAGGCAAACATCTCAGTTCGCAGTAGTTGCTAAGTTTGTTGTTGTTTAGAAAACTACTCTTGTTGATTGTAGCGAATTCGCGGATTAGCGTTCTTTAGCTGTTTTGAATTACGTTCTACTGGACATTTGAGTAGTTAAAAGATAACTACTGTGAGATATTGTAATACTGAATGATAATTTGAGAAAATGTAAGCATTTTTGTTGTGATAATAATAAATTTTTGTTCATTTTTCATCGGACTTGTGCATTCATTTCATAACGAACCCGTACGCACGCAACAATATTTTTAAAAATTTTCAACTACTAAAACTCTTTAATTAAACATTTATATTAAAACATGTGCAAACAATTACTTCAAGAAAAAATTTTTGAACAGGGTTTAAATTCTCCAAGAGTTAATGATGTAAAATCCTGTGTAAAGAAGGATGGCTTTCCACTTCATTACAAGTGAAAATTTCGGCATTTTCATGATGCATCTGATTTCTGATTGGATATATATTGGAAGAAAAAGAATCCAAGGTACAAATTGACAGGGTCATTTTGGAATTCTAATCAAGAAAATATCATTTATTCATGACATTCTGAAAAGGCTTTGAAATTTCAGGGCCAAACCTGTAACATTTGGAGGGTTAAAATGCTATAATCTGAACTGTAAGTACTTACCCTTTTCCTGCTCTGTCCGGTTCTCTAACAGAAAACCGCCTACGAACTCTGTTAAGCATAGCTTTACTTTGTCTGCTTTTTACTGGATGTGCAGATGTATCAGGAACACAAACTCTGTTGGAACGATGCAAGACGTTGTGCAGGTAAATTATGTGTGGTAAGTCAGTGGCAAGCGAGAAACATAATACTCCATTGCGACACAATGGTTTAGTCTAAAATTATAATCAGAAATAAAATATTAAACTGCATTATTTCCATAGTTAAATCATATTAGTCAAATTTAATATTAGTGAATCCAACACAGCATTATCATGGCTGATAATCCTCGAAAAAAACTGATAAATAACATTATATACAGTAACATTTAAGGCAATTACAGATTCATATAAAGATATGCATTATATATTTACAATTTAATGTTAGATAACAAAAAATACCTATATTAGTGAAGTGCTGTGATCATTTTAAGGACACATTAAGAAGAACTACAATCAGAACAGTGGACAAATAGGGATATAGTTTTAAATTATTTTCCTTGAACCTTATCACTAAAGAATTATATATATATACGAGGGCCATCCAGGAAGTAGATTACGTTTCCGTCTGTGTCCGCTAGGGGCGGGGCTAGCGCGGCCATCTTGGGGTCAGAGCGTTGCGCAGCTCAGTCTGCATCTAGCCGTGCTAGTGAGAGGTTCGTGCTGTGCTCCGTTCAGATACTGTGACGGTTTGAAATGTCTGCGTTAATTGAAAATCCTGCGAGCTGCGAGGTGCGCTCAGTAATAAGGTTTCTGACTGCAAAAAAAACTGTAAACCGATAGAAATCTATCGGCAGCTTCGTGAAGTGTATGGGGACAACATTATCACTGAAGGTGGAGTGCGTCAGTGGGTCATAAGATTTCAAAATGGCCGAACCAATGTTCACGACGAAGATCGAAGTGGGAGACCCAGCATAGTGACCGCCGAACTTCTCGAAAAAGTCGATGCTAAAGTCCGTGAAAATCGAAATTTCACAATAACGGAACTTTCTTTGAGTTTTCCACAAAATTTCGCGAAGTTGTTGCACGAAATCATCAGCGAAAAGCTTGGTTACCACAAGTTTTGTGCAAGATGGAAGGCAAGAAGAGGTAACGAAGTGGTTGAAGGCGCAGGCGGCCGAATTTTTCGACGAAGGAATTTCCAAGCTCGTACATCGCTACGATAAATGCCTTAATTTGTATGGTGACTATGTAGAAAAGTAGTATTTGAGTGTGGCTTTCATCTGTATATAATAAAATTTGTTTCCTATACTTTGTTTATTTTTTTATTCCAAAACGTAATCTACTTTCTGGATAGCCCTCGTATATATATATAAGCTCATCTGATCATTATTAAACTGCCAACTCCTTAGTTGTTTGCTTATATACCGTGAGTACAGCATTCAAACAGTAAACATTCATTTTGTTTAATGTGCTCTCATTCTATGACAGTGAACAAAACACAGTTGTTTGATTACAAAATGTTGAAAGAGTCATTATAGTCATATTTCTCTAAATTTTTGACAATTTAATATTTTTCAAATAAAACAGAAATATTTTATTTATACCAAGAGTTACGAAAAATCAAAATTTTGATTTGAAATCAAATAGCAATATTAAGAAATCACCAAGATATTCATAATTATACCATATTTACCTGCCTATTTCTCCTTCTCATAAACCCCGTAGTATTTTAAACATACAAGCTGGAAAAACTTATTTCCTAATTTTCAATTTCAAGAGGACTCTCCTAAAAAATAAGCTATTCCTGAATTTCTCAGATTGACATCCTTTGTGCACACATTGCATGGCTAATTGCTTTCAGTTTTTCAGAATCTTAAGGTTTGGGCAAAAATCCTTCCCTGTCATAAAGGTAGGAAAGTGAAATGGACATAGTATAATTAAAGCAACCTTCTGGAGATTCAGTGTTGATTAAGTATTGACAAGAGAACTTTCTGCATTTTCAATTTGGAAAATATTGACAAAGAATTTAAAGGAAACAGCATTCTATGAAAATGTTGACAAAGAGCATCAGTTAGAATTTCTTTGGCAACATTTCTCACAGCAACACACTGGAATATTGAGTTTGAAATTCTAGACTATCTCCTCATCACACACAAAATAATTGCAACATTCAGCATCTCCTGTAACAACTCTTTTACAGAAGGTACACAGTCCAATAACCACATTTTTTCTTACAGTTCAAATCCTGATATTAAGGGAGCTAAAGATCTATAATTTGCTTCTTCCTGAATTTTTTTAATTTTTTTATCACAGGTCTTTGTCAGAAATAATATTTTTCACATTTAAATTATACGGCTTAACAAGAAATCCTGCTTCTGGCTAGGGATGGATAGCAAAAGCCAATAAACAAATAAAAAATACACTGTTAAAGACAATGCTTATACTAATATTTAGTATATATTGCTGATTTATATACTTTTAAACTTTTCTTTATTTATTACTCTTTTCAGAAATGGTTTATGTACTGCTTAATTTCTCCTCTAAATTATCGTGTAATGAAATGAGCAAGAAAGCTTGTGGAGGTAAATATGGTATTCTCCATTATTATTGGCTAAAAGCAAATAATAAAAGTAACAGATATAAACAATTATATCACATTCATATCATATCAGAACAATCAATCAATCATACCACTGAAAAGCACTGGAATCTTCAAGAAATAAATCTCATCAAATGCAAATCATTTCTGCCTTTAAAATGATATGAAAGTTAGATATTTTTTCAGCAGCTGTAACTCTCTCAAATTTTCCCAATATCATCAGAATTCAGATAGAAATATATTGATACTCCTTTTTATTTTTAACTCAAGATACAGCTGAGAATATCCTTTCAATTATAATATTAGTAATTGGGGTTAATTAGTAAAGACAAAAATAACAAAAAAGTTAATTTCATGGTCAATTTATATTATAAAGAAGCACCAGAAAATAAAACACATCCCAAATTTGGATTTGCCTACAATTGCTGTTTAAAAAACAAACATTTCTGATTGCCAAAGGGCTAACAAAGATTTATATACTTCATCTTGAAAAATTACCTCTACATACAATAGGGGCTCTTTTTTCCAAACATGTTCCTTCTCTACTAGTACATAAACCATGCCAAAATGAAAATACAAATTCACAAAAGAACTAAAAAATTTTTGATGCTTTAAAAAAAAAAAAAAAAAAAAAAAAATATTAAATTTGCCAATAGTTTCTTTTTACAGAATATAATTCCAATAATATGTCCTGCAAAAATTTTTATAGTTACTCAAAAAGTAATAAAATTTAATTAAAACAAATTCATTGTTCAGTGAACATAAGAACATACGAAGTCAACATAAGAACAGATAAAACCAAAGCTACAATTTTTTTATACTGAGCAGAAGAGGATACATGTTTTGTACTTCTTACATATACAGGTTAATTTTTAGCATTTTTGTGTCCATCTGTCATTAGTCACTAGGCTATGTTAAATTTAGCACACAGAAATCACTTTTTGGAGGGAGAATATACATGTGATTATCACAACAATGATTTCATTAGGGCAAAAAGCTAAGTGAAACCAAAAGCTTAATAAATTCATAAATGGGCCCCCTCCCCCAAAAAACATTTGATTTCAAGAACTTAAAATTGCTAGCCCGATAACACTATTACTACAAGAAAAAGAAGGGATATCTTATGCCAAAAACGTATTCTAATTCTTGATGTGACATGTAAAAATTACTTCATTATCTAATGAATCTAAAGCAAAATAATTTTTAAAGGAAACATATTTCTAATAAGTAATTAATGTTTCAAATGCTATAAAGACCTTATAACTTTTTTAAACAAAGATTTCCTTGCAATTCAGAGATTAAACTATTTTTGGTGCAGAAAATTCTGCACACTTTTTTGTTAAATCATATCACTTCATTCTTTCAGTTGTTATGAAATGTAAAATGCTGCCATACACTCTGAAGTGAAAAAAAAGTTTTAAAAAATGGGGTGAGATGTTTTTTCAGCATCTTGTGTGTTACCTTTATTTATTAAATATCATATTCTTCACACGTAAACCATAAAATTCAATAGCAAATTTGCAAAATAATTTTTAAAAAGCATATCTTTAGAATTTCCGATACACAGTCGCGCACGCTAGAAATTAAAAAGCAACCCCCCCCCCCCCCCCCGGGAACAGAGCTTCCATTGCTCCCTTTGAAATTGTTCAGTTTCTTAATCAAAAAATCATAAATGCATTACAAAATATCAAATAGATAATAAAACCAATTCCAAATTTGGGCTTCCGGATACCTAAATTCGGGTGGAGACGTATGTTAATCAAAATTTGATGGCTCTAGGCACCGTAGTTTTATCACAATAAGAGAAACATACATACACTTATACAGATTCTTCATTATTTAATTTCCTTAAATATAATATAGGGCCATAATATTTGGCGGCAACAACTGAAAAGTGATTCAGACTTTTAAAGTTTTTGACGCAAAATGCCAAAATGAAATTAATAGCCCTTCTAGGATAGCGCCCTTAAGGCTAAAAAAGAATTAAGTCCTCAAATGAGCCAAAATTTTAAATATTGGTATGAAATGGTTTTGAAATAGATTGAAAACAAAACAATAGAAGGCATGAAATAATACACTGATAATGGATGGTTTGCATAACTCTGAATAGCATATTAAAAGTAATCTTTATAAATGTAACACTTCGACTAAAATATCCACACTTGCAATACAAAAAAACTTCAAAACTTACAAGCCACATATAATTGTGCAAGAAAAGACATCTGCATTTACAATAGAAAACTATTAATGATCAATTACACAATTTATCAATATTTTCTTTAAACAAAAGGCCTACAAGTTAGAAACAAACCTTTTTAACATTTAGTGTCTGTAGCCATTCCCCACTTGCAGCATCAAACACGTCAACATGCGTTTCACTATACACATTTAAGTATCCATCTGTGAAACCTGTCAAACACAGCCAAATTAAAATCATTAATAAATAAATTTAAATATCTATAAATGAGAAAAATGCTTAATTATTTTACTTACTAACAGCTTCAGGAGGTGCAGGAAACATTAATTCTTTTTCTCTACTTTTCCTACCAAATCCATCTACATAAACTCCTAATTCTGCATTTAAAAATTACATATATCAGTATCTTTCAAGCTTTTGTAATGCTTTACGAAAAATTTTAAAAAGCATAAAGTATGAGCTTATTAATTTGACTACTATGATTTTTATAAAAAAATTTGGAACTCACGTGAAAAAACTAATAGGTATTCATTATTTGGCAACTCTACTGCAAGAAAAGGATCCATAAGATTGTGCGTGAGGAATGAAAGATCATTACAGTCTGTGTTAACAAGAGCTGCAACACAAAAAGTATGTTTCGGCAAATTCAAGAAAACAAACCATCTTAAATAATCATTATTTTTTTATGCACAAAACACATGTGCAATTGTTCTTATATCATAAAATCAGCAAACTGGTAATTATTATTTCATAATGTAACAATAAATCACCCATGAAGGGAATTTAATTAGACCATTGAAGCTCTTTTTACAGAAGGATAATTTTTGAGGATAGGAATTTTGTGAAACTTCTCAATTTTTATCAAAATACAGATCATCCTGAAAACAATCTACCGCTCCCCACCCCCCAAAAAAGTCCTTCTTACAGGTATAATTGATGACAAAGATTATAGTATGCAATAGGAAAACTTAAATACAAAATTTTTATGAATTGTGATAACTAAAAATTATTCAATATATATTATTAATACTATAGCAACAAGAATCAGACTAAGTTGCATAAATTTACAGAAACTGATTCTTGTTATCTTTAACTTAGTACACATATCTTTAAATATGCTGATATTTGTTCCTATAGTATCTTTTAACATTTGTTCTTTAGCAGACTGTTTTCTTACTAGCCCTAGATATACTTTACTTTAACAAATAATTCTATGCCAATAATTCAAAACAATAATAAAATAGTCACAGAAAAATATTCAGTATACAATTTTCTACGAACAAGAACACCAGATTTCATTGTACAGAAGTGCTTGTTTATCAATACTTTAGCAAAAGCAAAGAATTAAGATTTTTCAACAAGGAGCAATAAGATAATTCTGGATGTTCATTTTTTAATATCTGTCATTTATTATCTTTTATTTCAAGCAATAAAGTTCCTTAGAATTATAATTTAAATATTCATATATGTAGGAACAACTTAATTTTAACTGCAGCTTCAATGGTAAATATTCTAGTCCCTCGCCCTTAGCATAGCATATATATTTTGCACTATGAGATACAAAGAAGTATGATGTCACACAGCAACAACTATTTAAGCAAAAACGCTATTATGAGAAATGATCTCTTATTCATAAATTGCTTCTTGGCTCAGCTCCTGTATGGTTGCTGAATGTGTTTTAGAATGAATTATTTTCCATGCTGAAGATTCTATACACCTGTAACTGTCAGGCTTTTACAGAACCATGAAGCTGCACACAATACTGTATGGACTTAAATTCGCCAATTTTATTCTTCTCTATTTTAATTTTGTCTCAACTACGGCATCAGTACTTCTTTGTTATAGTGGTACCACAAAACAAAACTTCTGCCTTCAAAACTGATCCCCAAGATTGATTATTGATTGAAAATAATTAATTATACTTCAGCACGCAGCGTAACTATTCCAGTCAACACATGTTTCATGCATTTTTAATTCCTTCCCACATCATTTAAAGTATAAGAGTTCTACCCCTTAAAAATAAAATACAACATTTTTAGGAATGGCATTCAGGAATTCCAGAACTGATTTCCAACATGAAAGCCTGTCTTCTTCCTGCAACTTTCCAAATCTCCACTTCCAACTTTTAACTTCAAATCAATGAGGAAAACATCTTCAAATGCTTTCCTCACTGATATATAAGCGTACATTGTGAAAATTTTTGCATATTCTATTACTAGCGGAAGTACCCAATGTCAGTTAAGTTAGACTGAGAATAATGTATTGTAACCAATCCCTTAACATGAACTGTTAGACTAACTGTGACAACAAAGCTGCCCTCTGGTGAGTAGCCAGAGAAGTACTTCAAGTAAAAGTCAAGCGTTCCACTTGATAGGTTATACCAGACTATTGCCCTGTAATATTCTTAAAATTAAATGTAATGTCCATGTATAACTTAATAAATACTTGTTACACTATACAGGACTTTTCTATGACCCTATCTAAAACGACCCCCACACAATGTGATGCCCAACGTTAATGTTTAGCTTTAAGAATTTTCCTTGGCTTTTACTCACTTTCTTTTTCAGAAACAGTACTTGCTAACTCCTAAAACTTTAGGAAAAGAGATACCTCGCCCGTCAGGTATGAATTTTTTTGTGTGTGCAACTCTGATGGCCTATCAGCAACAAATAGTTGTTGTTAATGATATAATTTGTTTTGCATTTAAACACTAATGTTCTATAATGTGTTAACCCTTAATGTTGAAAACATGAAAATACTTAAATATGAAAACGTAAAACTACTTTACTGTGTTCTTAAAGTATATATGTATATCTTTTATGAATATTGTATCATTTTGAAGTGATTAAGAAATTCTTTCATTTTGTTTACACATAACGAGTGCTTAAGAACTGCATAATCATAATATTCAGTTTTGTTTCGAAATGGTAAATGTGGTAAAACATAAAAAGGTGTAATATCAAAGCGAGGCATTTTAAGAATAAAATTCTGTATTAGAAATTGTTATTATAATATGCTGAATATATTCAATCTTATAAACGTAGTTTCTATTTGAGCTTAACTTGACCAATCAGTGACATGTTTATTACCCTGTTGCCTCCTTAACCCTTTTATTTGTTGATATTTTTTTCTTCCATTTCCCCTTACATTGCTGAAAGTTGTTTATATTTGATGATTTAACCAAGCGAAGCAGCACAAGAAAATAACATTTTGGAAAAATGTTATTTTTTTATACTGATTGACATAGGTTTCAGATGTGCGTAATTCTTTCAGTTTCATAAGTGTATTGCTAGCCATGAATGTTTTATTTTGTCCTTTGAGAATAGAAATAATTACCAGAAAAGGATTTTATTGATGTTATTTAAACTGTGCCATTTCTAAGCCCAATGTTTTCTTTTAAGCAACAGAGTGTGTTTTATATATATTTTGGCACTGTGTTTCTTTTGATAGAACTAACTTTAGTATAGTGCTATTCTATAGTAAAATTACTACAAATATTTTCTGGGTAAGGTGACCTCATTACAACCTTCTAGACAGTGCCACAATAAGGTGTTTTTTTCATCAAAGAATTCATTTTAAGTGAAACACGTCATCATGTCATTTTTTGCTAAAGGACATAAACAAGATATGTGTGTTTTAGCAAACGAACTTGGTGTGAATGTTACGGAACAAATAACGGTAGTTGATATTAAGGATGCCATTTTAACGAGCAAGGGATATAATGAAGAGTTTACTAAAGATATATTTTTTAGCATTATTGCGGAACAAAAAGAAATAGAGGAACGTGAATTAAACGAAAGAAAACAGCATGAGGAACACGAATATAACGAAAGGGAAGAGATAGAAGAACACAAGCACGAGCTTGAGAAATTGAAAATACAAGTAGCTAGTTCAGGTGCTAGTCATGATTCTGTACCTGCTTTGAAACTCACTGACATGGATAAGTTACAATAACAAACTTTAATTCCTCATTTTAATCCAAAAAGTGATGACATGAGCCCTTTTCTCACTTTATTTGAAAGACAATTAACAATTTTGAACATACCTCAAGGGAAATGGGTAGTGTATCTCTTAGGTTTGTTACCTAATGATGTTGCAAAACTGATTGCAAAGGAATCTGCTGGTGATGCACAAGATTATGACAACATTAAATAAATTCTCTTAAAGCATTTTAAATAGAGTGCTGAAAAGTTTTGACAGTTATTTTTGCAACATCGCAAAAGTCCTGGTACTTGGCCAGACTTCTACTTCGATTTGAGAAATTTCTTTGATGGCTGGATTGGCGAATTAAACGTCAATACTTTTGAGAAGTTAAAGGTTTTGATGATATCAGACCAAATTAAAAGAAGGTCCCCTTCTGAGTATAGAGAACATTTTGTGGATCATTGTCCGAGTGGACTGATCCGCTTCAACTGGCTGATAAATTAGATTTATATCAAGAAGCTAAAAACATCAGGAGTAGAAACGTCAGTAATAAACACTCCAAAGCCGTCCAATGTATTGGTCCTAAAAGTTATAAAACTAACCCTCAACTTCTTAAAAAATTTAGCGACAAGGAATTCTGGCATGAGAGAAGATCGACCAACTGTTAGTTGTTATGGTTGTGGAAAATCAGGCGTCATTAAGGCTAAGTGTCCAACCTGCTCTCCTCCTTTAAGTAAAGAATCAGCCGACTTCAAAGAAATAAACTCACTTGCAGTGTCTGTAGAGACACCTCACATGACTCTTTTAAGAGTAAAAATCAACGGATTTATGGGAATAGTCTGTGCTGATACTGGCGCTACTCACACTATAGCGGGAGAAACATTATATAATCTCTTGAAAGAACAAGGATCAGAATTCAAGAAAACTGCTATGAAGGTCACTCTTGCCAACGGTATTCAAAAGGACGAAGAGGTTCACATGACCCAGGTAGACATTCACATTGAAGGAAGATCATTCCGCATAACTTTATTTGCGCTTCCCTCAGCAAAGGGTAACAGGACACTTTTAGGATCGAATTTTCTTAGAAGTGATGGAATTGTTTTAGATCTACAAAATCATTGGTGGTTTTACCATGATAATCCGCAACAAAAGTTTAAGTTTATTGATGATGATTCTAAACCCAATGATCGAACCGAATGTACGCCGGAAGTTGACACTGTACTGTTAAGAGAATGTGAAGGACAACATCTATCAGCTCATCAAAGATCACAATTAAATGAACTATTGAGTCAATATTCAACTATCTTCCAACCAGGGGGAGAAGCAACACCTTTCATAGAACATCGAATTAAAACTGGAAACCATCTCCCAGTAGCTGTACCACCATACAGAATAAACCCTGCTAAGAAAGAAATCTTAAAGCAAGAAATTGACAAGCTCTTATCTGAAGGAGTAATTGAAGAATGCGAATCCCCTTAAGCATCCTCAGTTGTTTTAATATTGAAACCTAATGGAACAGTACGCTTCTGCATAGATTACCAGTAATTGAACGCGATTACAGTTCCAGATTCCTACCCACTTCCGAGAATGGATGACCTGTTACATGGAGCAAAACCTACTCCTTTCATGTCGGCCCTTGATCTTCGTGCAGGTTATCACCAAGTGAAGGTTCATACTGATGATCAAGACAAGACAGCATTTGTGTGTCCCTTCGGAACATATCGTTTCTTACAAATGCCCTTTGGTCTTCGGAATGCCCCAGCAACATTCCAGAAATTGATAGACGTTTTTGCAATGGACTTAAGGACATCCTAACCCTCACCTATCTGGACGACATAATCCTGTTGTCAGAATCATTCGAGAAACACCTTTCCATTCTCAAAGCTGTTTTTGAAAGGCTTTTGCTCTTCAAACTGCACGCAAACAGGTAGAAGTGCCACTTCGCTTCTTCTCGTGTGAAATATTTGGGATTTTGGATCAACCAAAAAGGAATCGAAGTTGATCCAGAAAATGTTTTTTCTATCCAGAGAATTCCACCTCCCAAAAACATCAAGGAACTTCAATCCTTCCTTCAAATGTGTTCTTGGTTTAGACGATACATACAAAACTTCGCGGAAATATCACATCCTCTTAGTTATTTGACGAAGAAGAAAGTCCAATGGGAATGGGGTTTCAACCAGCAAAAAAGCATTTGAAACTCAAAAAAAAACTGCCTCATAACACCTCCTGTGTTGAAGCAAGCAAATGGAACTCAATCATATATTTTTCGAACAGATGCAAGCAAGCAAGCAATTATGCTCTTGGAGCCATTTTACTTCAAGGGGAAGGGTCTAAAGAGCACCCTATCAAATATGCCAGCCGTCTGCTTTCTCCGGCTGAGTGAAACTATTTGATGACTGAACGAGAAGCTCTCGCTGTAGTCTGGGCCTTGAAGAAATTTCGTGGTTACGTAGTGTATCTCTTAGGTTTGTTACCTAATGATGTTGCAAAACTGATAAAGGAATCTGCTGGTGATGCACAAGATCAGAAATAAGGATCAGAAGTAACTATAGCATCTGATCATCAACCTTTAAAATGGCTTTTGAACCTTAAGTCTCCAAACGGAAGACTTGCTAGATGGGCGCTTGAAATTTAGTCTTTCAACCTGAAAGTACAATACATTTCTGGAAAGTCGAACGTCATCGCTGACATGCTGTCCCATCCAAGCTCCGCACATGAAGTTTCACCTTGAGAGATTTCAAATATATCTGTAGTGGACATGCCCACAAGAAGTCCAAAAGACATGCGGGAATCTCAACTTAAAGATGAAAACTTAAAAAAAGAGTGTAGAAAGTTTCACATCCACTCAGAAAACTGAAGAATGTGACAACTGGACTGAATGGGGATTCTTAATGAATTAAGGTGTTCTCTACCGATATGTCTCTGACTCTGATTCAAAAGAGGCCCAGTTAGTAATTCCAACTGCCGAGCATGAATCTATCACGCGAAAGCACCATGATGACCCTATGGCTGGACATTATGGAGAAAAGGAACATTCCAAAGAATTGCCAGACACTATTATTGGACTGGTATGAAAAAGTAGATATCCGACTATGTGAAAAGCTGTCCTGAATGCAAACGCTACAAGGCTACCAACCAAAAGCCAGCTGGACTGTTAAGAACTCTTGTCTTGTCTATTCTCAACATTTTGAGATAATCTCTATTGATTTGTTTGGACCACTGCCAAAAACTGATACTGGAAAACAATGGATTTTCATTGTCGAAGACTGTGCTACGTGATGGATTGAATTATTTCCTCTTGCTCAAGCTACAGCACGCGACTGTGCTATAACCCTCATCGAAGAAGAAGAAGTACCACAAAGAATCATCATAACGGCAGTGGCATGTAAGAAGTTTGCTGTATACAATAAAAACTTGATACCAGTTTACTTTCCTCAGTCAAATCCTGTAAAACGGAAAAATAGAGACTTAAAACCTCATCTTGCAATCCTAGTAGGAGATGCATATGACAACTGGCATTCGAAACTCCCAGTAATTCGCTTCGCTATGAATACAGCCGTCTGTGACACTACAAACCATACACCAGCATTACTAATGTTTGGAAAAGAGCTGAGGACTGTCGACGACTTTGTTCACGATTTCAAAGCTGTGGTTGAAAATAACTTTGTTCCTGAAATCACCCCTTATCTTAAACGATTCGCAACTATTACAAAGGACATACGAGAGCGTATCGAAATAAAGCAAGATCAACATAAAAAGCAATATGATAAGGGAAGGCGACAAGTGTTTTATTCACCAGATGATAAGGTATGGGTCAATTTATATCCCGTTAGCAATGCAAAAAACACAAAGACTTCAAAGTTCATACCAAAGAGTGACGGTCCATACTAGGTAATGACACAGAACTCATCTACTTCCTATGTCATTTCAAGCCTTCATAAACCCGCACAAACGTTAGGAACGTACCATATGTCTGCACTAACACCTTTTAAAGACTCGTCCACTTCTCCCATTCTTCCACTCAGGAAGAGACATACACCACCAAAAGTTACTTTGCATTTCCGAAATAATCAAGAACTTAAAAAAAAAAAAAAAAAAAAAAAAAAAAAAAAAAAAGACTAGAGGCAATGTTACAAGAGCTCCCAAATCCTCCAGTTCTGTCTCCTTGTCGGGATGTCGGCGGAGCCAGATGAGGAGTTTGTAACCAATCCCTTAACATAAACTATTAGACTAACTGTGAAAACAAGGCTGCCCGCGAGTAGCCAGAGAAGTACTTCAGTAAAAGCCAAGCGTTCCACTTGATAGGTTGTATCAGACTACTGCTCTGTAATATTCTTAAAGTTAAATGTAATGTCCATGTGTAACTTAAACCTGTTAATAAATACTTGTTACACTATACAGGACTCTTCTATGACTGTATCTAAAACGACCCCCCACACAGTATTATTTTACTCATGACTTTATTTGACAATTCGTATAATAGCACATTACACATCATAAGGAATATGATACATTATTGCAATGCATAAAAAATGCCAAAGAAACAAAGTAATACAGTCAAAAGTCTTTAATCCAGGCGTCCATAATCCAGAATGATCTATAATTCGGACCTCAAAGCTACAAACTTTCTGCACATGCGTAAACGCATAATGCGTCTACATATGTGCATATTACCTTTACGCAAGAGCATAATACATTTACGCATGCGCGTTTAATGTATAACAAACAGTATAAGCTAAGCTAAAATTATCGAATTATCTATTTCAGTTAATGCTGTAGATTGCGTTGTTCCTTAATCTTCTAATTGGATCCGGCTTATTATTTTTTGCAGACTGTTAGAGCAATTTTATAAAAGTAAGCTTGAACTTTCGATTATGTCAAAAGGAATTTCCGATTCTGGAACTGCCAAAGGATCTACAAAGTGAAAACATGTTTCGATGTCCATCAAACAAAAAGTGGAATTGCTGCAAAAAATGGAAAAAGGCATATCCTTTGTTTCTCTAAACAGTCTGAAATCTGTTTATCAATTTCACACTGCTCTGCTGGGGGGGGGGTGTCACAGTACGCAATGAACTGGAAGTTGATCTCTCAGCACTATCCTTATCTTCAGTGCTGATGTTTTTATTTTATTTGGCTTATAATTCCTTACTAAATGTAATATTTCATCTCTATGTACTCCGTCTTTGATATGATTTAAATCAAATTCCTCGTCATTATAAATATCACGAATACACATCACATAGTTTTCTGACTGCAATTTTCTAATTTCGACTATGCGTAATGTATGCTTTGTCGAATTTAGAAATACGCATGCGCGCATTGAAAGGAATGTTTAATTAAGTAAAAAAATAAATATCAAGCTTTTTTTGTAAATTTTGATACCCTTTAGATTATAATTGGTCTTCATTTCATAAATTACAGTTTCATATTTTTAATTTTATAATTTCTGCATGCCATCTTACCAGATTTAAATTGATGATCTATAAGCCGGAAAAACTGATAATTTGGAATCGCCGAAGTCCCAATTAAAAACGTTTGACTGTATTGAATACATATACCACAACTGACTATGTAATCATAGAATGATATGGTATATATACCCATATGACATATGGAACTGCCATTTGGATCAGCAAAAATAAGAATAAATACATCATTATTTTAAGCAAAAAATATGATTCATGGTCATACATTTTTCAGTCTGATGCAATATGAAACTCATATAAAAATTTTGATAAAAAAATAACTAATTCTCTCTCATTATATTAGCACTGTCACCAATCAGAAAAATTAGGGCTAAAATTAGCATTTTAAGCGTTTTTAATTAATATCTCTGATTTTAGCCTTTTCTGGGGGGAGGGGGGAGTGGACATCAACATTTTCCAGAAAAAACTTGTAGAAAAGATAGCTGTAGTAGTGACAATAGCTGTAGTAGTGACTGAGTTGTTAGCAAACAAACACAGACTTTCTTCTTTATATATAGAGATGGGATAAAATGGCAGCTATGCATGGCTTTACATCATTTTCAGCTGTACATAGCACAATTTATTCACTGCGCTGCAAAGGATTTCACAAATTAAGACCCTTAGAAACAGAACTATTTCAGTCAAAGCTAACTTGTCTTTCATCATAAAAAAATCACTATTTAATTTGTTTAATTATTAATTAATTGCTACTAATTTATTAACAACAATCAACATTTTACATATAAAAGAAACTGCTGGTGCTTTTTTTACCTAGAATGAAAACTATAATGATTTACAGAAAATAAATTGTAATTAAAACAGTCAAACTCAAGTAACAATTCCCAAAATATTAAATAAAAATTTTAAATATGAAAATTATAATTTTACTTATGTACAGAAAAAGTTAAGTGCATCAATTTAGAAATTCTACTAGTTACGAATAATTAGTTTTTGATAAATAATGACTGTAGATAAATTATAACACACTTACAAATCGGAGGACTATCATCCAATACTGAATATAAATGAAATGCTGATGGCAAACCAACACAGAGTCTATTCCCAATGACATCTAGAGTATGAGCTGGAACTGGTAGACAAATTTCCTTCCTCCTATGATGTCGGCCTTTTGTTCGATTTACTTCATATACTAAAACCTGAAAATCATAGAGAGAGAACAAGGAATGATTTTCAGAGGAATAAAAAATAATTATATTACACTGCATATTAAAAAATTATTTACAAAACCATATTCTCGGGTGTATTTTCAGAGTAAGAATTCATAATTTTTAGTTTAATCTAGAATATTTTTTTTTTTTTTTGTATTCTTTAAATAATGAAATAAACTCTTTAAAAATTTTGTAAACACTTATATAAAACCAACAAAAGTGCAAACAAGAACTTTCAATATCTTTCACAAAACAATATACATTCCAAGCTTACAAATAATACTTTAGAATCATGACAAGCAAGCAAGCAATATGAAAACAGAACGCATTTTGCACACACCAATAATTTGCTCATTAAAAAAAAAAAAAAAAAGAAGAAGAAGAAGAAGAAGGATTTAAAGTTTAAAGCATCTTGTTATGAAATTTTCATCAGAATTTTAACAGAAGTAAAGAAAAAGCTAATAAATATTTTCATTAAAGCTTCAGCCAGATAATAATTCTAAGTTTATTACAATGAATTTAAGTTATATACTATTTAAATTTAAAAAAAAATAAATAATTATACAGTTAGATGCCATAGATTTCACATTAAATTACACAAATATACAGATTACATGTTGTAGCTAAATAAAAATAACACAGTATTATAATACAAAAAATTCATTTAGCTTCAAACTAAAAAAAAAATTGTACATAAATCTCATCTTCTAAAAAGACCCATCCTTAATTTTTAAGCACAAAAGGCTAAAATTTATTAAAACAGAATGCCTTTTCCCTACACTTACTGAAAAATAAAATAGGATTAATATAATGCAAGGATCAGTAACATTTAAGACAACAAAATAATGCTGTCCTCAAATCCTCAACTAATATACTTCTACAATCATTTTCCTCAAAATTATATCTTATAAAATTTCTATTTAAAATAAACTTTACTTTAATAATATTCAATGTTTTTATAAGCCTTACACATGAGAAATATATGTTTTGTTATATCTATAAAAAATTAAAAATAAAATTTCAGAATATAAAGCAATACTTAATGCACTGAACATTCAAACGTATGTACTTGATGTAAATATATGTTTCAGCAAATGAATGATCTACTTAAAATATTTAGTATGAAGGGTTTATTCATGATATTCTATATTATCAAGTTATAATATTTTCATTTTTTAAAAATTCTGTAACAAATGATGGAAAAATGTATAATAAAATAATTAATTACAAAAGTTTAAAAAAATTAAACACAGGTTCTTTAGCATCTTACCTTTTTTGTCTTTTTTCCTAGCTGCATAAAATGATTTAAAATAGATAGACTACTCTTACTCATTGCAATTCTTAAAAAAAAAAACATGTCCACAAAATTTTTTGCCAACATGGAAAGAATGGAACACATTTTCTCCTACCATAATCATTATATAATACATTACCCTTTATTAAATGACTAATGTCAATAAAAACACAATAAAATGAGAAAAACTTCTTCAATAAGCAATTAACATTATTTACTCATTTTCTCAATTATTAAAGAATTATTATCTCATTTCATCAATTATTAAAGAAAAGGGATGTAAAACTTTCTATTCAAAATAATAATTAATAAAATTTCATGCAAAGTATAAAAAAACTCTTAGCCAAAACGATATAGTTGAATAATAAATGTTATAGTGATGATCAAACTAGGATAATATGATCATACACAGCAAATTCAGTAAATAGCTAGCAATAGTAAATAAGTACAGCTTACAGAAGAATACTACCAAAGTATTATAAGCAACATTACTACAGAATATTTCAAAGGGGGAGGATGTGGGAGAGAGATTTAAAAAAAGATAAGAAAAGAAAGATAAGCACTTTTATATGACAAAGGATTTAATATCAATCTCCTTAAATCACAGAAAAGAATTTTCAATGAGCAAATTAAAAGTGTGACTTAAGAACTATCTAAAAACAAAGAACTAAAATCATTATAAAAAGAACTATCGAAAAGCAATAAAATTTCATTATCTACATTTGCTAAACTTTCATAAACCATCATTAAATTGAGAGTCTCTATGAAAATACATACATATAGAGAGATAAGTGTTATATAGAGATAGGGTATCAAATGTAGATTGATCCATTTTAAATTTTTAATGATCTACCTCTATTGTTCAATACTACACAAATTTTAAAATCATAAGCTTGCACCTTAATCGTTCCACTCAGCCCTATCTTAAAAAAAAAAAAAAAAAAAAAAAAAGAAAAAGAAAAAAGCACTTCTTCCACCCCACTCATCCACTTTTAAATTATTTGTACTGCTTGATTATAGCAGTATCAAGCAGTACAAATCATCCACATTAATGATTTTAGCAAAAAAATTACCCCCATAGAAATCCACGTGGGAATCTCTGCAGCAGATAAACAAAACCGAATACAAGAAAATGAAATGACATTTCGAGCTCTATTTTACAACTGCTGCTTCTCTCTGATATTTAATATGGATAATAAGGGATGAGAAAATGATAGAAATTCCTGAAAAATAGGTTTTTCAGGAATTTCTGGTTAATTACATAATGAAAATTCATGTTTCAATATGTTATAAAGTTAAATTACTAATTTCTATACACCACTACTTTTTATTTTCAAAATGATTCTCCAAAAATCTGATGTGGATAACACACCTCTTATGAATTCCACATTTCAAATTGCAATGAGCTTTAAATAATGCATGATTTTGGTTGGTCGTATGTTAACAAAATCTAATTTGATATTCCAATAAATAAAAAAGTGCATAACATTAAACTGATATTATTGGCTATGTGTAAAAACTGGTTTTTCTTAACTTATACCAACATAATCAATTTTTTGCTTTTTATTTACTTTTTTAATTAAGAATTATATTTGACTAGACAGGTGAATACAATATAATTTAACTAATTTTTAATTAAAATAAAGTGTTTACAATATATTTTAAATAAATACTTTGAAGTGAATACCATAATTTAATTTTTCCCCCTTCTGTTATTTCTATAGTATCAACAAATCTCAATTTATTTTGATTTGAACATATATCCCCACAACATTTATCAGCAAACAATGCTCATTCAACTGCACCAATATCTTACATTTATATATGCAACTATATGTTATGTTGATTGCTGCAAAACTGTTATAAGCTTCAAGTAAAGGACTACACTGGCTGATGATTAAAAGTTATTATGTGCTCCAAGTACCATTTTTAGTTTACCAGTTTTATCCAAAATCTAATCAATCCTGATCTGAATGCAGAAATTTAAATATGAAAGAGAAAATTTTAAAAATATGAAGTAAGAGTAATCATCATACACAGGTTATAGACAGACTGAGTTAGCAGATAAGTAGACATTAAATTAAAGTAAAAATACTAAAAATGTATTGTGGGGACCCTAATTCATGCTTATTCTCCCAAAACTCACTATTTACTATTTTTGGAATTACTATTATCACTATTCACTATTTTTGGACCAAAGACCTCCCTTAAGTATGTATATAGAGATTCTCAAATGGAGGAATTTTTCTCTCAGGAGTAATTTTATAGTTTCACAAAAGCAGAATGCAGTCAGCCTTTTGTTTATTGGTAAGTATTTAGTTTTAATTTATGAATATAAAAATGACTTTTATTCAAGTTTTGTTACTTATCAACACTTTCTATACTTGTTCTTGTTTAATTTATAAAACACATTAAAAAAGAACCTAAATTTAAATACATGTACATCTATTTTTCGAGTTTTAGGAAGGGGGCGCAATAATTGTCTAACAGTGGTCATTGCTAGAGAGTGGATGAATATATATACATTGTCAAAAGTGTTTAATATTGCTTCTGAAAAAAATACCAAATTCAAATTCTAAAAATTGGTAGATAAGTATTTTACTTCACTAAGGTCAACAATACATTACAAAAGATACTAGTAGAATGTTTTCAAAATAGATATATTTTCCTTAAGATTTATGATTTGATTTAATTATGGCAAAGCACTCGAAGGCTATATGCCTTTCTGAGGAAAAATGGCTTGTCTACACATTATACATGAGGAAACATGAGGAAATACCACAAAAATTATACATGAGGAAACACCACAAAAATGCCTATGCATCCAGCCCATTTACCAGGATTTAAATCCCAGACTGAATTACCAGTGTTCACCGACTTTACCGCTCAGCTGCTGGTAACCTTTGCTTCCAAGGAAAGGCATGACATAACATAAAAATCTAGTATTAAAGTATGGTGTAGAAAATGTCGTACGTGGAAAATGGCTATAAAATTTTCAAGTATGCAAAAGATTACAAAAACGTTGTTATTAAAGTACACATTGGAATGCACACTGCTATCAATATACAATATATGTTCAGTATATCTAATTTCTTTTTCTGTTTTCTTTTTGATATGCATACTCAGGTTAACCCTTTGACGCGCGATATATTATTTTTATAATTTTTTAACTGAAAACTCTAGAAATTGAATATTATGGTCCTAGAGACAAATAATATATGAATTTAAAAAAAAAAAACCTGCTCTTGCCTATTGTTCTGTGGGTGGTGGTCGCACTGTGAAACCACCGCGCGTCTAGGACTTTGAAACTTACTGAAGCAGTAGGAAAAAAAAAAAACTTACATTTCACCGTGGGAGTTTCCAATAAATGAGGAAATTTATGAATTAAAAAAAATGTATGTAAGAATTGCATTATATATAATTTTTTTACATTATTTTACAAAGTAAATTGTCAGAAACATTAAAAATAAACATTTATGTAATTTTTCTATAGCAGTGAAAATATAAGTACCTACATAATAAGGACGTTTGGCTAAATGGATTAAAAAACTCAGTAAAATAAGGATAAAAAATACTCAATTTTTTTTTTTTTAATTTCGAAGAACTAATTTTTTTGTCACACTGTTCAATGCATGTTTTGTGTTTTTGGTACATGCATAGACCCACATTGCATGTTCCGTCCATGTATCTTCTATGAGATTTCTTCCTTGTGCCACAAAATATACACCGCCTGGATCTAAATTTCACTGGTATATATCCAGCGTTATGTAGTTTCCTTTCATCTGGTACATGAAATTTGTGATTTTATATGATAATGGGGGAGGGAGCTTAGTCTTTTTGGCTTTGGTACGGATCATTCGTTTCCCATTCATACTCATTTTATCTGTATTTCATCCCAAAATATTCAGAAAATATTTTTAATTTAAATAAAACTTTACACGCTTTCTATTTACCTTATTTCAATAAAACCTTATTATGAAAGATTGACTTTTATTAAAGTATTTTATTGCTTATAATTAAACCTAAAATTAATTTTTAATTACACAGCCTAATTCAAATGCTACTGTAAAAGGTTATATATATCTTCTTATCTGTGTAATGAAAATATCATCTAGTTTAGATACTATTTTTAAAAAGTATGCCTACCTGCTTTTTAATGGCTGTACAAAATAAATATAAAGTTGAATTGCCATTATGGATACACATTGTACAAAATGTGATGCAGCCTTTAGTCTCTGGAACTTTAGTCCACTCAACATCTTGGCCATCCAACGCACCAACTGGTATCAACCTCAAGAAACGCTGTTTACCTGGAATAAATAAAACAAGGAAATTTATATACACATGTGAAAGCCCTAAAAGGGAATTTGTATGAGTTTTTAAAAACGTTCAAGTTTTAAATATAGCAGTTAACATATTTTAAGAATTTTAGCTTTACTTACCAGCAACGGCAAGTAACAGTTGTTCTTCAGCAATGTATTCTAGCTGACTGACTTTTTTGCCATCACCAATACGAGCTATTTCTTTTATTGAAAAAAAAGGAAAGCAATAAATCAAAATTACTAAGAAAGTGAAAATTCATCTTAATGAAATACAGTTTTTGAAATGTTTTAAATTACAATACAGAAAACTTTAAAATAGACAAATTTAAACTTTTGATAATAATAACAAATTCTGAAAAAATACGAAACAACTGTCCAAACTTAAAAAAATACTACAATAATGGAAATTTATGGCTAAATTCTCCTTAAAGTTTATGTTCAAGTATTTTTCTTTCACCTACTATAAAACTACGCAAGCTGTACAGAAAGTAACTTACGTTTTAGAATTTAAAAAAAAAAAAAAAAAAAGTAAACATTTTTTATTACTTACATTTGAAAGTCACATTATTCAAATATTTTTCTACATAATCTCCATACTAATTAAGACACTTATCATAATGGTACACGAGCTTGTTAATTCCATCGTCATAGAATGTTGCTGCCTGAGACTTATATCATGCAAGGATGCCTGCATGCAGTTTCTCGTCATCATCGTAGCGCTGGATTGTAAGCCAGGCTTCAACGATGCCTGGCTTACAATCTAGCGCTTCGACGAAGGCGAGACTTGGGTAAAGTTTGTCACAAGTGTCTCACTAGAGACAAACTTTACCCAAGTCTCACCTCCTGTTATGACACAATTGAGAAGTGATTCACTGTTCATGGTAGGCCTCGAGAAATGTCAAAGTTTCTGCCATGCGCTGCTTTTTGTGATCTTCTGACAAGAGTTTTAGTACCCATTTGGCACAAAACTTGTGATAGCATAGACCTTGCGCCACAACACCAAACAACAAAGTTCGTGAAATTTGAGGAAACTCTAGTGAAAGCTCCGAAATTGTGAAGTGGTGGATTTCGTGAATCTTTTCATTGATTTTCTTTTTAAGTTTAGCATTAGCAATGCTCGGCCGGCCACTTCGTGCTTCCTCATGAAAATTAGTGTGGCCATTTTTAAACATGATGCAACATTGTCTCACTCTGGCTTCACCCATTACATCGTTTCCATACACTACACAAAGTCCCTGATAAATTTTAATTCGTCCCAGTTTTTATGTGGACAAAAATCTAATCACTGATCACATTTCACAACTTGCAGGGTTTTCTATTGCCGCACATATTTTAAACATTCACAGTGAACAAAGCAGAAGCAATACATGCCGTCGATGATTACAACCAGATGCATAAGGATTTAGTAGACACTCTGACACCAAGATGGGGATACTAGCACTATCTCTCGTCATGCAGCAGTGACACTTTACTTTGTGAATAGCTCTCGTACAAATAAAAATAGAAAATTTAAAGGAGAATGGAATTAACTTGAAAAATATGCACATATTACGTAATATAGTTTATTGATTTCAAAAACGCTCTCAGAAGAAGCATGGTAACACACCATGGTTAAAACATGGTTTTAAATAAACCTTAAAACATTTTACTGGGGAAGAGAACTGAAGAAATTTTCCCACAACATTATAATATTAATAGTTGCAAAAATTCCTTCAAAGATTTTGTTAATGGTTTTAGATTTCTACTTACCTGCATAAAAACTATAAACAAATCAACTTTCTTGTGACTAATGTTAATACATTTTTTTTATATAATCTTGCTATTTACAAGAATTTTTTATATTAATGCCATCTTACCTTTGTTGCCATTCCTTTGGTTTACATAACAACTAAAAATCATATAAGTAAAGTTTCTTAAATAGACTAAATCTAAATAGTAAACTGAAAGGCTAAAAGGCCAATAATGAGTTAGGCTTCCTCTAGTCCTTAAAACAGCCTCGACTCATTGCAGTATGGAGTCAGTGACTTGTCAAGCTGTTTCAATAGAAATCACTATCCACAAACCTTGCAATGTGTCTGTAATTGCATTATATCAGATAGAGCTGGATTTATTGCTCATACGCTAGTTTCTAACACATCCTGTAAATAATTAAAAGACTTCATATTATGGATTTTTGGGTGGGGAGTTAAATCATGGTGTAAACGACCATGAAGTGATTTTACAGATATCTAACAGTAACCACAAACCAGTGGACAATCTACTTAAGAGATTCCTTCCCCATAAAAAACCTAATAAAATATAAAGTGACGTACGTGATCTGAGAGAAATGTCCACATGCCTCAAATCAGTCAAAGTAGTCTCAAAAGAAATACAGCATTAATTATGGTCACATGAACATGCACACATTGTCACAGACATAAATTGCATAAACTGTGATAAACTTAGTGACTATATAGTTTTATGCACTTATCAGCATCAAACAGCTGAAAATTGGACTCATCTGGCTGTGTCATTCAATATTGCGTTCTATTATTATTTTTTTATATCTTCTTGTTGATGCCAGTCACTGAACTCTGTGATGATGCATCACGAATGGGGATATATATTGGTCTATAGCTGCCAAATCCTCCAAAGTATGGGTAATAATGGACGTTAATTCAAGCACATTTTATGAACAGTCTGCATTGAAATAAGCAGAAATTTCATGCACTGTAATCCACTTATGATTCAATGCAAATGATGTCAAATGCTGTGCACTTCAGTGGCAAGTGGATAGTATATTAGCTTATTTTTCATTCCCACAAATCAAAATAATGGTACTCGTGATACATTTTTGATACAGTAAACCTGGAAAAATCTAATTTATCAAAAGCCTCTGAAATTTTACAATTCACCCTTTAAACACCAACATCAACTTACAGCCAAATTTCTTGGAGTGAAGTCATACCAAATGAAGAGCCAGACAGAAATTAGGGGTACAGCAATCCCATGAATTTCAGCTTTTCAGTATATTTTTAAAGAAACATCCATCCCTCATTTAGACAGGAGAGGAAATTGAACAAATGATGAAATATAATAAAAGTACAAAAATAATAACCAACTCATGTGCTTCTTAAATTTTAAACTTCAGAGCAAAATTGATTCATGTAATATTCAACAACCAAATTAGCTACAGTAACCAAAATTGGAAATATTCACAGGTTAACAGTAAGATATGGTTAAAGATTGAAGAACCAAATGAAATAATGCAACAGAACTTATTGAGAATATATGCAATTGTCACACAGAAGATTATGTCCTTCAATCAATATTGTACATAATATATTGGGTTTCGACAAAATTGCAAAATTTGATTTATTTGCATAATTAAATATTCTCATTCACGCACATACATTAAAAAAAAAAAAAAAAAAAAGATACTATGCTAAAGCTTTAGAAAATTAGGAGTTTAAGTAAACTAAAACAAAATAAATAATAGGTACTTCTTACAACTAACAAATGTGAGAATATAAATTAATCTAACAATGCATACCTTCTCTATCTAAATCTACACAATATAATCCTTCTTCAGTTCCTAAAGCGATTCTTTCTGGATCTATAATATGAATGTAATAATGAATAAGAGCTGTGAAAATACACAGCAGCTGTTATATTTTGGATACTTATCACTACTTCTTATCTCATAAGAGGGGGAAAAAAGCATATTACATAATTTTAAAAAAATGGAAGTTAATTTATCAAAATAAGTACTATTAATTACTTGAATTTATATCAATATATAAGTTTTTATTTAATGACAATTTAAAGATTTTGAAATAATTTTATCATAATACTCATACAAAATTCTTTTTTTATTACAGCTATGTGAAACTGCAGCATTTTTAGAAATTATATAAAATTCAAATTACATAAAATAAACTACATTTATAGGAAAAAAATTTTATCTAAATAAATTTTTCACGTTAGTAGTACAACAGGGAAAAACAGTTTTAATAAAAATAAAATAAAATCCTACCAATTACTGCAGCAGATGTAGCATTTTTTATAACAGTTAATGTATTATCAAGAATTTCTTTAGCTTGGAACACCTGCAAGGAAAGAAAATATATTAAATGACTTGATAAATCAATAATTTAAAATTGTTCATGTCAATTTCTAAATGCAAACTATAATATCAAAACATTTCAACAAATTAAGTATATGCTTTTCCACTAAAAATACCTAAAACCAATGTCTTTACATTCAACTATTTTGATTCCTTAAAACATGCTCTTCTTAACATGTTTTTTAATGAATATTATAAAAATGTAACTAAAATTGAACCTAAATTAAAACTTTCTAATTAGGATGGATTTTAAGACAATGAGCATATCAACTTTAAATGAAACAATGAGCATATCATCAATGAGCATCAATTACCAACAATGAGCATATAATCATTCAATCTATAATGCTATATACACATAGTCCCTAATTAAAATAGGTGACAATCATTAATTGAACAGCAAGTGAATTTTGTCAATTACTTCAAATTCCATCAAAAGAATGTGATAGTGAAAATATTAAATATTCCCACTAATTAACAATTAAGTTCATTGCTTCAAATACTTTAAAGTCCACAGTGCTTTCAACAACAGACAAGGTGCAATCAAAAACAATACAGTGAATGCTGCCACCAAGTGCTATCTCGTACAAAGACAGTAATCTATACTGCAAGAAGAGGGACATCAGATCTTAGTTAACAGTGCACAAAAAGTTTCAACTTGTTCTAGGAGAGCTATGATTGTGAGAAAAAGTGTTTTAAAATGTGGTATAAGTCATAAAGATAAATAATAAATTAACAAGAAATTGTCTTTCAAACTGCAAAACATGATAATCCTCTACACAATACAGTTTCGGCTCTGAAATTTCAAAGTACCCCAAAATATCACAAATAAGCCATATTTTCTAGATTAGAATTCCAAAATGACACTTTGTATACAGAATGCTTCTTTTTCTTTACACATCCAATCTAAAATCAGGTTTATCAGGATCTGACACAAATTTTCATGCTCAACAGATGAGAAAGCCATCTGTCAATACGGAATTTTCACCATAACCCTCAGAGGGTTAAGGAAATTACAGCATATAAAAGTAACTTATGGAGACCTCTGGAGTGATCCTGTAGTCATTTTGATCAGGTTGAAGATGGAGAAAGATTGGGATGCCTGTCAACATTAAAATTCAATAGAATGCTGAAGAAATAAACAAACGGATTTGACTGCACAGGCAATCTGAATGTCAGAAAAATTTCTTACGATCTGAGGGAACATTTTATTCACAGCATTTTAACAGATTTGAACATTAAAGTAAAATTTGTTCCACGATTTCTTATTCTGCAGCAAAATAACAGTATTTATTACTTTAAAGTGAGTTTTATAATGCCACTTCAGACTAATGGACTCAGATGAGAAAGCCATCCTTCAATAGGGAATTTTCACCATAACACTCAGAGTGTTAAGGAAATTACAGCATGTAAAAGTAACTTATGGAGACTGCTGAGTGATCCTGTAGTGGTTATGAACTAGGCTATCTGAATATCAGAAAAATTTCTTAGGATCTGATATAACATTTTATTCACAGCATTTTAACAGATTTGAACATTAAAGTAAAATTCGTTCCATGATTTCTTATCGTACAGCAAAAATAACAGCATTTATTACTTTAAAGTGGCATTATAGAGTTCTATACTGCCACCTCAGACTAACTAACTGATCTAAAATTTTTGCCAAAAATTCTTAATTGAAAATCCAAAATCAAAGTGATGCTGCCATGAAATGGAATTAGACAAACTAAGGAAATTTGAAACATAGAATACTATGCATATTATTACGGCATTAAAATTATTAAATCATTTTATAAGATCTGTAAAGAAAATTTCCCCAAAAAAAACTGCATCTTCCGACATTAAAATGCTTCACGTCATACATCGTTTCTAGAAATTTAAGTGCAAATTTTGGTCAAATAAAAACACTATACGCCTTCATCTGCTTTATTCATCAGATCTGATGCCTTGAAACTTCTAGCTCGGCCATCCAAATAAAATGACCATGAAAGAGGTTTATATATATATATATATATATATAATTTTTTAAGAAATCAAAAGAAACCAAAATGTGTGCTCTTAGTAGTTTGAGGTGAAACTACTAATTGTGCTCTGTGATACAAAAATGAGCTGTACAAGTATTTCTGTGGAAATTTCCAGACTATGAAGTGTTTCTTTTGGTAAAATAAATTTTACTAAGCTAACATCAGTTCTGTGTACATTCAATCTATTAAAAACCCATACGCATACAAGAATATTATAAAAATATCTGTTTCTCACTTACTTTTGTTTTAACAAAGCATGTTAAAAAAGCGATCTGAGGTATTATAAATTCTATTTTTATGGAATTAGACGAACTAAATATATTTAACATTAAGCATATATTCCTTCTCTTCGAAATAAAATTAACAATATGACAACATAGAATACATTCCTCTCCGTTACCTTTAAAAATGGTAAAAACAAAAACCACTTCATAGCACTTTCTTTTAATAAAAGGTTAACCCCAAATTGAATTAATGCTTGTCATGAATTTTTTAGTCTAAGTTCCTCCAAGATGAAATCTTTCAAAAACAATTATAAATATACCGTAAAAGTAATTTTGGTACTTTTCTATAAATGAGCAACTACTTAACACCTTACATAAATGAAAAAAGGCACCAAATATAATTAAAATGCATAATGATATAAAATGATAAATAAAGCTTCAAGAAAATAACGACTATTTTATTAAGTCAGGGGGAAAAGACAAATTCAAAAATACAAAAGAGATTTCACAAGATAAATTTCAGAATACACAGGCGGTATAAGCTACCAGTTTAATTTAACATCGTTGAAACCATTTATACCTTTTCATACAATCACCATACATGAATTCGATGAGGAAGGATTACCACACTGATGTTCATTTTGCACATGAAATCCCATATCAGGATAAAAAATGTCGCATTTGCATTTAACTAGCAGTTGTTCATATCTGACAGCTGCCAATTCACTAGCTTAAGCAACTGAAAATCTAATACAGAAAACTCCTGGCTTGATTCTCATTCCTCCTGTTTAGCAATATCATTGTACTGCTATTTGTGATGCAATATGCTAAATGTCATATTTGCATATAACTAGCAGGTGTTCATATCTGGCAGCTGCCAATTAATTAGCTTAAGCAACTGAAAATCTAAGACAGAAAACTCCTGGCCTGATACTCATTTTTCCTGCTTAGCAATATCATTGTAAAGCTATTTGTGATGCAAAATGCTACCATATTGATCTTTACCTCATGTTTGGCCAGTGGTACCCCAATACCATAAAAACACCAACTTCTTGAAGCATTACTATTAAAAAGGATTTAAAAAAAGATTTATTATACAAAGCTTAGAAAAGCAATATTATTATCTACAATAAATAACTGTGAAGTATATATCCCAATAGTTTGATTACTAATAAAAACTCAACAAGCTGTGAAAGAATAAGAGCAGAATAAAAGCAACTACTAAAAATTAGAAGGTGCTTTCACTGTCTTTCAATTTAGAACAGTTATAGGATTCTAATTGATGATAGTTATACAGGACTCACGGATCGGGATGAAAGCTTATTTCGACGAAGAATTCGATGAAGTTCATTTAAAGCATCAACCCATTTGCATTTTTCACTTTCTTTTTCAACTAACATTAGAGTATGATTTTTGATCCCAGGAGGATTCAACATTGAAGTAGTTACCTAAAAGAAAAAAAAAAAAAAAAAAATCGCTACACTTATCAAAGCAAGTACTCTTGGGGCTGGGTAACTCTTAATTTATGCAATCCAAACAAAAATAATTTTACATATTTCTACATAATTACATAGCCAAAATATAAAAATTAAAAAAGAAAAGTAAAGAAATTGGAGGAAAAACAGTTTTTAATTATTTTACAATACATTAATTTTTGTTGCATTTTTTAGCCATACATATGTAGAGCATTTGATAAAAGGTAATTAAAACAAATGAATAAAATATATCCTAATTATATACTATTTTATGAAAGTATTAAACTTACTCTCATAAAATAGCCCAACAAAATACAATAAACAAATTACAAAGTCAACAAAATAATGCATTATTATTAGGCATTATATATATAGTGAGAAGCACCAGTAAGCATTGCAAATTACTTTAAAACATTTTTCTGAAACATTTTAAAGTGTGAGCTAAAAAATTTTAAAATGAAAACTCTGCTTTCACAATGTTTTGATTTAAAATATATTTTATATTGTATAGCAATATATATATAACTCTTAAAAAAGTCCAAAAAGAATTTTAAAAATAAAAAAAAAAAGAGAAAGAATCTTTATTCAAAAGTAATAAATAGAAAGGGGGAGGAAAAATGAGTAACAAGCACTACAATGTTATGAAAAAGAAATCAAGTTAGAATAAAAGAATAATCTGCTCAATAGTACAAAAGTCTAAACATGTAACATTAAATTAAACAGCTCAGACTGACAAATGGTTTTTTGTTGCACAGGATTTTATTGAAACAGTTTGTAAAAATGCCCAAAACTGGGTGCTCTTTCAAAATGAAAGTCATCTTTCTTTAATTGATCCCAAAAGAAGCTAAATAAGGCTGAATAACATTTTTGCTTTAAATTTTTATGGCGGTAGACAAAACAATTTTTAGGGCATTTTTCATAAATCAAAAGAGGTACTAAATGTGGGATTTTCATAAAACTTAACTATTATGAAGCAAACTTTTACAAAGCAAGCAGCCAATGTATATGAAACTGATAATGAGCAAAAGATGTTTATTGCATACCTACCACTATACAAACAATAATATATATATAACACATGCATGGCTAATATTTAACATTACTTGTTATAACTGTAGTTAAGTTAAAAAAAAAATGGGAACAAATAACTATAACTAAACTAATAAGGCCAGAACTGTAGATAAAACAATTATATTTTGCATTTATGTATAATGTTTGACAGCATAATTAAAGGTATTAAATACAGCTAATAGTGTACAAATTAATAAATAAAACAGAAGTTTCCGATGCACTTCATACAGAAGATATGTGGAATGAAAAATGGAGCAATAATTTCCTCTTATATTATACATTCTTTTCCTTTCTCTCTTTCTCTTTTCAGTGTCATGATACTGTTCTAGGTGAAATTTTCACTCTGATTTTATCGATTTAAGAAACCTTTTCTCATAATCTAACAAAATCTAAGTTACATGGAAAAGATATATTCCAATTAAATGCAATAAATATTACATATTAAAAATAAACTAATGCATAAACAAAATTAATAAATTTTACACATGATTACAAGCAATACATGCATGACATTAATTTACTGCATATTAAAAGAAATAAAATGTCCTTCAAAATTGTGTCTTCCTCTTATGCTATAAAAATACTTTCACTGAAAAGATAATATCAACAAACTTTTTACAAATATCGCAAAAAAGTGTACTAAGATTCAAATGATATATGAATATCTTACCCGAAATATGCATGGAATATCTTTTTTATTTGCATGAATAACATCAGATTCTAAAACAGAACTAACAGAAAATTCTTCATCTCTGAAAAATTTTATATATCTTACTACATATGCACAACAAGGAAAACAATTGTACAATTATGCCATAAAATTTCTAAGAAAATTTCTTATTTTAGTATTTTAACTTATATATTTTTTATGAATACTGTACTAGGAGCATAAAAATGGTCACCTCATATCTAAAACCTGAGATATCCATGTGTTAGGTTGAGTACTTTTATCTTGAGCCAGATCATATAGAAACAATTTAAAATCACAGACAACTACAAACTGACGCATCCACCCTTTTTTAACACCACCAGGCTTAGGAACCTTTAAGGGAAAAAAAAGCACAAATAAGATATCTAACCATCGCATCAAATACTGGAGGGAAAAATAAAAAGAAAACCCCAATAGACATGTTTAAAAAGAAACTAACCTTTACATAGCCTTCATATGCTGTACCTATGCCACGAGTTGGATCTATGCCTACAGGTCTTTTGACTGTAAAGATAAAATTATTGTTTTTAGTTCCAGATTTAAAAAAACATGCAAACGCATAAATAACATAACTTTATGCAGTCTATTACTTATGTGGTGGAATGCACAATATCTGTTCCTTTAAATGATGCATGATGAATACTTATAAAATCTTTCAATTACTTTACTTCTAATTTAACATATATTACGGGTGTTCAAATGAAAAGGTACGAAATGACACTATGGATATATTGAAGTCTTTATTCACAAGTAATCACCAGAAGCCTGAGCACAACTATCCCACAGTTTCATGAATCAAAGGATTCCTGTAGCTGTGACAGAAGCAAGTTCTTCATTGTGTCCTTCAGTTCGTTGTCCAAGCTGAAGCGCCTTCCCTTTGAGATGTCACTTCTCACTACGTCATTCATCTTACTAATGAATTCAGCCATCATGACCATGTTTGCCTGGCCTTGTCTTGGACCATCACTTCAACATGCCAGGCCTTCACAAAAACTAGTACAGTACAAAGTCCATAATCCGGACTTCAAAGCCACAAACTTTTTTTTTTCCCCCCATGCTTTATGCATGCTTGTAATGCGTTCACTGCACGCTTCCGATACGAGTTTAAGCATGTGCACTTCTGATAGTGAAGAAAGTGATAGAGAGGTTATTTAAAACGAAAAAATTTCGATTGATAAGTTAGTCGGTATTCTTGACACAGCAATTATAGGACTTGAACAGTTGAACTTTGTAACTGAACAAGAAATTATGTCTGTTTATAGAATTAAAGAGAAAGTATTAGCATAAAAAACGAAGCAACTTAAACAACTTATATTGAAAGAAATGTTTAATAAAGTAAACAAATAAATACTAGATTTTTTTTTCCCTTTTTTGTAAATTTTGATACCCTTTAGATCATAATTGCTCTTTATTTCATAAATTGCAGTTTCATATTTTTAATTGTATTCTGCATGCCATCTTACCAGATTTAAATTGATTATCTACAATCCAGAAAAAACCCTAATCTGGAATCACTGAAGTCCCGACGAGTCTGGATTACGGACACATATATAGGTACAGTCAAAAGTTGTTAATCCGGACTCATTGGGACTTCGGCGATTCCGGATTATCGATTTTTCCGGATTATAGATCATCAGTTTAAATCTGGTAAGATAGCATGCAGAAATTATAAGATTAAAAATATGAAACCGTAATTTATGAAATAAAGAACAATTATGATCTAAAGGGTATCAAAATTTAAAAAAAAAAAAAAAAAACCCTTAATATTTATTTGTTTGTTTACTTTATTAAACATTTCTTTCAATGTAAGTTGTTCAAGTTGCTTCGTTTTTTATGTCATAATACTTTCTCTTTAATTCTATAAACAGACAAAATTTCTTGTTCAGTTACAAAGTTCCGCTGTTCAAGCCCTATAATTGCTGTGCCGAGAATACTGACTAATTTGTCAATCAAAATTCTTTCGTTTTCGAAGAAAGTGACCTCTGTGTCACTTTCTTCGCTATCGGAAGCGAATTATAATGACAAGGAATTTGATTTAAATCATATCAAAGACGGAGTACATCGAGATACTACATTTAGTAAGGAATTATAAGCCAAATAAAATAAAAATATCTACCCTGAAGATAAGGATAGTGCTGACAGATCAACTTCCAGTTCATCGTGCGCCGCAACGTCCCCCCCCCACACACAGCCACACATGCAGAGCAGCGTGAAATTGATAAACAGATTTCGGAATGGTTAGATAAACAAATCCATTATCCTTTATCCATTTTTTGCAGGAATTCCACTTTTTGTTTAATAGACTTCGAAACATACTTTCGCTTTGTAGATCCTTTACATATTAGTAAATATATATCAGAAATTCTATTTGACATAATCGAAAGTTCAAGTTTACTTTTATAATATTGCTCTAACAGTCTGCAAAAAATAATAAGCCGGATCCAATTTGAAGATTAAGGTACAACGCAATCTGCAACATTAACTGAATTACCTTAGCTTATATTGTCCGTTATACATTAAATGAGCATTCGTAAACATATTTTGCGCATGCGCACACACATATTCGCAGCCATAAACGTCTTACGCGACGCATGTTTGTAGCTTTGAGGTCCGGATAATAGATCATTTCAGATTATGGGTGTCCGAATTAACGACTTTTGACTGTATATTGTTACGAAATGTCCACGTGCGGTAAGATAGCTTCAATGCAAAGCAGGTTTAGGGTTGCCATAGAACAGCAAGGGGAAGAAGAACTGCCACATTTGATGAGAAGTCGCCCATTTGGCAACAAAATTGGCGATATGTCATAGACAGAAAGAGAACCTTCTGGAACGAATTCCTACTGGTTTAGCCCAGAATGTTCTCGAACACAGGCCAAAGCTATATAAACAATGCTGGTATCAGGAGAGATAATACGTGCAGAGTTAAGTGTCTCGTCTAGTTAGTCCATGGGGAGTCCATTGAGTTGATAGTTAGTCAGTGAGTGCCTAGTGCTGAGCTGGTCATCGAGTGCACCGAAAGTGTCTCTTAGTGTATCATGGTTAGTGCATTGTTGAGAGAGTGTGTTGAGTTCCGGAAACAACTGAACCGAGAAGTTGGGATACTCCAGTGTATCGTCGAGTGCATTGCGAGTTGTAGTGTGGAGAGTCTCGAGAGTACGTAGGGTTTCAAGAACGACCGAGGAGAGTCGGGAGCTGTATTCCGGTGCTTTGCCTTGAAGCTGTCTTCACCATGATAGCCTCATAGGCTGAATGCTGTGTTGCTGATTCTTACAGCATGTTTATAGATCTTCGATGACTGTAAAACTTACCTTTGCAGCTGTCTTGAATAATACTGGCCAATAGAGTGTGTTTTGATACTTCATCGAGTGCTGTCCCCATTATTCACTCCAAATCCACACGAACCCATGTGTAATATACGTGAAGAGAAACATGTAACAATGTATACACAAATACAATTTTTTTACATTCTTTACATATTAACATTAAATGATCCAGTAACATATCCTACTAATGAAAAAGAATTTTTTAATTCCTTGTTCTTCCAATTGCCTTATAACTGAAGAGACTTGCTAACGACATTTTACCAGAATACAGTTAAAAAAATTTATAACTAGGACTTAATAGTATTATGACTTGAAAGTATTATGCTATAATGATCTAACAATATGAAGAGAGAGGGGAGAAAAAAGCATATTTTAATGAAATAACAGACCATTTTAAAAATGTCAGCAAATTATTAAAGGAACTTTCATACACAATCTCACCACATAAAATGTGAAATGTAGCATTTTAATTGTCTCTCTAGGCTTATTTTCTATGCATGAAAGCAATAAAATGGGATACTAGGTAATTACAAACACTTATCAAGACTTGAACCCAAAATCTGCAGTATGACAAAAACTTAAGCAATAATCATTTTGACACGATCATCACAACATCACAACTAGATAGTTATAAACTACATAAAAACTCAACAAAAAAAAAGGTGCTATAGCTATTATTTCTTAAATATTAATCCCTCCCTCCAAAATCTGCCCAAATATAAAATTGCTCAAAATAAGGTAGGAAATTTTATGAAAAAAATTTCAAAATTGAATTAGATATGAACAATTAATATCTTCTTTTGGTAATCTACAAAGTTAATATTTTATGCTATTTTGCCCACCTGTGAAACCACTAATCAACAATATAAGATATTCTTGTTCTTTAAATTAAAATAGCTAATACAGTACTACCCCACAAGCTATGTATGTTCCATTTTAAAATGTGGAAATTCTTTCACAAAACTTTTTAGTGTCCTATCTTTATTTATTTAGGAAAGAAAGAATTTAACTCCATAAAAAGGTGTAAAGATAGTAAAAATTAGGCAATTCTAGTAAAATATTACTGCATAAGCACAACATGAGACTAATATATTTTAGTTAATTACAAGCATCAACAAAATATGGTCATCATCAAAACAGATGGTAAGCTGTCAAAAATTGAACACATCTTAAAAACCTGTGCTGGGAAAACAGTGTACTAAAATTTGAAACTGTACACCAGAATTGCATAAAAATGTAAAGATAAACTGCCAGTATTTTCAATCAGAATACAAATTCCCGAAATGTCCAATAAATTCGCTTAGTATTCTTTTACAGATTAGATTAAAATAAACAAACTGAAGGGGACTTCTTGTTATTGTGACCATTACTCAAAAGATAGATAAATAAATTAGACATGACTCTTTCTAATTTTTTTAAAGAATGAAAAATTTAATTTTAACTGAAAATACTCTAATCATTGAACCAACTGAAAAATAATCTAAGTTGGCAAACTTGTTTTGTTCTAGTCTCTTTCTCCAATAAACCTATTATTTTACATTTACTTTGCTTTCTTACAAAACCTTTAAGAACTACATAAAAAATTAACTCATCTATTTTTAAAATTGATCTACTCTTAATGCTGAAATTGTTTTCATTAAACTATCTTCCTTGATTTGAAAAAACTCATAATGAGTAATTTATGTCTAGAACAAATATTTTATAAAATAAAGCTTTGTTGAATAAAAATATGTATTAAAAAATCCATAATGTAATGAAAAATCCATTAAATTCAATAGTCTTAAGAATCTCAATTTTATTTATTTATTTATTTTAAAGTTCTAACATTTTAAAAAAGAGCTCCTTGGTTTATCCCTAATGAAAATTTATCTTTTAGTAATATTCCCAATAATATATAATCCTTGTCATTTAAAAAGGATGCTTTTTCCTTCAGAGATAAGTAAAGTTTTGTATGGATATGGTACATTATCTTCCAAGTCTTTAATAGCAAATAATCACTTTAAAAAAACTACATACCTAAAAAAAAAAAAAAAAAGAAAAACCTGCAGAGCATGATGTTGCTTACATAAACAATTAGATAAAAGATTAATCCATTACCAATTCTTTTTTTTAATCTAGAACATAAAAGAGCCTTAAACTATCATACAATTGCTTTTGTGACATCTTACATAAAGATTCTTTCATGCACATATTTAAACTGTTTTTAAGAAGGTATCATTGATATCTGCATACAAGTTCATATACAAAAAATAATTCTGCCTCTATTTTTTAAACACTTACTTTGGTCAGAAGGAACAGGACACACAGCTGGAACCTTTTCTTGACACATAACATGACATGCAAAACCACAAACTATGAGGAAAAACAATATTAATGTAAGAAAACTATCCCCACCCAAAAAAACAGAACATTTATATACATGTAAAATTCACTGTCATTTCTACTGCTAATTTGTAATTAAACAGTTTTCTCTTTGAAATAAAAATAAGCTAAGCAATACTTTCGCATATGATATCCAAAGGCAATAAAAATAAAGGAAACAAGATGAATAAAAATTCAAGGAATACAATCAATTTGATTTCTAACAGTCTGATTACAAGAATATAAAATACCTTCACAGACTGCCCCTTGCCTGCAGAGGCCAATCATGAGAGACGTACAATGGTTACACTTAATTGGTGACGGAAAACTCCTAATTAGGAACTGATGTGCCTTAGGCTAAAATGAAACCATCAACTAAATCAATTATTATTACATATAAAAATGTTTTATTGACAGAAAATGAAACTGATACAAGAAATTTATTTTAAAACAAGTATTTAATACTTTAAAGTTCATATCTATTGCATATATTATAAAAGCTTAAAAAAAGAATATATTTCCCCTTAGTAATATTTTGAAGAAAAAAATGAATATTTCACAGGTGAAATTTTTCAGAATATTATCACAGCACAATTTAGTTCATGCTAAACTCACCTTAGGACTTAACAAGTTAATAACTGGCCGTGAATCTATAACAGGTGAAAATGTGAAATTTTCCTAAAGGAGAAGAAAAGATTTCTTTAGTGTGACAGCTTTATTTAAATATAATAACTAAACATAATATATATATAATAATATACATATTTGTGTTATAAACAGATCAAATATTACATGAAACTTACAGCACTAGCTTCTGAAGCTGTAGATTTGCTGCTTGCACCTGAAGCAGGCTGATTGTCTTCAACATCAGCTTCATCCCCTGCACCAGCAGATTCTCCACTGTCACTATGTGCTAGTCTTTGAGATGTGTCTTTCAAAAATTGATCAAGAAAAGACATCCTCGATGATGGTCGGTCAAGAACTGGAATAAATATTTTCACACTTATGCTCAGCTAGTCAAAAAAATCAGCTTAATCATATAGAAATATCACCATGGAAACAGAACTGATAAAAATAGAATATTTTGTAAACATTTGCTTCTTCCTTTAAGAAAGAAAACTGAAATTGTATGGGGGGGAAAAAAATGTGTATTACCATCAATAATTAGTTTATGATCATTGTCTCCTTTCAGAAGCACAAAGAGAAGGAAAAGATTAGCATGAAAAGAAATTTCAACAAAATAATCAAGTCTGAGAGCTCATACATAATACTTTTAAGTTAATGTTCAGAAGTGCCTCTCATAATAAACACAATCCACTTCAGGGGATGTTCATTATGTGATTCATTTATTAGGTGGGATGCACTTCCCTTGCATTAATGCAAGCAATTTTAATCCTTCTCAAGCAAAATAAAAAATCACAAGCAATGTTGGAAATGCTATGAAATTACTTATTAATAATCTAGAAAAAGCTGTGCAGATGGCACAGTGGTTAGTTTTAACACAGTGCTAGTTTCAAATCCCAGAGAAGGCATGGCTGTAATTGGTAACAGTGGGCCACCTATTACAAATAAGTGCTTCCACACCACTTCTGGCCTTAGTAATGGTCAAGCCTAAGTCAGCTAAGGGTTAGAGTTGACTTTAGAGTAGCCCTTGTATTATTGTGAAATCATTGTTTCATTTATCACCAAGTTGTTGTCTCATTTATGACAACCTGAGTAGTTGAATGTTATGGAAACCCTATTATGACATAACTGGTTACGGTGAATTTGAATCATGGGAAAAATTTGGAAAGTGTGTGTCGGATTTTGGGTAAGGGCTTGTGTGTGATGGATTAGTACGTTGTAATTTTGCGGTTTACACGGTACATTGGCTGAATGTGGTAAGATTAATTTGAATTTTCTGTAGGATTTGAAATGAAAGGGAAAAAAGCATTAATTGACTGGTGTGCAAATGAAGGTTTACTTAGTAGCCATTATTAAGTGTTCTGTTTGGAGGAAGGAAATGCGCATGGTCAAACATCGGATATTTTCGAACAGAGTATATTTTTTACTCTTATTTTTGTGAATTTATGTGGCTACACCAGTATATAAATTCTAGTTCAGATAATTTTAGGAAATGTTTTGACGCTGTTAAGGAATTGTGTTTGACTGAAGATGCATAAATTCATAAATAAGGTAAGTGGATATTTCCTTCATGTAGTGTCAAGATGAATTTCCTTTTCTATGTTATTTCATTATTTGATTTAAAATGTAGTTTATTCAGATTATATATTTTTTGTTGGCTGCTCCTTTGACTTTTTAAGTGAATATAATTCGATGTGTACATGGACAAAGTCAAGGGAGTGCGCAAAGCCTATTTTGTGAAATTTCTCCGATTTTTTTAAGTGAAAATAGGTCAATGTGTACATGGATAGAGTGTGCAATGCCATTTTTGCACAATTCTGGGATTTTTCTAAGTGAAAATAGGTCGATGTGTACATGGATACCGCGTTTGTGCAATTCTTTCTCTTGTTATTTTGGCTTTGTGTAGCGAGATTTTTGCCCCTAAAATTGTCACTACACAAGCCAAAATAACAAGTCAAAGAATTGCACAAACTCGGTATCCATGTACTGCGAAAAATCGTCAAGTTTCGCCAAGGGGTAGCCTAAAATATACTTTTACCCAGCTAAGTGCCCACTAATTGGGGGGGGGGATCATCCAGAAAAAATATTTATATCCACTATGTATGTAGAGATATAAAATTTTTCAGTTTAGTTAAATCTGAGTCTTCTCATTCTTCTGCCAGTGTTGAATTGAAGATTAAAGCTGTCCTTAACTTTCTAGAATGCCTTCCTTTGGGAGATCCAGGTTTCAAGTAATTGCATAAAGCGGTTTGCCTATCCCATTTCTTCAAAATAGATCTGAAGTAGTGCAAGGCATTGTTATTGAGTAGAACTGCCTTTCTGTTTCAGTTACCCTCAGTTTGAATGAGATACCACCTTGAATGTGGACTTGATCTCTTTCCATTCTTCTTTCCATTTCTTCAGAAGGCCCTTGACAGCAGGACTGACTTTAATCTCCCTTCTTTCCCAGTATTTTTCTTCTCTTTCCCACCAGAAACAACTTTCATCCTCATGATGAATACTGGCAGATTTCAATTTTGATTTCTTTTGGGCATAGTTTCTTGAATTCAATAATTACCTGCTACTACATGTTAACTGAAACACAGAAGTTGTATTGATATTTGGAAATTCAATCATCCCCCAGGGTTTCTGGAGGCCAGAGGCATTATCAAGCAATGGCAAAGTTTTCCTGCCATTGGTAAATCATTCCCTACCAGATATTTTCTGCCTTAGAAAACATACTAACTAATCTTTAAATATAGATCGAATGATGAAAAAATATTTCTTTTGATTTTTGTAAGACAGGCAGCCTCGATTTAACACTGTTCCTTAAAAATTTGGGATTTCCTAATAAATAAATCAATAAAATTTTAGCTTCTGATCTCTAGTTGCAGTGGCTGCAAAAAGGGGTATTGTTCAATTTTTCTTAGGCTTATGCTTAGAAACTGTTCTTCTCTTGTCACATAATTTCTGTCGGGCATCTTTTCCCAGTTTCATCATGCATGTAATTCCTAATTTTCATATGCTGTTTATAATATTATGAATAAATTCATTATGTCATAAATTTTTTACCATGTTTTCATTATGCAGAAAATTTTCCCTTAAAGGGCATTCATTATGCAAGGCACTGCTGTACTTAAATAAATTAATTTGACAGGAGAATAAAATCAAAACAAAGGAAGGAAAAGAGATTGAAAATACTACACAGATAAAAGAAGTACTTAATCATGAAAGCATGATTAGAAAATTAAAACAAATTAGGAATTTATTACTTATATTTCATTCTTGTAACTCAGCTTACATTACTGAAAGTTACAGACATTAACAATAAATTAATTTTTGGTGCATACATAAAAATATATTTTAGATGACCAAATTCTAACCTACATAATACACCATGGAGTCACAGAATTTACTCAAAAATATCTTTTAATCTTCTATTACTACAGCAACAAAGACAGCTTATCATAAGCAAAAAGTTAATAAAAATAAATACAGCAAAACTAAGCAGTTCAAAATGAAGCAAAAACCATACACTATGATGTAAAAAAATCATGGTTTCAAATAATTCAAGAATTTGCTTAAATACTCGACAATGCACTGAAACAGATATTCAAAGAGGACATATGCAGTTCTTTATAACCCTAAAGTAATCTATTCTATCAATGCTGATGTCTATGAAAATCCTACATGAGAAAACTACCTACAAAGCACGATACTATGACTAACTACAGATAGATTCGCTTAAGCATGTACAAACTTCAGGGAGGTATATGTTACTTAAAGACAATTCAGAAAGTCACAGCAATGTAGGGGTGAAAATATATTCATTGCACATTAGAGGATGTTGTTGTAGAACCTGTAAGGCATGCCCGAATGAAATCAACTGCAGAAAAAGCAGGATGGACGGTTTCAGTAAATTCAAGTTAGCAGATATGCATTTAGCATTTGAAGTAGCCATATGTAATGGGCGAGCTACTGTGCACCTGTTCAGTGAGAGGTACCCTAACAAGTGAATTCCTAATCAACATGCACAAGTGCATAAAAAAATTGTGTAATGCGCAATTTTTCACAACACAATTGGGAATGAGCGACAAAGCCAACAGAAGTAGAAGAGACAGTGCTCTATTCTGCATGTTAGCCCATGAGTGATAGCTAGAAACTTCACTGTTTCTCAAAACATCATCTGGATAATCCTGTACTCGAGCCACTTACATCCATACCATGTGCAGCATATACAGCAACTGCTTCCTGTGATTATGCACCATAAGTTGCATTGGTTGAATGGTAGAACTCCATTTTCTGGCTGCTATCCTCTTTACCGATGAAGCATATTTTACCAGAGAAAGGTGCTACAACACAAAATAACACACATATATTTATAGGCAGTGAACAACCCCAGCAGTACCTGAGCACACACAGCACAACATCAGCTTTCCATTAGTGTTTGCGGTTTGCATTGTTCGTGACCACCTAATATGTCCATATCTCATACCTGTTAGGCTGAATGAGTGAAACATTTTATAATATTTTCTGGAAGGAAGTCTTGTGTAACCTACCTTTCCCTGAAGTTTGTACACACTAAAAAAAAAAAAAAATGTATATGCTAATAAAATTATTTAATCAATAAGTTATCTTATTTCTGGTGATCATCAGTAAAAGATAGCTAAACTGAGTATTATCAATTTTTTGACAGAAAATTTAGTACACTGCATGCATTTCTTTTTACATAATAAAACAAAATTATTAATGCACTAATAAAGCTGCATTATTAACGCAAGTTATTGAAAAACTATTAGTACCATGCAGTTTTCTCAATGAAATGAAAAACTGGGCTTTTTAAGCATATTACCTTTCCTTGTAGCAGTGTTTTTTTTTTTTTTTTTTTTTTTTTTTTTTTTTTGTTTTTTGTTTTTTTTTTAAATATAACTTTCGAAGGTCACAGAAATGCCAAAAAAAGCTGTTACATGCCTAAATATAGAGAATATATATATATGCAAATTATCTGCAATAGCATAAAACCTTTCATTACTAGTCTTCTACTTCATCTTAACTGAAAATTCTACTTTTTATGTTGCAATAATAACATTACACCTCCAAGCTTTTAAAAATCTATCATGTCTGATTCTACTTACAGAATTATATTTTAACAGAATAAAACTACAAATATATGGCAAATGATAAATATATTATTTTATTAAAATGTTACCATTCTGACATTGAAGTTCCACAAGATCAGCAGCTATGTTCATAAGAAATGAATAGCATAGATTAAATAGCAATAAAGAGGAAGGCAGAACAGAATACACATAAAATACAACTTAAAATATAACATGTAGTATAATAGTGATGTAACTGATATTAAAAAAAAAAACCAAATAAAAAATCTACTTGAGCCCAAGTTTCAACTTGAAACGTCACTCGTAAACAAACTCCACTTACACTTCCCCAAAACTTTAAGATATCATAATGTTCCTGTGAATTTTGTATATATGTAAATAATTTTAGTGAAATTGTATGTAAATTGTAGTACTTCTTGTGCAATGTAACACAAAAGACCTCAAGAATGCAAAGCTCCACCTGAAAAATAATGTTGTATAGACATTAAGATTTTTGAAGCAGGAGACATCAAAAATATGCAATGCCCTCACCGGGACCATGGACCTCTCGATATGCGCCGACGAGTGTGCTGACCATTATACTATGAAGGCATGCTAAGAGGGCAGGAGAAATACCTTATAACGTTACCGGGATAAATCTATTTAACATTGAGGAAAACGGCTCTAGCAAAATCGATGAAATAGTGTCAAACTGGCACTGGTTTTGGCAACTAATTTTTTTCACCACATTTGGAGAGGGATCACCAAAGTTGCCAAATTTGGAGACCTTTTGTGACATTCTGGTTCGATCCCTATATAAGTATAACTGGTTCAATTCCTATGTAATTTAAACTGTATCGGCTTCAGGCAACTACAGCTGTATAAGTCTTCCAGCAATTTCAAGAAATGAATGTACTGAAAATTTCTCAGCAGCCTGGGGAAAACTATATAAGATCAGAGAGAATATCAGTTCTCAGTTCAGATGAGTGTTGAGAGTTTAGCTCAGAGTATTGACAGTATTCAGAAATCACTCTGCAAGCTTATGCATTGAGGCTTTATATGTCTTCTGCTTAGCGTTCATAGTAGCTTGAAGTGGTAACTACTGTTTGTATACTATCATACCTAGAAGAGGTATAGGCGTACTTTTGTGAAAGTTCTAGAAGTATAAAGCGTTTCTTTTGGGAAAATGAATTTTATCAAATTATCATCAGTTCTGTGTGAATTCAATCCATTATGAACCCATACGCATGTATCAATATATTGCTACTGCAAGAAAATAATTATCTAGGCATATAATTAGTCTCATTTAAAATTCCTGTATATTTTTCATCCTGGACATTTTATATTTCCCAAAACCAATCCATGTGAAAATGCTACTTGGAATTAGAGCGTTATCCTAGCGAAGAGAAGCAAAATATCTACCACACCTCAGCCTAGGCTCGGGATGGCAGACCAGAGATTATCTGATGCTATGTTGAGCTAATACACTTTAAAAAAGTGTTACAATTCTTAATATTATATTAGAAAGTTTTATATCTCAAAGAAGTATAGAGTACTCTAAATTATTTGAGAATGAATTATCCACGCATGGTTCTGCACACACACTCAATGCTGCGCATGAGATTGTGTAAAAAACAAACACACGCAAGTCCCAGCTATGCACTCAAAATCACTGAACTGCATCTTAAATTGAAGGCACCTTTATGGAATTTAGGATCTTTGATTTAGCTTTTATTATTACTTATTTGCACAAAATTATTCAATGATCATTTAAAGATATGTTTTTATATGTAAATAATATTTTCATACAGTTGATTGAGGTCAGCATTAACAGGGCGAAGTTAATTGTGAGAAAAAATTTAAACTACCCCACTTTTATCATGATTTTTGAACATTCAATAAAGGCCCTAATTCACATAAATTTGAATTTCCGAATTGCATTCACATAATTTTGTCAAAACACACCAAATCAGATAACAGCAAAAGGCTATCATAACCTTTCTTAATGAAAACACATCAGAAAAACTGTAACAACTTTGATGCATGCATATATGCATACAGAAGTGTTAACATATGATTACAACAAATTGATAGTGCATTTAGTTACAAAGTCAAATTATTCTTTTTAAAATATATAAATAACTATCTCAAGAGTTATATAGCCCTAAAATTATACTCAAGGAAACTGTTAAAATGGTAGCTAAAATGAGAACATAAATATTACATCAGTAAAATCAGTGCTCAATGAATTTAGTGCACAGTAAAAATTAATTTCAGCCACCCAGATACTTTCATTGTTTCAGAAATGCTTTAATTGTTCATTATTTTTTAATGAAGATGAAATAAAAATAGCACTAAAATTGTTCTAGTTTTGGCAATTACTGAACACATTCACAAATGTATGACTTATGATAAACTTTTACTTTGAATATCTTTTATCTTTTGACATAAATAAATGAAAAGTGTTCTTAAAATGTTCTTTTTATTCATAGGAAGTGAGAAATTTTTTTTTTTTTTTTTTTTTAAATTATTTTGATAGTTTTGTCCTTTAAAATTTTCTCCCTAATTCCCAGCAATTTCCATTGCCCCTGCCCTCCAAATTATTTTTATCATTATTATTTGCTGAAAAATAGTTGCTCATTAATACTAACGAAATTTGAATACCAAATGAAACAAATTAAGATGGAAACTGGAAATTAAATTTTTAAAAAAAAGAGTTCAAAGATGTACATGTCTTGCACATGTGTCCAGTACATATCTTAATGTACTAACAACAAAAAATCTGAGAACTATCAAATTTTATATTATGCACAAACAGGCTTTATTTATTTATTTATTTATTATTTTCCTCCATTTACATACACATTTTGAGATCTGTTTCAAGAGCATTTGGGCTATGTCCTTTTGGGCTAAAAATATTTAAAAATGGCATGTCTTTACTATTTCCAATAGACAGCCTTGTGTGCTGGAGATAAAAATATAAGGTACTTTTCCGTTTTGCCGGCGCAAGCGATAAAGTCGCCAGTAATGGTACAACCGATGCCAAACGGAATATTCTTGCTGGAACCTTTTACGCCTCATTCAAAACAAGTCGCAGCTTTTTCTTTCAGATTGATTGTTCTTTCAATACTGGCATATCATACATAGATTTTATCAGATAGTTCAGTTTTATGTTTAAGGCAAATTTTCGGTAATTAAGTTAATAAGGATGCAATCACAGCGCTAACCCGAAGCCGAAAATATAGAAAGGTAAAGGTCAAGGTAATTTATCCATTCTAATGAGAATGCATTAGCGAAGTAAAGCACTGCAGTTTTACATAATTCTGAGTAAGCTATCGTACGAATTGAAATATTTCTTGCATTTAAACTTGTGTTCCAAATTAAGATTTAACTTGAAATAATGTGGATAATTACTAAGAGCATAGATTTTTGTAGAGTAGTTTACGTGAAATGAGATCGCTTGGGGTCACGTGATATAACGACGAATCAGATGTTAACCATGAAAGCATAGTAAATTCTTAATGTCTTTTTACAAATTTGTTGTCTTTATTGGCTTTTATAAAATTTTAAGCGATATTAAAATGTTTTATGCCTTCTTTTTTAAAAAAGAATTCTTAGAACTAAAATTTTTTTAATATTTTTTATGTGTATACTGTATGTTGTCGCCAATAAAGTCTGCTTGGCGGGATTTGCGCCGGCGAAACGGAAAAGTACCAAATATAACATTCCATGCAGTATTGAGACAGCTTGCTTTGAAACCACCGAGTTTTTCAACCAAAAATTCGCTAAAGTTTTCCAAAATATGAAATAGATAATAAAAAAAATCTGAAATTTAAAATTCCGGCTTCCACGTGCCAAATGTTCGAGTGGAGGACTACGTCATTAGAAATTTGATGGCTCTAGGAACCTTTGCTTTTTTGCAATGCGAGAAACATACATACATTCACGCAGATTCTTCATTATTTAATTTCTTTAAATATAATACTCAGTGATAATATTTGGTGGCAACAATTTGAAAAGTGATTAAATGCAAAATGCCATTTTGAGATTAATGGCTATTCTCAGCTAATGCCCCTTCAAGCTAATAATATGTAATTTAATAAGTTTCAATATTAGTTTTTAATCATTTTTGCTTTACATATAAAAATATATCATCAATTAATACTTTCCTCTAAAAAGGAAGACAATGAATGTTTTGAATGAGAAGCATTACTCATTACAAGAAAAGCAATTCTGCACAAAAGCAAAAAACATCAATGGAAAAAAAAATATATTTTTCAGTCTCTCCCTCTCTAAATAGAAATGAGCAAATTCTATTCAAAAAATTCTGTTTTTCTTTAACTAAAAACTTTTAATTTACTTTTTATAAAATTTAATTTTATTTCACTAAATTTAATCTCAAACACAGTTACCAATCTAATTACTTAAATTAAGGGGAAAATGTACTCATAACCCTTCATTAGTTTCTACTACTTCAAAATAACCCTATGAACAGATAAAAAATTTTATGATTATGTAAATTATATTTATTTGTAAATACTGAAACAACATTTTAAGAGAAAGGCCATAAAGAATATTTTCAAAATTTTAGTTATTTTGCAATGTAGTAAAATGACATGTTTATACTTGTCAAGTATGGTTTTCAGTGTTATGAATCATAAAAAGACCAGTAGACTACAAGATTTTAACAGTTTTAATAACAAAAGTTTGAAGGATTTGCCACATTGTAAATGAAGTACTTGAAATTAATATTGTTACAAAATGTACAGGAGCGGTAAGATGGCTTCCCCGCAAAGCATTTTTAGGATTGCCATAAAATGGTGAGGGCGGCAGGGTTGCCACATTTGGTGAGAAATTGCCCACCTGGCGACATTTGGCAATATACCATGGACGGATGGAGAACCTTCTGGAACGAATTCTTACCGGTTTAGCCCAGAATGTTCTCGAACACAAGCCAAAAGCTTTATAAGACCTGCTGGTTCGCAGTCAGTTAGTGTGTGTGCCTCGTCTAGCGAGCTGATAGTCAGTCATTGAGCCAGTGTCTCGAAGTCTAGCGCTGAGTGCATCGCAAGTTGTAGCGTAGAAAGTCTCAAGAATAAGTGGAGTTCTGAGAAGAGCAGAGTCGGGAGCTGTAATCCGGTGCTTCGCAGTGAAGCTGTCTCCACCGTTATTGCCTGACAGTGTGAAGGCTGTGTCGCTTATTGTTCCAGTGTGTTTATAGTAGAGTGTCGACGACTGTAAAAGTGTTTTGGAGCTGTCCTGATTAATATTGCTAAATAAAATGCGTTTCGATATTTCATCAAGTGCTGTTGTCGTTATTCACTCCAAACCCACACAATCCCATACGAACATGAAGGAAGAAAATAACGTAACAACTGGTGTCAGAAAAGAAAAGAAAAAACTGTAACAATATGTTGCATAAAGAAGATTGAACTTAGTACACTAATTACCAAGGCAATGCATGTGTACTGTACAATTTCCCCATTTTACATTAATATATATTAAAGCATAATTTTCTAAATAAAAATGAATAATTTCAAATAGAGAAAACACTGACTACACTTACAACTATCACCTGAATCAATTCTATGCTGAAGCTCTTTAATTTGTGCTTCTTTCTTTAAAAGATCCCTCTTGTAAAATTCTATTTTTTGCAAGCAATCTTTATGCTCCCTGTAAATGAGCAATTTAATTTGTTAAAATAAAGAAATAAACTTATTATAAGCTATACTTTGAAGCTGTTTCTAAATTAAGTATATTAATAAATGATATATAAAGATTTCAGTACACCTCAGTAACTGACATGTTTTCAATAAAGAAAACTACACATTGTCATATATGCAGTCATTTCATTAAATCAAAGATATTGTTTCAAATCCCAATGTTTATCATAAAATAACACTTAAATTAATGCTACAAAACTATAAGCTACTAAAATTCAATTGAGAAGAATATATCTGAATAGCATTTTTGAAAAGTTCACAAAATATTGAAAGATAATGCTTTAATGCATAAAATAACATATTTTAAGAATGCTTTACAAGTTCACTTTATAATAACAAAATAAGAACTTCATGATATAAACACACTCTTAACAATTTTTAATCCCTTAACTGCCAAAACTACAAGGAATAATTTTTTCTTATACAAATAATAATAAGCATTAAATTACATATCTATAACATAAATTGCTGTATAAAGTTTTATAAATCTACAAATAACTTTACATCTAATTAATTTAATACTAAAATTTACATTACATTTATTTTACAAATACATATGATTTTCAATGAAAGATTCAAGCATAAAAAGCTTCACTACAATCATGATGTAAAGCTACTACATTACATATTTCGCATCTATAAACAGTCTGACTATGCCATTCTTTACAACGAAGTCTTTTGTTAACCTCGGACTTTACGATAAAATGTCTACCATCTACATGTAATTGGTTTTGAATGCTGAATTTACTAGGTCTTCCTGTTGCTGATCCATTTCTGGCTAATTCTACATTCTCAGTAGGAGTTTGCAAAAGGAATAATGCAATATTGCATCTGAAATCTAAAAGAGTTTTTATTTCCAGTACTAGATAGTCGTAATATTTTCCACGCATTTGTCAAGGATACATCAACGTATTTAGTAAATAATGGCCAAGACCATTTAAACACAACATATCTTTAGAATTTCCTACAGACAGTCTCATGCACTGAGATAATTTTTTTTTTTTTTTTTTCCTGCACACTGTTACCATTGCTTGCTTTGAAATTGCTCAGTTTGTTAATAAAAAAATCGTTAATGTTTTACAAAATATGAAATAGATAATAAACAAAATTCCAAATTCTGAATATGGATGTCCAGGTGCCCGTGTTCAAGCGGAGGATTACATCATTCAAAATTTGATAGCTCTAGGTACTGTCATTTTATCACAAAGCAAGAAACATAAATATATTCCTGCAGATTCTTCATTGTTTAATTTCTTTAACTAAGGTGATAATATTTTGTGGGAACAATTTTAAAAGTGATTCACCATTTATAGTGAAACTCCACAAAATGCTATTTAGAGACTTAACTCTTTTGGGCTCAGGGTTCATAGCCACATTTTAGTTCAAAAATTAAGCACCTATAAGCACTTTTCAAGCACATTTTAAGAAAAAAATAAGCAAATCAATTACATTATACACAACTGCTAACTTCAAAAAAATTAGACTCGTAATTTAAAATATGAGAAATGCAGTATTATTAAGAGAGAATAGCATGGGGGACAAGAGAATAGCATGGGCAGAGAAAGGGGGAACCTCAACCATGGAAAATAATTACTTTTTTTTTTTAAATTTTAAATAACAGTTCAATTTACAGAACTAATTTACAATAAGAGAAAAAAAAAACTATGCACAACTAAACTATATTACAAGATTTAATGATGAAAATTTCAGTTCAAAATAGAGGAAATAAATAATAATAAGGCCATATTATTCTATTCGCTTGGAACTTAATAATAAATACAATTCCATTTTTCCACTCATATTGATATTTAAACTAATTTAAATCTAAATTCTGAACATTTTCTAAATTTTCATCGTATATCAGTTTTTCCTTAACAGATATTGCAAGCAAAGTAATTTAAGTAAAAAAAGAGGAACATTTCTGAAATCAGAAGACAGAAATTTGCTTCATGCAGTCATCCTTTAACAGTAAAGCTTAACTACTACCCGCATACTTGAAAATTGGCGAATATTCGGACAGTCGAGCGTAACTTGAAAAAGAGGAGCAGAGGGGGGGATAGACTGTAGCCGTTCTTTAGATTTTTCCACTAAATAAATGCTTTTGACATTTCGATATGTGCATCATATAAAAACAAACCAACGGAACAGAAAAATATCCTGCTTAGCAAGCACAGTAAAACTCTTTTAAGTGTTCATAAACAAATCTCGGACCGAACATCAAAATTAATTATCTCTGCAAAATATCGCAAACGTTATTGCACAATATGTGCACCGTAATTCTTCCCTACATGATATTATGCAATCGGATTCAACAGCTGCCGATATTGGGAGAATAAAGAACTAAATCAAGGAAAAGAAAGAGACTTGGGGTGTTTTTCATTCTAATTTTCAACAGACTGCGTTAAATTTCCGGAATAGAATCATTCTTCGCTTGGGTTGGTAGACCGCAAAACTTTTAGTCTTATTCAATCCAGATTGGAAAGTGACTGACAAAAAAAAAAAAAAAAAAAAAAAAGTATGTGCTTATTTTGCAACGAACTGTAACAGTTTCAATATTCGTGATTTTGGCGGAGAAAGGAAGAAAACCTCCCAACCTTCGTACTGTATAATGTATTGGCCAAAAAAATGAAATTATTTTGACTATTCGATTACTTTCCCTTTATTTACGTCATTCCGAATATTATTAATTAGAAAGCTAATCTGTGTTAAAACACAACCATTTTTGGAAGTTTACTATACTTCAGCAGTTACTGCAACTATGTTATTATAAACATTCATTATATGCTCATAATATAAGCATAACGATCATAATATCATAATAAAATCGAATATGAACTGACCAAGCGGAACGAGAATGCAAATTATTAAGATCTTGATAGAAATTCAAACGTGTGTAGTATTTGGGTAGGAGGAAAAGAATGCCAAATGTACCGAAATTTTCTACTGCTTTCGCAATTCTTTGCAATTCTGCTTCGCAACAGAACGACGGGCACCTGTGTGTACTCTCCGTGTACACCAGAGGTTATGTTAATGCAGAGAAAGGGGGAAAAGCTATTTCCGGGAATATGATTCACAATCTGACATTCCATATTAGGAAGAAAAGTTGTTTATTTAGTTTCAGCTTTGGTACGGGGAAAAATTGCGCATTCATTTAAAAAAAAGCACCAAAAGCAAAAAATAAGCACTAAAAACAAAAAAATAAGGGCTTTAAAGAAAAAGTAAGCACCTATAAGGGCCTTTATATTTTGTTTTCAAATATAAGGACTTATAAGCACTTATAAGGACCACTATGAACCCTGTGGGCTACTGCTCCTTTGAGCTAAAAAAAACCTTGTCCAAAAGTTGTGTAAGTTGTCTCACACGGAACACTGATTTCCTTACACATATTTTAAAATCTGAAATAGTTATCAAGAGCATCAAATTAGCAATTCATAATTAAGATATATTGCAATGGAGACTATAGGGGTTCATTATCCTCAAAATGAGTGGCTGCGTGTCTACACTGACAACTCTATGTTAGACAGAGCATGTGGTGCTGCAAGCTGGTATTAATAGCAAGCTTTTTAATTTCTACTTACCAATGAGCCCTCTTATAACAGCCTTTTTTGTGGAAATGAAAACCATTGCAGTAGCTATTCAACGACTGTCGATTCGTAGCCACTCTTTTGTAAAGGCAGTCATATTGTCAGATTCCAAAAGTGCACCTAAAGCCCCTCTGAATAATCAGAATAGTTCCCAAAGAATCTTAGACTGTAGGCATTTGCTCAAGTCAATAACAAACAGAATTTCTTTCCAATGGATTCCAGCCCACTATTGAATGATGAGCAATGAAAAAGCCAATACATTTTTAGAACTCTGATAGTGCAATGCATTAATCAACCACTTTCTTTTCATATGACTAAATTGTTTGTTAATCTGACACTAAAGAAAATTCTTAAACAAGATATGATTTTCCATACTATGGATAAGAGATGGAGGATTCTGGGGAAAGAGAGAACTTTCATTCCCAGTTTTTCAAGAAAGACAGTGGCAGCTCTATTTAAACATCTGACTGGACATGACTGTTTGCAAGACCACCTCTATAGAATTGAAGTGGTGGATTCCCCAAACTGTGTTTTGTGTGACTTGAATCAGTCTATGATCTTTAAACATTTAAATAATTGCACTGTATTTTTTTCAGCACAATGACATTGTTAAAAAGTACTGGACAAGCCCTGAACTAATGGCTATTTGGCATTTGTAAAATAATATTTAACAAACAGAAATCTATTACCTTTTTAAGTAAAGATGTTCTGTTTCTTCTTCCTCTTAGGGAGGAAACTAATGCAGAAACAGACAGGTGAAACAGTAACAAAACTACCATTTACTAATTAAATGTTAACCAATTAAAAGTTAACCAAGCAGTTATTAACGGGTCAAACAATTTTGTGATCGTAAAGAGATGGAAGAATATCAATACATGCGTTGTGTTTACCATACATCCGGGACCGTGCTGTGAGAGGATCGAATAATAAGACAACAGTATTTCATAAGCAAGAACATAACAAAATTCCAAATTAATTCTGAGTTTATTAAGTATTCTCATGTCAAAAGGAATTTCCATTAATTTGCTGATTATATCTTCACCTTAATTTAATTTTTTGACATCAAAATTTTATCATGAAACATACTTATTTACTTTTCCAGATAAAAACTATTAAGTAAATCATACAAAAAAACAATACACACTTTTCTTTGTCCTTAAGCAAGGGAATTTGACATACAGGCTAATAATAATTTCATAATAAAAAAATGTACATTCTTAATTAGATGGAACTCTGAATTTTAAGTTAATTTTAGAAATAAAGATATTAGGATGAAGGCGAGTTTCATTTAAGTCGTTGGAAATTAACGTTACAGTTAGTAGGTACTTATTATCTTCTTCTATTTCCTTAAAAAAATAATAAAAAATTCTTATCTGGAGGGTGGTCATCTTGAAGTGAAAAATGAACCGTTTCTCTAATAACCGTCCTTACAACACCTGGCTAAACGACATCCTGGAATATCACAAAGATTGGCACGGCAATGACTCCTACATTTCACGAGGAAACTCAGCTCACTGTTCAGTGGGATTGAATAATGGAAGAATGATTGTAGCTTTTGTTGCAGAATGATTTAGCCACTATCCTCACAGGAAACTGTCCAAACGTGAACCATTGAAGTAGTACCCCTTACAGAAAAGCTGTTCTAACACGAACCGTTGGTATAGTATCTTCTCAGGAATAGCTGCCATAACCCGAACAACTGAAGAAAGATTTTTGCAATAAATATTTGGCCATACCAGACCATAGCGACAGTTGCTGGATAAACTATATCGGCTATGCGAACAATTATTTTTCGTTAACATGCTGCACAGCTAGAGTACTCCCCATCAGTAACTGTTCGGCCAACAAAATCAGCAAATGCTCAGATGCATGCTTCTCCCTGCACATAACAAGGTCAGGAGCATGAAAATGCTGCTTCCCTCCTTTCCCTTCTCCTTCGAATCAAGGGATCAACTACACCCAGACGATCCAAGCAAAAAGTGTCTGTTCTTCAAAAACTCCTTCACTTCCTTCAGCAAACACATCTCCCATAATGCCAATATTATCGCCCCTCAATTTTAGCACTAATTTTAGCTTTTACCCCGAATGACCAAAAAATGTTTACGACACATGCGCACACCAACTGTCTTTCGCCAAGAACCTGACACTGCAATTCGCCAACCTGATGACTTGGTGAAAATGCAATCCTTGACCTTTCCATCACGTAAACAAGTCCTAGGGGTCAATCGCACAAAAGAAGTTTGTTCTAGAAAATTCTAAAGGGCAAACAGCACCATGACAAAGCGAAATTCGTCAATTTTTCGAACCCTTCACAGAGAAGCAAAATTTTGAGAAAACTCAAAAATAAAAGAAAATAATAACTATTTGTTGAAGTATCTGCCTTTCCCCAAAATTAAGAATTACAAAACCGAATTAATCACAAAAATAAAAACTCAATTTAATAATTCAGAATAAAACTAAACATTAAGATTTTCAACTAAGAAAATAATTAATTAATCCAGTTCTTTATAATAGATCAATTAATTATTTACACAACAAAGACATTACTGGAAAATACCTAAATGATGAATAGAACTGAAATATTAAAATTTATTAACACCTTTTTTAAAAAAATTATAAACTTTATAAAATTAATTTTAAAGTAATCAGTTAAAAAATTAAGAATTTCACACCAATAATATGTGCAAGTTATAATAAACTCTGCAAAATAACATTAGTAAACAAATGCATGTTAACATAACAATATGAATAAATATTTTCTCAACTAGTATTCTCCTCGCATACATAGAATGCATATATATAGGCAATAGTAATTTTTCAGTTTTTTAATATTTTAGACCTCATTCATAACTTATTAAGAAAAGGACAGGCAGATGATCAATACCATTTTCTTAGGTTCACACACAGAAAAATTTGCAACAAAATTAATTTTTTGCCCACAAATATTAAAAAATAGAGGAGGGAGGAGAAAAAAGTAATTTTACTTGGTTTCAAGAAACAACACATCAAAACAGAACAAATACTATCTAACAAATAAAAGTAAAATCTTGAAGACAGTACATGAAATCTTAACACAAACCAAAAAGTGAGCACAACAAAAACAGCCATGCATAGTTACCAATCTTGAAAAACCATGATTTTGAAAGAGGATTTGCCACTGTGATGAAAAATCATTTTAAAAGAAAGCCTAATTGACTTAAATTCACTTAAGAATGCCTGATTCAGATTATTCAATTATTTAAAATATAATTTCGATGCAAAGCATATTAATATTTAATTAGCTATTCTAAATTTTTATATTCTTTGTCTAATTATATTCTGTAATTTACTTACATTTCTGTACTTTGAAAATCCTGGGCAGGGAAGGAAAGCTTAGTTTATCAAAGTATTTTCAGACAGAATGACAATAAAATTAATACTTAACCAACATCTATGTGGATAAGCTTAGTAGCATATCACATACTGATATAGAACAAAATTTAATATACATATTAACTAATTAAACATCGGTTAAAGCTTCACGCAAAGATCTACTAATGTGTGCAAGAAATTAAAACAATTCAGACTAAATAAAATTTAATAAGAAAAATAGGCTGGAAATCACAATGGGTGAAAGAATGCAATTTGCAGAATTTAAATTTTATTAATACTACTCATATTTTATTTATTGCTGAAACACATTTTCATTGGTGAAGGCTAAAGATTAAAAACCAGAAATTTGGGAGAAGTGATGAAAAACTGGGAAAAACAGCAGCTACGTCGACATATTGTTTTAGACATATGATAAATTTTGAAAACTGAATCTAGGTATAAAGATTGCTTTTAGAATCCGAATAGAACAGATGATAAATAATGCATAACTCCCTCTTAAATTTTAAAAATTAAAAAAAAAAAAAAAAAAAAAAAAAAGGTAGTATCTGTTATCTGATGCTATTGCTGTGATTGACCATCAATTGATTACTGAAAATTGAATAAAGTGTGAAATTTAAATTGTTACGGATTAAAGACCTTTTCTTTAACTTCGCGTTTGGCAGCAAAATTTGTGAAAGCAGATCTTGCCGTGCATCTTTCCACTATCAACCAATCACATACTCTTCACTCTCAGTGAAGAAAAAGTGGGAGACAGTTACAAGTACACCAAGGTAAAAAACTTATGTATTCTTAAAATCCATGTAATCTATTATTATGTCTTATCTAGAAATGCAAACAGAACTGTAAATACTGCCCTACATATGGAATAAAGATAACAGAAGAATTTCTCATGTGTAGTTCAACTCAGTTTCCTCCCAAATATTACAGATCTATTAAATCAAGCACGCTGAAAATCAGACCGTCTAAAAAATTAATTACAGCAAAGGATTAATGGATGGTTGCATATCTTTCAAACAGATCTTGTAAACTAGAACTTCAAAACAAATAATCATCACAGGATTTATCATAATCATTCAGTGATCAGCAGATGTTTCATTACACAGGAACATTCCAGATATTTTGAACTACATAAATTTTAATCATACATATTTTGATGCAAGCATATAAATTAATTTATTAATGTGAGACAGTATTTTCTTTTACAATATAAAGAACTATTTTACAAATAATCTTAACATCAAAGATCGTTGATAGTATTATATTTTAAATACTGAATAAATAAATCTGCAAATATCTACATAAAAAAAGCAGAGTAAAACTTCTTACTATACCATATAGAAATTTGTAATAAAACTATGCATACTATGTATATTTAGTTTACTTCTGAATCTAACACAAAAATTAAAGGTAAAAAAATTACTTTTGCTCAGCTACAAGCTCAGCACGAACTTTACTCAGCTCTTGGCTTATAGCTTGTTTAGCTTGTATTTCACTCTGCAGGCTGGACTGAAGATTAAGCAACTCCATTTTATCTAGCTTCTGAGACCTACGGTTCTTCCAGTTCTTTTCCTGATTCAAATCATATTTCAGTATTTTGTATATTTACATATATACATGTTACATAGTTATATGCAATCAATATAGTGACATGTATTATATATAAAGGGTTCAGCAAATCAATCTCCTGTATTTAGAAAGGGAGCTGTGTGAGTTTTGGTGGGGATACAGCGGCGGAGGGGACATCAGTCAATAGTGGGATATGTGGCATTTGCAGTAGTTGCAATGGCATGGAATAGTGCATTTGTTGTGAAAGAGTATATTCATAATGGTGGTTATGTGATTACTACTACTCAGCGGTCATTTTGCATTTGGTTCAAACTTCACCAACATGATCCTGTTCCAGAGAGAAAAACTATCACGTTTGGGTATCAAATTTTACAGCAACAGGTTCTGGACTAAAAAAGAAATCCCCTGGCCAATCTCGGACCATAACAATGCCGCACGTGAGAGCATTCATCCATCATTCTCCAAAGAGTTCAGCACTTAAACATGCAGCTTCCCTGGGATTGTCTGACAGGAGTGTAAGAAGAATCTTCACATGTATCCATTCAAAGTGATGATTACCCAAGAATTCAGTGAGAGAAATTCTGAAACTCGTAGAACTGCATGTCAGGACATTTTTCAGAACATTCCTCACGGCACTGTTATGAATTCATTTGATGATGCAAACTTCCATTTGTCAGATACTGTAAATAGACAAAATTTCCACTACTGGGTAGGAGAAAAATACCAGGAACTTCACCAATGACCACTTCACAGCCTTTGTGTGACAGTTTTAGTGTGACTTTGATGAATTTGGTCTGTGAGCTCTTATTTTTTTCAAAGAAGATGGGCTAACAGTAATAGTTATCATGAATTGTTACTAACAAATGTCCGAGACCTTATTCCAACCTAAGTTAAAGCAATTTTTGGGGGACTATGAACAGGGAGAAGTCTAGTTCCAACAAGATGGAGCCAAGCTCACACTTCATGGTGTTCTCTAGCAATTCCGAGAAAACTATTTCCGGGACGTCTTCTCTTTTTGCGAGAAGACATGAGCTGGATCTCAATGTCACCCAATTTATCCCCTTGTGATTTTTTTTCTTTGGAGACAGTTAAGGCACAAGTGTACAAATATCACTCCACAATCCTGCAAGCACTTATAGAGGCAATCATTCAGGCAGTGGCTGCCATTCCACTGGAAATTACACAAAGCACTATGGACAACTTTTGGGAAAGACTTCTTTAATGGAGAAAGCCATTTACTGGACATGATTTTTAAAACCAAGAAACGTAAAGTAACATCATATTTGTTTTCACAAATAAAAGTATTTTTTCTGCACCTTTCTTTGTTCATTTGCAACTGCCTTTTGAAACACAGGAGGTTGATTTACTGGACCTGGCATATAACAAATTCTTGTTAAATTTATTTGTGATAACCTCTTTAATAGAATTTTAAACACACACACACAAAAAAAAAAAAAAAATAATAATAATAATAATAATTGGAAAGATATATTTCAACTAGCAATTTATATTTCTTAAATTATGATTTGGTTTCTATTTCTAATATATGGTAGAGTCCTGTAAACTCAACATAATGTGGACTGAAAGACTGCCGAGTTTCTGAAAAGTCAACTTTTACAGAATAAGGTGTGGATTTTTCAGAACTCTTAATATTTAACTCTAAATTATTATAGGCATTTGTAGAACAATACTGGACATGGAAAAGTAAAGCATACAACTATTTTTTTTTTTATGTCAAGATTTACCACAATAGGAGTAATTTAAAAAAATACCTTAGGATAATCGAGTTAAAAAACTTACATACAAAAATAAAGAAAAATTATTAGTAGTTCCTGGTAGAAAAATATCGTATGATGGTAGATTGTCTCTCACACTCATTCTGTCATCGTACAGTTTCTTCCCATAGGCAATGGAGGAACAAAATGTCCATACCAGACTTGCACCTTGCTCCTCCATGTAATGGAGCATTCCTTCAGCGGTCTTCAGTCCTTCACTATGGGTCATCGTTTTAGTTTTCCGTTGTCTTCAACCTCTTCATTTTCTGATTCATCTTCATTTTTATCTACATTGTCTTTTACCAGTGCAAGTATTTCTGCATATCCTAAAATTTTGCAATTTTCCTCTTATCTCATCCACTCTTCAACATCACTATCCGTAGTTTCTTTGCAGCCTGGAATTTTCTGAAGTCAACTATTTCACAATTTCTTTGTCTCTTCTCTGCTTTCGTGAAATTCGTTTCCTGAATGGCCGAGCAACTTTCTCCAGGAACGGACAAGGCTTATCTGCTCGATTTTACTCAAAGAATGAGCTATCCATCCAATAACATCCAACATATCTATTTTCTTCAGTTTCTCAATCAAATCTCACCTTTCCTCCATGGTTAGGACTCCATGGTTTTTCAAAGGTACCATTCGAAAATTCAGACCAGTGTTATCACAATTATAAATTTGATCTTCAGATATATCCTTCTTTTCTATTAGTTTGTGGAAATTATCCTTGAATATTGCAGCATTTTCCAAGTCAGCAGATAGCTTTTCTCCACAAACATTTAACTTCCTGATGCTGTACCACTTTTAAATCCAGGCTCTCCTCCTTGAAATTCATCATAAAATTTTTTAGCCTTCTCTTGTAAAACTGGTCCTGAAATGGGTGTTCCCTGTTCCCTTTGCTGCCTGAACCACAAATAAAGTGCCTTGCTCACTTTTTGGTATTCACCACCTTTCGTGCTTTTTCTTTCCTACATGCCGTACATGCTATTTTCACACACCAAGACTCGATTTCGGACCTCTTCTTTTTTCCACCTTATCAAAATAATCCGCCCAACATTTAAATCCACAACAAATTTGTTTACACTTCTCCTTTTGTTCAGTCGCTTTAAGGCATCTAGTTTCATTTCCACTGTCACGTTAGTTTGTTTTCTTTTCGAATGACATTTTCACTTCACAGAATATCAAAAGTTCTCAAAATTATGTTAATACTTATATACCTAGGTATGAAATAAATAACGATAACCGCAATGAACTGGTGTAAGTTTAGTTTGCAATAAGATACAGTCACAAAACTTCAGACAAGTCTCCTAATGTTTCGCCATGTTTAGAAAGGAATGTGAGCCAGTGGCCAACTGCTACCTGACTTACTTCATATCCTTGAATGAAGCAAATAGCACTGCCAAGTATTACAGCACATCTTGAAATTTGTTAGGCAGTTGCAAGAAGTAACGGCACAAATTACAGAAAAGAACACTTACCTCTTTGAACAGAACAGGAAAGACATATGCATATATAATAATTATATGTAATATTTGCTCTATTTGGCCTAAAGATATCTTAAACAAATTCCTAAAAAGTTGTTGAGTTACACAGAATGTCAAGATATTGGGAATTGAGTTTACGGGACTCTGCTGTACTACAAGTCTGATTAATCATATAGTTAATACAGATGAGGATTACCAAATTATTTAAAAATTTAAAACTCAGCAAATGAAATCATAACAGCACAACAACATAAGCCACTAGCACAGCAACATAAGTAAATGACACAGCTGTGCTAGCTATAAAATTATAACACAGCAACATAAGAAATAAAATTATAAATTTTGAAAAGAAAATGCCTTACCACTGTTGATGTTGGGGGCACACCAGTCATTTTTAAAGCATCTAATTCTTCTGTCATTTTAGTAGCTAATGCTTGAAGATAACCTCTTGCATCTTTTTCGTCACTTACCCTTAAAATTTATGGTTATACATGAGAACTTATAAAAATAATACCTTTTGAGCACATAATGAATCACTTACAGAACACATACAAGTTAACTGCAATTAAAATAAGAATTATAAACTAAGACACTATTGAAAATTTTCTTAAAAGAAAAAATAATACAGTCATAAAATATAAAGTGTTTTATTCTCTGAATGAAATGCCTTTAAAATTTTGCAATTTTTATATAATTAACAGTATTTATACAGTATGCAAGTATATAGAAAATGATAACATCTTGTGTAGTTATTATTATATATACATATTAAAATTGCATATTAAAAATAAAATTACTTTCAAAGTTTACGGCTAAGCCTCCAAAATATATATGTTTTTTTACATATAAAAAGAAGCATAATAAAAGACTAAAAGTTAAAAAGCAAATTTTTAAAACCATCCTGCGCTAACCATAACAACAACAAAATGCTTAAAAGGCTCATGTCGGGCAAAACTGTGATACCTGGGTATTTTTATATCAACTTTTTCAGTTTTTACTTTTTATTAGAATATGCATTTACACATCAGAGTATGCTTTAAGCAATTTTCTTTATCAAAATTTACACATAGCTATATTTTATATACATATTCCTCTTTTCCAACTACCCTTTTCAATCCATGCTTTAACCAGAATTTTCCAATGGAATCGGAGAAATTTTAAAGGGGTCAGTGATCACTAAGGAGTCAAGAGCCGAATATGTACCTGCAACTGATCAGCATAACCAAGATTTGCAAAAATATATATATAAATAAATAACTAAAAATAAATAATTAAAAAATAGTTCCGAAAGCTTTCAAATTTTCCATTACGCCCAAAGGAAAAATTTTTTAATGTTTTGTGGGTTACCTTTATTTATTAAATATCATGTTCTTCGCACTTAAACCATAAAATTCAGTTAAACAGTATTATCGCAAAATAATATTAAAATGAACGTATCTTTAGAATTTCCAATACAGAGTCTCACTTACTGGAGATAAAAATGTTTTTTCGTACAGTGTTGCCATAGCTCGCTTTGAAATCATTGAGTTTGTTAATCAAAAATTTGTTACAATTCTAAAAAATATGAAACAAAAAATAAAACAAATTCCTAATTTCGAATTCTAGATGGCCATATTACAATGGAAACATACGTTATTCAAAATTTGATGACCTTAGGTACCGCAGTTTTATCACAATGCGAGAAAAACATACATTTATGCAGATTCTTCATTATTTAATTTCTTTAAACATAATACAGGACTGTAATACTTGGTGGCAACAGTTTAAAAAGTGAACCAACATTTAAAGTTTTCAATGCAAAATGCTAGAATGAAATAAATAGCCCTTCTGGGCTAATGCCCTTTGGACTAACATAATAAAATTTATAATTAATTATTTATTAATATAAAGCTGTGTCATGTAGTAAGGCAGAAACCATATAAACTAAGTATATGGGAAAATACGCTACAATTATTTAATATATGTTTTTAAATATATAAATATTTTATGCAATAAATACAATATAAAAAAGTAAAACACAGCAAAAATATGAAGGACATAAAACTAGAATGGAAAACAACAAATTGAACATTTTTTAACAAGGGGATTTAAAAATTAAATTTTATGATGAATACTTTAAAAACATGCATCACTACATTTAAAACAAAGCATTAATAAAATCAAACTTTTGTACAATTACAATCTGTGATTTTGATTCCGAAAACTTGTTTTTATCTGCAAAATTAATGATAATAAAACAAAAAATTATTAAACATAAATCTAACTAACAATTTTTCAAAACTTTTATTTATGTTCTTATTGTTCTCATTAAGTTACTTACTTGCAATTATTTATATAATGATTATGTGTATACTGTATATTATAAAGAAAAATATAAAGAAGAGGGTGATGGGGAAAAAAAAAAAAAAAAAACCATTTATTTAAAAGAGTCAATGCAAGGAAAAGGTTAGGGCTTCCTATTTTAAAAAATTTTCTTTATCAAATGCATATACATAGTTGTATTTTATATACATATTCCTTTTCAGATATACTTTTATAATCTGTATGCTGGTACATATCAAATACCAAAAGCTAAAAGAAATATCAAATTCAGTTTTGATTCACAGTTTATAATTCTAGAAATTCTTATTTCAGAAAACTTTTTGATACTAATTTCTTTTCAAATTCAATTTTCTTTTTTATTTACATTCTATTTCAATTTTTGTTAATCTTGTACACATGAGAATAAAAAAATTAAAAATACAATTAATTCCTATTAAAAAGTAAAATTTTGTTTTAATTTATTTTAATAATTAAAATGTTATTAATACATTTAAATAGAACAATTTTTCCTTCTCACATGAATAAATGTATCTAAAACATTTTTTTTTTTTTTTTAAATAAAGACCTTCATTTTAAAAATTGCACAAGTTAAATTACAAAGCTTTCTTAAACTTCATTACATATCAACACATCATTAATTTGGTTTATAATGATACGCAACAAAAATGTCTTCAGCTTTACTCTTCACATCTTTCTATAATGCTAAAAAAAGTTTCTATGCCATTTCTATTTTTAGAAGTTGATTTTCAGTTCATAATCTGCAGTCCTTTTTCCATCTCACCTCTTGCTCAAATATCAAATAACAAGAGCTTTCAAATAGCTCAACTAAATGGTCAATTTGAACTAGCAATCTTCAAAAATAAGACTATTTTTTATTAAATACTATATATACATCAGGTTTATTTTTCGAATTTCCATTTTTCCCTATTCTTTAAATCATTACTTTGGCTATTTTGACTAATCACCTTTGCCCAATAGGTTAAATTCATTCAACAGAAAAGAATTCTTAATCCTAATACAAATAACACAACTAATACAAGTAAAACACGCAACGAAACTGCATCTATAAATGGCATATGACAGTTTTGTTTCTAAAACCATCATTGCAAACTAAAATATCTAATCAATTTATGGGTTAGCTATTTCAATCAGGCACTTCCATCAAGAAATACTTTTGCATTTAAATTACTAAACATTAAAATGGCTTTTATAGCAAACTTCAAAATATGTAATGTAAATTTAAGCATGTTGGAGGGATATAGTTAATTTCATTAAATTCAACATCTTTGTGTCATTCAGTACTAAAATCATTGCTTTTATGTAGATAATCAACTGCTTTTACCATATTTCTTGCATTATCAGTTGAAAATAAATACACTTTATAAATTCTTAAAATTACATTTGATAAAAATTTCTCAAGCATTAGTTTTTCTACACCAAGGAGAAAATTATTCTGCTAAAAAAAGTTTGAAAAATAATTTAATCCTTAATGAAGAGCCTGATTCATATTCTTTAAAAATGCACAGAAGTTATCCAAAAATTAGTATCAGTCTACATTTGATATTTTCTTTCATTTTAAATAGCTATTATTAGACAAAGAAAATTCAAATATAAAAGCAGTTTATGGGTTAAGCCACACTTAAACCAAACTGCTGTAACAATCTCTAAATAAGCGTTCTGTTCTATAAAAATTTTATAAGATTAAATAATTAAAAATTTAGTAGTTCAATAAAATTAATATTAATAGCCAAACTAATAAAACTGCTATAAATTAAAACACATTATTTTTAACCAAAATTAAATTTTTAAATTATTTTACTATTAAAAATGACAGATTATAGAAGCAAATTTTTAACAAAATTCTCTTACCACTGAATGATTTCACTTATTTGAGCTTCCCATTGATTGATAGATTCTTTCTTGTCCCTAATCTGAATAAAATCAGTCTCCAATCTTTTCTTTTCCTCATCCACTTTGTGAAAAGCTTTTGTCAACTATTAAAATATAAAATAACTTTAACTACAATGATTTATTTTATAATCTGTATGTTTGCTAACTTTCTAATCAGCATTGATTTTTAACTATATGATATTGGGATTTATGCAAGATAAAATAAAATGAATAATTCTTTTTTAGACAGCAGCAGCATTAAAAAAACTAAACCATCCAAAGATTTCCCGTCATCATGAATGAGAATTTAAAATCTAACTCAATACATTATTATGAATTTTGTATATATGTGGATAATTTTAGTAAACTTTTATGTAAATTGATATAATCTAACATGAAAGACCTCAAAAGTGTAAAGCATCACCAGAGAAGCAGGGTTTCAAGTTCATTTAACACTGAGTGAAACGGCAAAAGCGGCAAGCCAGTGATGGGTTTGGGCAGCTAATTTTTTGCCACCAAATTTGGCAAGAATCAGCAAAAGTCACCAAACTTGGTGATAATTTTGCTACACCTTGGGCCAAACCCTATGCAATTGTAGCTGTGCCTGCTTACGAGCAATTTTGAGAAACTGAAAGGAATGGAAATTTCTCAGTGGCCAGGAAAATTTACAATAGACCGAAGTATGCATCAGTTCTCAGTTTAGTTCAAAGCAGAGTTCTGAGTTTAACTCAGAACTGAGCTATCACTATAAAAGCTGACCCATTTGAGGCCTTTTTGTATTGTCTTGTGTTCAATTTTCTTAGTAGTTTGAAAATGGTAACTATTTACTGTGCTCTGTCATACTGAGAACAGCTGTACAAATACTTTTGTGCGTAAAGTTTCATAATTGTAAGATGTTTTGGGAAATCAAGCTATCATTGATTGTGTGTGCATTGAATCCATTATGAACCCATATGCACACAACAATATGTGGAAATAAATGCCTGGAATATGTAACAGCATAGCCACAGCTTCTGCCCGTTGCAGCACCCGAGTTTGACTCATGGATTGGTTATTTACCAATTCACAATGAAGCTAATTTCCAACAAATTTTGTATTTAGATTCAAAATTTACAATAATTTACAAACAAACACATGTATTTATGTGTAGATGGAAAATTTCATAAATAACAGAAAGACTAGGTTGTCATTATTTATTCTCAAATTTTGTCCTGTTAACTGACCTAAAATTTTCAATGCACAAAAATTTAGAGTTAACTTTTGTCCATCTGGGGAAAAAGACACTGAAGTTTCTGAACTAAATGACTTAATTCACTAAGAGTTTTTAAATAAAAACAAACAGCAGCCATGTTAGGCCTAGCACGACTTACACTTCAAACTGTTGATAATTCTAAAGCTTGTGTCTATTCTATGCAGATTAACTAATGGCATAAAAATTTAACCAGATCATAAGAACAATATAACTCAATCACTTTTAAAGAAAAAATGCAGGCGTAACCAACACATAAGAATAAAAACACAGAGACCACTGAGGTAAAAGGGTGGGATTCAAATACCTACTCTTTGACAAGTTCTGTTCGAAGTGGTAAACAAAGAAGATTAATATTTTTTTTTACTTATATTTTTTAACATTTCCATCTACTATGTTTCATGTGTTCATTTTTCACTGCAGCTTTTATGAATAATTTTAAATTCACAAAAGAAAGACATTTTAAAGAATCAAGCTACATCTTGCAATACAAAGTGCTTTAGCCATATAGGCTCAACTCCTACTTACAAAATATGACTTGGGAAAAAAAGACAACACTATGCAGTCAATTTAAAATCTACAGTAAGAAAACTAACTCTACGGGGAAAAAGAGGTGAAACTGAAAATAGAAAGCATTATTTTGCTACTCTGAATACAGTACAACTCTTAAATAACTTTAACAAATTCATGCAAGCAGAGTTTTTCACCAAAAATCTACTTACATTACTTAAAACTTTCAATAATAAAATGTTGTTGCAGCTTTATAATTATTTCCAATATCAATATAAAGGATACCAAATCCTCAGAGACCTTTCAACTGACTTCTGTAAATTTAAATTGAATAAGAGCCAATTTCTGGCTAAAAGGCATTACTGGACTATTTTCTTTAATCATCCTATCTATGATTACATAAAATTAATCAAATTTTTAAATCATATCAACATCTATTTCTTGATCACAACACAAAAACAGTACCATGTTTCAAGTTCACAAATACCATGAGTAACTTATTAACTAACCATTATGAGTTAAATGACCCTGCTATTTGAGCGTGCAAACTACCACAATACAGCTCTTTTGTTGAATTACAGCTCGATTATGAAAAAAGACTGCCATCTTTTTTTCGCTTCCCACAACTTTAGGCCAGAATTAGTTTTAATCACTAAGCTTGCATTTCAGAACAGTAGCCATTTTGTTTCTTCAAACAACCTCGTACATTCTGATGCCATTTCTCTTACTGAAACTTAGTCAAAAAGAGGGAGGATTCCCCCCATTCCATTTTAACATTTCTAAGCAATTGGAACAAAACTGTTTAGCCAAGAGCCCACCAAATAGCACCAATCTGGAAGTACCTTTTTCATATGCTTTCCACCCAGTTCACGTCACCCCCTTCTTTTTTCAACAACTGGTTCAAGTTCCTCAGAATGATAACCCAGGCATACAGTTTTCTGATACTGAATGAGGCAGCCGTACTTTTTACATGTTTTACTTGGACTTTACTCACTGTTTTGATAATTTCCACCATTTTGATGAGCATCCAGATTCACCATTATATTAAGTTATATTTCTGTTGCACTAAATTTGCTGCTTATTTCTAGCTTTTATGTACCAGCACCAAATAGTTTTAATATTTTTTTTTAACCTTTTTAATCAATTATAAAACATTTTTATGGGGGGGACAGAGCTTTCAATGATCGAGACAGCCCTATTATTATTACTTGTAAAAGAGAATTTTAGTTTAGCTTTACTAAATCACCTATCTAGATAAGTTCATTATGCTATCGAGCTTTTCTAAGCATTCTTTAATTTTCTATTTTTCTCTTTCAATTTATTGTAATTAATATATTTGTTTACTTTTTGTCTGATTTTTGAGTACGCTCAGTACATAGAATATTTGATCTTTACTTTTATTATTTTTCATCTGTATGTTTGTTTCTGATAATACGAATACATGGAAGGGAAACTCTGAACTTATTTGAGACTCTCTGTGATCTTATCAAATACAAGGTAAATTGTTTAAAATGGTTTTAAGTTTCAAATTGTACAAAGGAATGTGTATTCAGAACTCATTAACTGACCAGTTTAGTGTTTTAAACACTTATCCCTTGACAAGTTCTGTTTGGATTGCTAAACAAGGATGAATAATATTTTGTTATTCATATATTTTTACATTTCTATCTACTATGCTTTATGTGTTCAGTTTTCACTGCAGCTTTTATGGATTTTTTTAACTTTAATTTTAAGTTCATAATTGGTTTTAACTTGCTTAAGATTACCATACAACAGGCTTACTTATCTTTACACCTTTCATTTCTTCATTACACCTCTTTCCATAGATAGGATAATCATTATTAAGAATTTATTCAATATGTATATATATATATTTATATACATATGTACATGTAAAATATAAAATAAAATTATTAAACGTAATAGAAGCCAACTGACAATTCAAATTCATAAATTTTAATTACATGCATGCCCGATTCAAAAGATACACTTTGCTACGCCACTCTGCAGCATGTCATTTTTTCTTCGCAATGCAAAATCTTTAGCCTAATCGCTACTCAGAATTAACACAAGGACTTTCCAAATCATAAATACGACCACTGTTAGTAACACATTATTTTTTCCCACCTGCTTGAACTTCCTATCACAGAAAATTTACTTCTTTTTAGCAAAATGGCATTTTTTACTGTTTTAATTTTATATTTTCCATCTCAAATATGCCAAATATTATTTTAAGATGCTCTAAATGTTCTTCAAAATTTTAGAAAAATATTATTATGTCATCAAAATAATTTAACACAAACTGAATTTGATATTTACTTAATATTTGTCTAAGGGCTCTTTGAAAAAAACTAAATGCTACATCTTAAGTAGAAAACACTTTTGCATTCATTAATTTATTTAATACTGCACCTATTCTACGTGTGGCTTCAGAATCTGTTTTAGCAATTTGGTTAAGTTTTTTATAACCAATACACTATCTAGTTTTTGCATTTTCATCTCTTTTATAGGTCAAACTTACAGGGGCAGCATATGAGCTACATAACACCTGAATGCAATAATTTGTCGATTTTTTTTTTTTTTTTTTTTTTTTTTTTTTTTAATTTCAGTAATATCTTTAGGGGATACTCTATATGGACAATAAGCGAATAGAAGTTCTGAAGTTTGACTTGGAGAATTAATCTTAATACAACCTACTCCATATTGACTTTTTACAAACATATGATTATAGTTATTTAATACATTTTGGACACAAATAAGATCTAGGGTAAAATGGCCTTGAATTAGGATATCTAAGTTAATAAAAATATGGTCGATGATTGTACACAGAAAAAGAAAAACTGGGCACATTATTGGTGCTTTGAGGTTATTCAGGTGAGCCTGAAGTTGGGAATAATCTGCATGCTAACATAATCTAATTTTGAAGGAACATTAGGTTTTGGACAGATAATAACATACAATGTTGCTTTAGTAAACCCTGAGAGAATGACTCTATTAGAATTCAATCACTTAGTTTCAAAGAAGATCCTAATATTAGTTTCTGTCTAAAATACTTATCTATGTCCTTAAATTTACTGCAAGTGACAGAGACAAAAATCATCAGAGTTAACATGTTTAGAACTAGAAAAATATGTTAGAAATTTAATCTTTTAATAGATCCCAGCAATCATTCTAACACACTCACGAATAAAGAATGTCAATGATTCTCCTTTTAAGCAATTTGGAAATAAAACTGATTGTTCTTTCCAAAAAGTTTTTTTTTTTTGGGGGGGGGACTACAGCATTCCTTAAAGAACATTACATATCAATATACAGGATAATCTTTTTTTCCATCAAAAATGAGACATGTAAATTTATCTTTGTCCATAGAAAATGTCAGAAACGTTTTCAGATTAGGATATCTTTAACTGAAATCTTGTTCGTATTTAAAATTTCATGCAATAAATCATTTATGTAAAATAGGAAACAACATTAAAACAATACCAATTACCATAAAGCATTAAAATTACTTCACATTCTGAATAAATTTTGAAAAAAGATGGACATGTTTTCTAACATGCTAAAATCAACCAACTGATGATTTTTGAACTTGCAAAGCGAAGCTCATATTTTACTTTTCTATCAATTCCCTTTTAGTAGACAAATGACGAAATTTTTATGCACTGACCTTAAAACATATTCTTTTTAAAACACTCACTCAATTGCCGTCAATACACAGAAACCAACATATTTTGATGATAAACTTTAAAGATACCTTTTACTAATTTACTTTTGCACATGCGGCTACTTTTCCATTAGGGTCAGCCTCACAGGTTTTAAACATCCTACCAGCTGCCTGTGATGATGTAGACTTTTCAGAAGATGAAAACTAATTTACATTCTCTTCAAATTCCTTTTCAAGAACTCTGAACATTCTCAATACATGAAATTCAGAGGACATTTGGAGAAAACGTCTCAACAATATTTCAAGAACTTATCACAGAGAGACTTTAGAACTGAAATTTAATTCCATTTACAAATTGAATGATATTTTGTTATTATATTTCTAAATTATGTTTTTAAATGTTTTCTATATTCAAATATGAGAAAGGTTCATGAAATAAATTACAGGGCATAGTGCCATTTTTCCCCCCTACCACTACAGCTTTTTTTTCTTTGAAGCCCTCTTCAAAGAAAAAAAAGCTGTAAAATATAAAACATGAAACAAATTTATTACACTTAATTGGAACCAACTGGCAACAGATCTTCAGATTCATAAATTTAACTTGAACACATCCTGCTTCATAGAAAATTCTTTGGTGCATCACTCTGCAGCATGTTACGTTACTCTTTCCCTACAATTTCTTTACATTGCAAAATTTTTAGTCCAGTCGCTGCTCAGAATTAACACAAAGATTTTCCAGTTATATATATGACCACTGTTACTATAGTACGCAGTACACTTTCTAGCCTGCTTAGAGAAACCACATCTCTCACTTCACTTTCTTTTTCTATTGTTCAAAATGTAAACTTTACATAGAAACTGTGGGGAGGGTCTTGCATCTCTAGTGTTGTACCAAGCAAAAATGTATTTCTTAATAATTATTCTTGAACAAAATAAAAATGATGTTTTAAACATCAAACCAGTTGTGATATTTTCACCAGTTGTCATCTAAGCAATAGTCTTATTGGCCAGAACTAAGGAAGGAATTAGTTTTCATCTTGTGCAAAAAACTACTACATAACACATATACGTCGTAATTTAATGCATAGAAGAAAACACTGGAACTTTTAACAAGCTTTCGATATTCGTCATGGCTGAGACTATAGTGGCTGAAGGTAAAAGCTATGATGATGGAGTTAACACACTTGAGCTTGAGAATTTCCAATCTTTATTTTCATGCATATGAAACCATCTTAGTAGACATTTACGCAATCATAATGAATTAGACTAATTCTTATATACACAGATACAACATCATTTTAGACAAGTGGGCTAAGCAGGGATATGTTATTAATGGTGGAAGCTAAGAAAAGAATGATGTAATTTCTTGTGTGTGGTATTTATACCAAAGTAGATGCAATCGTAGAGACAAGCTATGATTGGTTCATTTTAGGTTTGTAACATGGAAGGATCTTAAATTTGGGAGAATAAATGAATTTAGAGGGAGAGCACCAAATCTAGAACAGTTAATTTTGAAGTAGCCATTTACTCCCAGATAAAAAATTTCAGTCCCAAATAAAAAATTTCAACGTTCTACAGCTAATCGTTTTTGAGTTACGTAAGATAAATACATACCTATGTACCTACAGACATCATGAAAAAATTCTGAATTAATTTTACAATCCACTTTAGGAAAAAAGTCCTTTATTCTGTCATGCACAAAAAGTATTCAAATGGATTCGAGAGTGGTCAAAATGGATATTTTCATTGATGTATGACAACCATAATTTTTCTTGATTTGAAAACTTCCTTTATTTTATACAAGGAAGTAAAAAACTGGCCTGCTAGCTGTTTTTAGATTGTGCATTCAGCAAGCATGCAGTTTGAGTTTCAAGCTACTGCTGTAAGGTACGTTTTAGACTGCTGAGTTTTGTTATAGAAAAAGTCCGAAGATGTAAGAAACTGTATCAAAATATTACAAATTTACTCCCCACAAGACACAGCACATTACTTGAACTCTGGTAATTAAAATACTTAAAAAAAAAAAAAAAATCAAAAACTATAACAATCCAAACAAGACAAAAAAATAAAGAAAGAAAGCAAGAAGACATAATAATTTAAAATAGATGTAAAGTACCTTCTCTAGGTCATCAGTTACTTTCTTCAATTCATCTTGTAAGATTGCTTTATCTCGCTCATGGGCTCTTTTCAGCTCTTTAAGAACCTCTTGATGTTCAGATGCACTAAAATAAAAATAAATAAAAAATATTAAAAACATAAATGCAGTTTTGAAATTCCTGTATAATGTTATAACCTACATTTTTTTATATATCCTCTCATTTTTAATTAGTGACACAAATTTACAAAGCTTAAATTAATAACAAAATACTCTGTCTTTCCTGCATGAAATACCTTAAATGCCTGTACAAACAAATATTGGCTACTCCTCTACTGCAATAATTGAGAGCATGTGTTTTTTTCATTAAATTAGCACTTCTTTTGTTCACTGTTAAAGGCTTCAAGTACATAATTTTTCATTTTTTGCTTATTTTACTGGAAAAAAAAATTCTTATAGCCTTCCTCTTACATTGTCACAAATTAAGATAGTTTAAGGTCATAACTTTTCCATGAGATACTATTTTCCAATAACACAATAACCAATGCCTAACTCATTAAATTAAAACAAATTTTATATACAATATATATAAAATAGCAAATTTTATATGCAATATGCATAATTTTCAACAAATAAAAGCTTTCACCAAATACTGCTTCAGCAGAAATAATGGATAAGAGACACTCATAAACATCACACTCATACACAACACACTCATAAAGTCTTCACCTTGGTTTTATTCTCAATAAGAAACTTTAGTTTCTGCAAAGAATACAAGTTAACTAATTGTTACAAACAGTGCTTACGCAATTTTAGAACGATTTTGATAAAAGAATTTAAAAAAAAGGAAGGGCAATTTTTTAATAAAAATTTCTGAAAACAGCTTATTACTTGAAATGAGAAAGACCATCAGCTACTTTTAAATTTAATCTTCTTTCGAAATGTCACATTCAAACAAGCCGTGGATTGAAGGATATGTTTTTGCACTTTCCAAAGAGAAATATTCCTATTCCAAAATTTAAAAAAAATGAAATGCATGGTATTGAAATTTCTAAGAGCAAAATAATCAATATTATTAATGGAAAAAGAAAAACTATCAATCATTACTTTTACATGGAAAGAAGACTTCAAATGAACACCCAAAAATGGTACATACTGTTTCTAAGAATAAATTATTGGTAACAAAAGAAAATTCACCCAGGCAGAAATCAGTTGCTAAGGTCTTTAAACACATCTGTAGCACCAATAAATAAAAGAATAAACAATATGATTTACAACTTAAAAGAACTAAAAAACATAACGTCACAGACTTTTACTCAAGCACGTGGCTCAACGCAGAACAATTTGTAGCAAGAGATAAATAAAAAAAGAAAAAAAAAAGATCTATTTATTGCCAAAATGAGGAAAAAATGTACAAGCCTGGTTCCGTCAATACACAGAAAGTTCTAGTAAGGGGATTATGATTGTTGTAGGATGATTCTACAGTGGGAAATTAAAAATAAGAAAGTGAGGAAAATGTTAAAATCAAATCAACTTATTAACAAGAGAAAGTTTTTCATCTGATATTTGTAGATGAAATTCCATTCTTTATCTCAATAATTTTCAAAAAGTGAAACTTCATCAAGACAAAGTGAAAAGTCATTGTCAAGTCCCACTGCATTCCTTGAAAATAGGCTGACTTACACAGATTCTGCATATGTACCTTTTTGACATATTTCTCCCTTGAAATTTCACCTAAAGACTACTGTGCCTTTGGTCTTTAAAAAAAAAATCTCTCTTTCAAACCCATCATGATAGATGGACTCTGAAAGTTGTGTAAGAGGAATAGAAAACAGTACCACTGGAAATTTTATGTAAAGCCCTTTTATCATGGAAATCATGTGCAGACTTATAGTCCTGAAAAAGGCTATTATTTCAAACATTTAAAAAGTATTCCTTACATTATAAATATTAATTAAATGGTCCCAAGCTCATTCTAATAACATGCAAATGCCCTCAGTAATTTTCTGTTTTTTCTTCTGAATTTAAAAAATTTAAGTATTGCTATAAAAGAAATTTTAAACACAAAAAAAAAATTCACCCAATAATCAAAAAAAAATAGAACCTTAAAACACAAGAACTGTAAACAAACATAACTAAAGAGCACAAACAATACTAAAAGCTAAATTTACAACTTAAAAGAACGTGGCAAAGCAAAAGAAAACATAATAAAAATAAATAAAGACTTAAAGACTCAAGACACGTGGCATCAACAGAAAAAATACAGAAAAAAGAACAATTATGTTGAGAAAATAAGGATAAAAACAAAAAAAAAAAAGTAAAAGTATAGGGGATTATTAAATGCCAACAAGTAGGAGGACAAAAATGTACAAGGATGAATTCGTCAATACACAAATAAGTTCTAGTAAGGGGAATTATATTGTTGTGGGAAATTCTCTAAAATATTCAAATTCATGAGGAAAGTGATATTTAAAATAAAATCAAATCATCTATTAACAAGAGAAAGTTTTTCATATAATTATTAAATGTAGAGAAATTCCATTCATCAATCAAAAAGTCCAAACTGTTCATCACTGAACAAAGTGAAAAGTCAAATCTCAAGTTACTGCATTCATTCTGCTATTTACTTTTTGACATTCTCCCTTGAAAAATTCTACCTTTAAAGACTACTATTGCTCTTCCCTTCTTTAAAAAAAAAAATCTGTGTTTGGTCAAAACCCATCTCTTTAGAAAATGGACTCATGATAGAAAGTTGAACTGTAAGAGTGTAGTACTGGAGGGAATATAATGAAAAATTTGGAAATTTTATGTAAAAGACACTGGAAATTATTTATGGAAATCATTGTCAGACTTATAGTCTATTATTTCTGAAAAGGCATTTAAAAAGAAACATTAAAAGTATCCTTTAATTATAAATATTAATAATGGTTCCCAAGCAATTTCTCATTTGCAAATGCCATGCAAATTCCCTCATTTAATTTTTCTTGTTTTTTCTTCTGAATTTAAAAAAAAAAAAAAAAAAAAAAAAAAAGATAAAAATTTGGGACTTGTCTTCTGTGGAACATTATTCAAATGAATATTTTAAAAGTTATGGGATCCTATATAAAAGAAGTTTGCATTTATCAGTACAATACGGAACTTATTTGTTTATCTATCTATATATTTATATATAATAGCAATTCAATATGAAAAACTGCAGTTAATAAAATATCCATTTGAAAATGAACGTGTTTATATGCTATGATCCCAACATAAATCTGTTGATTATCTAACTAAATAAAGAGCAGTCTGCTCCTTTAAAATTTCAGAGTGACTGCCACAAGTTTGGCACTCTGCTAACTTTCCTGGCGATTAGGATTAGGATTATTTAATTATGGCAAAGCACACGAGGGCTATCTGCCTAAAGGGAGGGATGCCTTCGTGGAGGACTTTCTAAGGGAAACTGGCTCGTATACGCGTTACACATAGGGAAAACCACGAAAACGCCCATGCAGCTTTCCTGGCGAATAAGAAAGTACATTCATTAACATCAATCTATTTTGTATGCATTCATTTACAATAAAAACCAATTAAATCTATTATGCTTTAAATAATATATTTATAATCACTTTAATTATAAGTAAAGACTCATAAATAAATATCACAAATTTAATACAGTCAAAAAATTCCCTTAAAATGTTAAAAATATACAATACTCAAATCATCAAAAATATTGAGAAATATAAAACTGATACAGATGAATCAAGGGAGTAAAAAATTAGCAAAGGTATCTGTGGTTCCCTTAAGACACACTTTACAGAAAGAGCAGCATGATACGAAAGATCTAGGAAAAGTAATTAATTATTCACTTAAATAGCTTACGCTTTAATAGCTTAAATAAAGCTATAATCATAGTATTAAGGAAGCAAATTTCTTTTTAAAAATAGGAATTTGAAAGCGGGGGGGGGGGGGGGAGAAAAAGCATTATCAGAATTCAAAGTCTAGAAAACTTAGCAATACTTAGTCAAAACTCTGTGTGGTATATGCTATACTACAGTCACTTTAGGTAAATGAAAAATCTACAAGAGCCACACTAAGGTAGCTCAATGGCTACTGATATTAAATGCAGCAAATTGTTGATAATCTAATCAGGTTATCCTAAATATCTTTAATTTTTAAAATAAAGATTTTTTTTCACTAAATCTTCTAACTGTTTTGAATGAATAAAGTATTTTGAAAGAAAACCATTCATTATCTTCAATTTTGACTTTAACTGAAAAAGCCCTACCTGTTTTTTAATATAAATGAAAACACACAACTTTATTTTTAGTTAACAGAATTTATTTATTGTCTAATTCTCAAATCACTGTTTGGTCACAAGATTCGTTTATGTTGGAAAAAGCACCTTGTAAAGTATTATGTTATATAATATATGTTTGCAATGGCTACAAAAGAGGTTTAACAGCTGAATATTTTGTACAAGATCCATTATAGAGATTAGACATTCATAAAATGTACAGAACAAAAAATGCTTCCATATAAATGTAAAGAAAGTTTTCCCTGCAATTTCTATTTGAAATTCAAGGCTTATTTTCAAATATGGATACTCTTTTGTAAGCAAATAAGAATGCACAATGCAAATTAGATGTTGCTGCACTCTTATAAACTACAACATATTCACAATTTGGAAGGGGAATACAGACAATCTCATATTAGTTTTGCCTATCTCAGACTTTTTTATCACTGCCTGGAGTAAGAAATGCCAGCACTCATTAATATTGCAGTAGTCATGATTTACTTTAAAATTAATTACCTAACAGATTTTAAACCAAAAATTTTTAAGCATTATAATCAAAATTATGTGTTGCAGAAGATGAAAATTTCTTAAATTAATATATTACATAATATAACATGTTTTATGTACATATTTTAAATATACATAACAAATAGAAAAAAAAAAAAAAAAAAAAAAAAAGAATACCTCTCTGCTCGAACTTGTTCTACTTTATCTTTGAAAAAAGCAACCTAAAACAAATATGCAACAATTATCTACACAAAACTATGAATTATAACACATGTTCTAAATAAATACTACGTTTTGTATTAAGATGCATAAAATGGTATTTAGGAGTAACTATATAACACCTTATTCATGTACAAATTCAATATTTCTTGGTCAAATAAGGTCTGCAACAGCTTATTTTGTAAAGAAACATGCAGCTGACTATGTCAATTTCATATCTGCACAGAAATTTATTCAAACATGTATTTAAATATTATAAAATTAAATATTACGGATATTTAAAAATATTTCAATATAAAGTATTCATAAAATCGGGGGGAAAAAAAAAAGCTTAATGCATCAAATTAGTATCTCCATCATCAAAAACATATATATCTGGAGAAACAACAAGTTGCTATTCAGGAAAATTTCATAAAATGATGGCAACATACTTCTTTCTCTGCTTTTGACTTAGAAGCTTCAGCTTCTTGCAGCTGTTCTGTCAAAGCAGTAATTTCTGCAGTGTGTCTGAGTTGTAACTGAGTAAGTGCTTCTTTATGCTGCATAGTCAAATTTTCCAATTCTGTTTTCAACCTATGAAAAATGTCAGCATTCCTGTAGACTAGTTTAAATTTCTTTAAATTTTGTTGATTGCCAATCAAAATGTTTATAACAAACCATATTATTTAACAAATTAATGAAGAATGTAATTAGACATTACAAATATAGGCAAGAAATACCTGCTCAATTCTTGGTTATTTTCTGTCTGCTCAGGAGAAAAGGCTCTTCCTACGTGCCTTCTTTTCAAAGATTCTATTTCAGTTTCCAAGCGATGAACATTTTCTTCCATTCGCTCTCGTAATCTTTGTTCTTTAACTAAATCAGACTTACAGTCTTCGAATCGGATTTCCAACTACGCCATTAAAAATAATTAAACATTGTAGCAGCATATTTAGACTTAACATATTTAAAAACAAAAAACTATGTATTTTACACAGCTTATCATCAGGGCAATGGAGTCAGAGTCATGGAATCGGAATCGGAGTTAAGCAGATTTTGGGGTAAAAGGAGTCGGATTTGGAGTCGCTAAAAACAGGTCGACTCCGACTCCAGTTTTTGTTGGACAGTTTGAATTTGAAATGAAATTAAAGTGAATTTTTTAAAAAATTAATGGCACACTGAGTTATTATTTTTATTTATGGACTATATGCATTAATAAATAGTTATTTTCTATTTTATTGACATATTAATACATAAATATAAGAGAGGAGGATGCATGTGATATTTGCCATTACTGATTAAACCGATTCATTTAGTTACAAATCTCACTGGTAAATTCAGGTAAACAGCAATAGCAGCAAGAACTCTCAAAACTGATGCCATTCTTAAGAAGCGAGCATGAAAAGGAGCAATTATTGATCAAACAAAGAGATGGGGGAAGAACATATTTGATGATACAGAGGTTGCTAGAATTAGGAACGTTTTTAGAAAATGTAGATAAACCTAATGTTTCACTAACTGAAAGAGACTGCGGAATGATCTTCCAGAATTGGAAACTCTTCTTTCTGCATCTAGCCACAAAAAAAGCTACAATGTGAAGAATTAACAGGAGGCAAGAATGGAAGAATATGATGTTTGTTCTTTCTGAAATGGAGGATTTATTGCAGAAGGAATTATTTCTTCAATGAAGAGAACAGAATCTAGTTTGCTAGACAATGAAATATTGCTGGGTTCAATATATGCAGATCCAAAACACCAAATTTTGTTAGATGACAAACAAATTAAGAAGGGCAAAGAAAGCCATCCATGAACTTTCAATAAGAATGAAATTATTTTGAGAACAATTGGAGTATCCAAATCAAGACAGTCAAACAGCAGACATCACAACTGAGTCTCTATTATCCTCTTCCAGTGATGAATTAGATTTTGAGAAATATTTTTGCATACTATTGAAAAGGCTAAGGTAAAGCAAATGAAAATAAAGAACCAAGAGCCTTTAGTTATAAAAATGAAAAAAATACAAACATAATTTCTACATGGTCTTTGAAGAAATAGAGATATATGGTTGCTCTTGCAAGACACCACTTTTAGAACTTATAAAAAATCTATCTTGAAAAGTTAAAAGAAGTAGCTCTAACAGTAACAGCTCTTCCTCAAGTCAGTGTGGAAAAACTCTTCTCAGCTATGAAATTTATCAAATCGGATCTATAGTCCTCCAACAAACAAGATCTTTCTGAAGCCATACTGTTTCTTAGAAATAACTAATGCCAGTTTTTCCATAATAAATGCTAATTAATATAAATAATTTGCTATGCCATCAATGTTTTTATGTAGCATCTATTACTTCTTTTATATTAAAAAAATAAGCTGTAACCCATGTGTATATGTTTATATATTTATATAGCTTGAAGTTAGAGTCAGTATTCCTTAAAATTCTGGAAGTCGCAGTCAGTCATTTTCCCTTCTCCACAGCCCTACTTATCATACCTTTACATGATGACTGCTTCACGAAAAAACTTAACTATTGAGAAAATTATAAAAGTATACACATACAGCAAAAGACAGCTCGTGTACTTTTAGATGCACATTTAAAAAACAGACAAACTCTTCTGTAAAATTTCAAGCACAAAATAGACACAGCACTTTCAAGAGCATTTCACTTTGAAATTTTTAACTGAACGCAAAGCATATTTAAACATATTCAATACTATCACTGCCTACAGCAATGCAACACTATTTTCTAGAATTACATACATATGTTAAATGTATAAAAATGGTAATAAGTACCTCTCTTCTTAATTTATCAGCTTTTCTCATATCTTGTCGAAATGTATCAATCTTTTGCAAAGCATTTTCGAGTTCTTCTTCTTTATCTCGCAACTGCCTTGATAATTTCTGTTTTAGAGCACGAACTTCAGAAAGCCTAATAGAAAATAAATAAAAAATGAAGTAAGAAAAATAACACAGAATATTCTGCAAAATATTTGAAGAAAATATAAAGATAATTAATAATTTAGAATGGTCAATGGTAAATTTATCACTTTCAATGCTTCATTATTTTGACTTAGTTTAAAATACAATTACACACAAAGTATTAGGTAAAGATGAGACATCTCATATATGAGGGTCAGAATTTTAATGTTGGCAATTACTTAATTTAATATAGATACAAAATAGTTATGTGCTTCAGAATTTTACCATTCTTCAATGTAATTCTTAGCACTGTATATAACTGCCAGCAGTATGAAAGTCAAAGGACACTAGTTCAGTGCTAAATTTTTTGCCTCACTGCAACTTAAATTCTAAAATGTCTGTGACTGCTAAAAATGCCATAGGGTGTAACTGCACAGCAATGGCTCTGATGCTAGGCCTGCTGCTGGCCTTGCCTCTTCTATTCAGTTCAAATGAAGCAGTCTACAGCCAGAAAAATCTCTGGAATAATTCTAAAGTGATTGCTCTAAACCTTTCTAATCATTCTTATAAATCAATCTGAAATAACAAAAAACTGGGAAGTATAACACTTTATAAAGCTATTGCCAACCCCAGCATTTAAGAAAAACAGCAACAGTTTGCATTGCAAGCACCCAATTAACAGCTTTCATAACGGTGATTGTATGGTACAGAAAGCATCCTCTTATATTGTTTCTCAAAGCTGACCACAGACTGTGTTCCAGAAATGGCTGACAGTACTGCAAATTGATGGCCTAAAGCAGGAGTTAAACCCTTAGACAACCTGAAAAAAATGACATAAAATTCCCTATACAAAATTCACTTCATGTCAAATATAATGATCAACTCCTGATAGCTGTCTAACAGCAAAAGCTGAAGTTGACGAACATTAGCCTGCAAATGGTCAAAACATCAGATCTTAAATAGAAGAGCATTCTTTGGTTGGTCAGAATATCACTAAAATATCTCTCTATATATTACTGAAATATAACTTTCAATAATATATATACACATTCATAACGTGTGTGTAAGTGCATATATATTATGTGTGCATATACAGGATATATATATATAAAACAATACAAATTTTCAAAAAACAAAAATATCTAAATATTATTTCCATGCAATATGCTGATGAAAAAGAAGCATTATAACTTTTTTATTGCCGAGGTTATGATGAAATTTCAGTACCCATAGTGTTCAATGACTCAATAGTTAATGACCTTCCATTCCGAGCCATTTCATTCTACTCTTAGCCTTAGTCTAATTAATGACTTTTGTCAGACAAGCCTCTCTCCATACAGTCTCGCCATCTGAGTTTCAGTCTCCCTCTCTTTCAAGTGCCTATTGGCTTGTACATGAATATTTTTTTTGGGGGGGGGTAGTTGTATTTTCGAGTATTCTGATTAGGTGACCAGCTCATCTGAAACTCTGGGTACTGATAAAATTTAGGGTGTCTGGCTATCAGTATGTCTTGTAGATTTCTGCATTGGTTTCTCTTTTCCATCTATCTGAATGCCTCCAACAATGCTTATCAAACTCTCTCTGAAAAACTGGAAGTATTTCTTTTTAAATGCTTGTGATCTTCTATCCTCTTCAGTCAATGTTCTTCCAGCACCATGCGCCGAAATAGGTGCAATTAAACATTATCAGTTTGTCAAAATTGTCAGTTTAGTTGTTCTTTTGACAAAGTTTGATTTCAGACCCTTCTTTAGACCAAAGGAATATTGGTTAGCAATTGTTACAAATTTCAGGAGAGATGTTATTCTCTATATCAATTACAGAGCAAAAATATAAGAAACATTCAACATTTTAAAATTCATATTCATCAATTTCTAAAAATGATTAAATTTTGATTTAGTACATGGCATACATTTAAGTGATTAGCATGTGCAACTGCACCACAAGTCCGGAGTTTGACCCCCAAGCTGAGTAAGGCTGACTCACACTTTCATACCTTAATGGATCGATAAAATGAGTACCAAGTTCGCTTTGGAACTAAACAACAGGGTCCTACAATAAGCTGACTACATGCCCAAGGCATATGCTGATGCACTCTGGGGTCCATGGTCAAGAAAGAGGATTTCAGGGCACTGCAGGCCATGGCCCACTAGGGCTGTTGTGCCACTGAGTTGAGGTTTATATATACATATATCTTGCTACGGTTCAAGGAAATAACACAAATTACTCAGAAGTCCTCAGAGGCAAAACTGTCATACTGTACAATTAATTTAAATCCAACTTTGTTTTTTCTCTTCAAAAACATCATGATTGTACTACAGACTAGAAATGCATGACTGTATGACTACTGGGGCTGTACTAAGCAGAAATTTGGAAAGGTAAAATTTTAGAAACACTGGGTGACAGAATTTAACAGCAGCAGATATTGAACTGGATAGCAAAAAATGCAGTGTCAGCTCTGCATTAAATTAAATATAATTATATAACAATAAAATAACATTTTCTTTAATAATAAATAAAGCAACTGTTGACACCAGAGGTGCTATCTGTGAAAAATATGTAATATTTGTGTTCTAAAATAATGACGCTAATGTTCGTTTATAGCGACACCTTGCGGCCACTTGTATTGAGTTTGAGTGTGTTCTGAGAGGCTGCCGAGAGATGTGAACAAACTATGCCGCCTTTTGAATAATTAATAAACTTTAGTATACACTCTCCCCCCCCTTTTTTTTGAGTTCTTTTGTAAAGTGAGTTATTTAATTATGAGTTTTACTGAGCTATTCACGGGCCCATTGTTGCTCCGTCAAACCGGAGTTCGAATGTATGTCAAAGTCGGAATACAAGTGTCATGGAAGGAAAACTTGTGGATTACTCTTAAATAGAAGGTATGTGGCCTTAATTGTAATAACTGTGTAATTGAAAAAGAAGATTCAAAATGTTTAAAAATGCAAAAAAAGAGAAGATTATCAGCGTATTCCTGCAGAGCTGAATTTAGACATTTCAGAAGCGAAAACTATATCAGATTTAACTGATATAATTAAAAACAGTGAAAGTTATAAGAAGGATCCTGTATTAGTTGAAGGTACAGCTAATAATATTATCGAAGAAAGGAAAAGTGACGAGAGCCGATTGCTCGAACTTGAGAAATTGAAAACAGAACAAGCGAAATCGAAACTAGAACTCGCGAAGTTGCGAGCAGAATCAAAGAGTGAAAACCCCATAGAATATGAGAAAAGAAAAAATGTAGAATCTCTTGACTCTCTTATTAAAAGTATACGCACATTAACAACTAAAATTCTAATTAGACCGGAAGGTTGGGGTTATTTCTTTTATTAGAAAGGGCATTCATTTCTAAAAGTGTTCCAGAGAAATTTAAATCGGGATTCTTCTAAATTTGTTGGGAGAAAAAGCAACAAATGTTATTACATACATTAAAGATGACGAATTAGGAGATTATTCGAAGGTTAAAGAAATAGTGCTAAGAGAATTCGAACCATCCCCTCAAATTTGTTTAGAAAATTTTAGAAACACAAAATGAATGACGAATGAAACTTACGTGTAGTTCGCATCGAGATTAACTACGAGTTGGGATTATTATTTGAAGCTGAGAAAGGTAAATGACTTTGAAACATTAAAACAATTAATGGTTTCTGATAAAATATGTCAGACACTTGATAAAGAGGTTATGTGTTTTATAAATGTAAGGCAAGGAAATGCTTGGTTTAAACCTGAAGAATTGGCGAAGATAGATTTATATTATGCATCAAAGGGAAACCTGCAGTGGATAATTCTAGGTTAAGTAATAAAAAAAGTTATTATAAAAATATGTCTAACTGATGTAAAAAATTCTAAATGTATTTTATCATGCAATGAAATTCATCCTTTGTACAAATGCTCTGTTCATAAAAACATGACAGTTAGCGATAGAGTTGGGCTAGTGAAATCGAAACATTTTTGTTTCGACTGTTTAGGAAATCATAAGGTGATTAATTGCAGCAATAAATTCTCTTGTAAAAAGAAATATCACATGACTCTTCATTTCCCTCACGAACAAAAAATAAACAAAGACATAGTTGCGCAGGTGGTGAGTCATGAAAAATAAAAATATTCCTTAGAATTCGAACGCTTCTGCTCCATCATTTGAACCTCTGCAAGCTAAAACAAGTACTGATCAAAATTTATTATCAACAACGTGCAATCTCGCGAATGAATTAAAAGCTGTCTTACTCAGCACTTTTGTTTGTTTAATTAAAGATGCATCGGGTAACTTTTTTAAAGTTAGAGGTTTGTTAGATGTTGATGTCAATTCAAATTTTATGAGCAAAAGGTTAGCAGATTTGCTTCAATTAAAGGGACAAAAGACTAACATTTCTGTTTCAGGAATAAATAATTCATCTTTGAATATAAAACCCAGAGTTAATGCAACTATTTTAACTAAAGACAAGAGTTTTGATAAGTTTTTTGGTGGTTCCTAAAATAATAGAATATATGCCTTCTAGGCCTCTTGAAATTAATGTTTCATCTTTAGATAACATCAATTTAGCATATGACAAATTTTTTTAACCAAGCACAATTGAATTTCTGATAGGTGCAGAACATCTTTACAAATGGCGGGCACTTGCCTATAACGGCATTGGCCACTACTAAGGCCAGAAGTGGTGACCGTTTTATTGCGGAGGCACCTAACAGGTGGCCACCGTTACCTCCTATGAAGGGACAGTTTTACATCCATGCCTTCTCCGGGATTCGAACCCGGGCCCTTTGGTATCACAGTCAGGCACCCCTAACCACTATACCGTCTGGGCGGCTTAGGTGCAGAACATTTCTATGAGCTTTTAAAACCAGGTCAAATTTCCCTTCAGGATTCAAATTTAAGATTACAAAACAGTGTTTTCGGCTATGTTGTAAGTGGGACTCTTCCTGCTAAATAGGAAAGTAAATTACATTGTGGGCTTATTACAGATAATATGGAGTTAGAAAAAGCAGTAAGAGAGTTTTGGAAAATCGAAAACGTTGAAAGAGAGTCTGAGATTTCTAAGAGTAAAGAAGCAGAAATTTGTGAACAGCATTTTCTCAAAAACTATTCTAGGACTGAAACCGGAAAATATGTAGTCAAGATACCGTTTAAGAAAGATCCAATGTGTTCAGGGGATTTGAAACAAATCACGTTTAAGAAGTTGAACTCGTTGTGAACTCGTTTAAGTAAGGATGAAAATTACTTATTATTGTACTTCGATTTTCTACACGACTGAAGTGAAAGATGAAGATGAGCAAAAGGGGAATATTATATTCCACACCTTGGGATTTATCGCCCTGAGAAAAGTTCGACACCTTTGAGAGTAGTGTTCAATGCTTTGACTGCAACGTCAAAAGGTAATTCGCTGAATTCAATTCAGTATAATGGTGGTGTAATTCAAGAGGACTTGCTTTCAATTACAGTACGTTTTCGAAAACATATTTATGCTTTTGCAGTGGATATCAGAAAGATGTACCGAATGATATCGATTCATCCTACTCAATAGCAGCTACAAAGAATTTTGTGGAAAGAGTCAATTAATGGTCCAGTTAAAACTTTTGAGTTGAACACGGTCACCTATGGCACAGTAAGTGCATCTTTTTTAGCCATAAGAACATTACGTCAGCTTGCTATAAATGAGTTCACGAATTTTCCATTAGCAGCTGCTTCTACAGCGTGATTTTTACATGGATAATGTGCTAACAGGGTCCAGTTCATTGAGTTTGGCAAAAGACCTACAGCAAGAATTAATTGGGATTTTAAAAAGTGCAACTATGACTCTGCACAAATGGTGTAGAAACAATCCGGAGCTTGCAGTTAACGTTGATGATGAATACAGCCCAAATGAAGTGTCAGCCCTTGGTGTTTCCTGGACAGCAGATAAAGATTGTTTTAATTTTAAAGTGAAACTAGGAAATGAGTGTAAAATTACTAAACGGCAAGTTTTGTCAACAATAGCAAAAATCTTTGACCCACTTGGTTTATTGGGTCCCGTGATAGCTAAAGCTAAAATATTTCTTCAGAGACTATGGGTTTTGAAGCTCAATTAGGACTGCCAAAGAATGGCAACTCAGGTAGCCAAAGAATGGCTACCTGATAAAGAAGCCAAAGAATGGCAACGGTTTTTCTCTGAACTGCCACATGTATATAAATTGGAAATTCTTGTCGCAGAAGCAATTATTATTGAGTTACACGGATTTTGTGATGCTTCTGAGTTAGCTTATGGAGCTGTAGTTTATTGTAAATCCGTCTCCCACTATGGTGAAGTGGTGATAAGGCTGGTAACAAGTAAATCAAAAGTTTCTCCTATAAAGCAAGTTACTATACCATAGTCTTGGCTTGGCTGAAAAAGGAACCCTGTTGTATGAAAACGTTTGTTGCTAATCGAGTTGCGATGGTTGAAGAAATGACGGAGGCATCACGTCCCATCTAAACAGAACCCTGTGGATCTCATATCAAGAGGTGCTGATCCAGTCAAACTTCAACTGTGTGAACTGTGGTGGTGTGGTCCTTTATTTCTTCTTCAACCTGTGATGACTAAGTGCCAAGATGATATCCCTGAGGAGTCCGAAGAACTATATTTTCGCGAATTAAAAAGACCAGTAGTAAGTGAAATATGTGCACTTATTAACACTTCTGAGCCATTAGATGTCATCAATAATTGTTCATCTTACAACAAATTGCTAAGAGTAGTGGCTTGGTGCAAGAGATTCTTGCATAAAACCAGGCATCCATTGCATGCTACATGTGGAACATTGACAACCAGTGAACTTTCTTGTGCGTTACTGTGTATTGTGAAAAACGTTCAAAGGACTTCATTTGTGACAGAAATCCAGTGCTTAGAAAAGGGTGCTTTTAATTCTAATAGTAGTAAACTGTTGAATTTGTGTCCATTTTTAGATCATGATGGAGTACTCAGAGTGGGTGGTAGATTGAAACTGAAATTGGCAGTGACTTAAATGAAATGAGAAAACATGCTATGATTCTGCCAACTAAACATAATTTTACTGTAATTGTGATTAATCATTTTCATGTTCTTTATTTTCATGCAGGTACTGAAACAACCCTATCACTTATAAGGAGTAAATTTTTGATTGTTTCTGCAAGAAACGTAATTAGAAAAATTATATTTAACTGTATGATTTGTAAAAAGGTAAATTCTAGGTCAATGCAGCAACAGATGGTTGATTTACCAGCTGCCAAAGTGACCATATCAAGAGCTTTTGCTAGAATAGGACTCGAGTTCTGTGGTCCATTTGTGGTAAAAAAATGTTGTAGGTAGAAGTAAACAGGTAAGAAAGTATTTGTATGTATTTTTGTATGTTTCACTATGAAAGCCTTGTACTTTGAGATTGTAAATGATTTAACAAGTGCAGCATTTATAGAAGCCCTTAAACGCTTTATTGCCAGGGAAGGTAAACCCTCATATATTTTCAGTGATAATGGCAGAAATTTTGTGGGTGCTCACAGAGAATTAAGAGCGATTCTAAAATCTTTATTTAAGGATAAAAGTGAGGAAATCAAAGGTTATTTGGCTACTGAAGGCATAAATTGGCATTTTAATCCTCCCTCTACTCCTCACTTCGGAGGTTTATGGGAAGCTAGCGTGAAAACCCTTAAATATCACTTGAAACGTGTGGTGGGAAAAACAATTCTAACTTATGAAGAATTTTTTACTCTAATTGTTCAAATTGAATCTGTATTTAATTCTCGCCCTCTTTGTTCCATATCAAATGATCCAAATGATGTAGAGGCACACCTGCTCACTTTCTTATTGGTTCATCTTTAATTGCATTGCCGGAACATAATTTTACAGAGATTCTTATAAATCAGATAACTAGATTGCAAATGGTTCAAAAATTAAATCAAAATTTTTAGAAAAAATGGTCGTCTGAATTTTTAAACAAACTTTTAAATAGACTTAAATGATATAAAGGAAAAGTAGAAATGAAGGAAGGAGATTCAGTTTTACCAAAAGATTTGGATAACTACTTTCCTTTAAAATGGCATTTAGCACGAATTATTTAAAACACATCCAGGTCAAGATAATATTATATGAGTTGTGACACTTAAAGATAAAAATGGAACCTATAGAAGGCCAATGACAAAAATTGTACCTTTGCCTTTTGTTAATGAAAAAGTTTCAGTTACTTAAATTTTATTTGTAGTTAATTATCAAGTTTGAATCTGTATAATTGTATAACTGTCATTGTTATCTTGCAGTGTTGTGTTTGCATTTTATAACTTGTGTTCTAAATTTATTGTTGAGTGTAACATTCAAGGCCAAGCTGGATGTTGACGCCAGAGGCGCCATCTGTGAAAAATATGTAATATTTGTGTTCTAAAATGATGATGCTGATGTTTGCTTATAGTGCCACCTTGCGGCCACTTGTATTGAGTTTGAGTGTGTTCTGAGACGCCGCCAAGAGATGTGAACAAACTATGCGGCTTTTTGAGTAACTAAGAAATTTTATTATACAGTCCCCCCCCTAGTTCTTGTGTAAAGTGAGTTATTTAATTATGAGTTTTACTGAGCTATTAACGGGCCCATTGTTGGTCCGTCGAGCCGGAGTTCGAATGTATGTCAAAATCGGAAGATAAGTGTCATGGAAGGAAAACTTGTGGATTACTCTTAAATAGAAGGTATGTGGCCTTAATTGTAATAACTGTGTAATTGAAAAAGTATATTCAAAATGTTTAAAATGTTAAAATGTTAGCAACACTAAAATAATTATCAAATATCAATTTTGTTAAAAATAATTTAGATTTACATTCATATATTTCTTCTGGAAAGCAACTAAAATTAATATCATTGCAAATAATGGAAAATGTTCATTAAGTTTACAATCCTTTTGACCCCCCCCCCCAAAAATAACTAAATAATTTTTAAAATTTTCTAAACTAAAATGTTTATATAATAGTAATATATATAAATACATACTTATCACTTATTTCTGTATACTCAGCCATAGCGGATTTCCTTTGTAGTAATGCATCTTTTAATTCTTTTGATTGTAATTTTAGCTTTTCTTGGCATTCAATAACTTCCTGAGAAGGAATAAAAAATATAAGCACATATAATAGAACTTTGATAACCTGAACTTCGATAAATAAAAATTTTTGATAAAATAAATTTATAATTCAAATAACTTCTCTTCAATAAGATTTGATTATTTGTTACTTTTTATTATAGATCTAACACATATCAAATATTATAATAGTCAAATTCTACATGAAATAATATTGAAATTGATAAGCAGCATTTTCACAACAATCAAGTAATCTTACTTCTAATATTTTTTAAAGTGAAGTGTAGGGTAAAGATCCGTAATAGTGCTCAAAAGGATAATCATGGTCATTTCAGCTATGGTACAACAAACAAACATAAATCTGATTAGACAATGACGATAAGCACTCGAAAGCACATGCAGTGTTTATCACAGCAACAACAGCGGACTTGCTTGACTCAAATACAGAGCAATCAAGTAATGGCACTCAAATGCAAAGCATTATCTTCCATATAAGCATTGTAATCACTTCTGTCAGAAGAAATTAATCATATTTAATCAAAAGTATTTAGCCCTTCATTAATTTTTTAGTTCAAATCAAACTATAAATAATTATGATTAAGCAATAATTGAAAGGATGTTGCTGTGCCCTGCAGTACATACCCTCCAGGGTCATAAAAGTCAGATTCAATGCAAGTTGCCACTATGGGATATGACTTGGAAAGATACCAGTGTTCAACCAAGCTTAAGAAAAAAAGCACATTTTACTTTTATCTAAGTAAAATTTTAGTGTAGCAGGCTCAGAAATAGGGCAGATTAACACAATTTCACTAAGCACAATGGGAACAAAAACAATTTCTTCAAAGAATCTAAAATGGCAACCAAAGATTGGTTCAAATCTAGCTCTTCTACAACATTATTGAAAGTATTATGAACAAAATAAGTTTCTCATCTCAGTCACCCAGAATTTATATAGGTATAAGAATATCATAAATACAGGCCGCAGATCAAACACAATTTCAGTGCCCAAAAGAATGAAGCAGGTAAGATCTATAGGTAGTGAGGAGAAAAGAAGAAATATTAGCCTTTATTCTGCTGTTAGTGCTTCAGGACACTACAATCTTTTAACATTTATTTTTCCTCACTTAAGAAAAACATCATTTCTTGAACTAGGATGATCTTCTGCTCCAATATATATTTGTTAGAAGGACAGATGAATGAAAAAGATGCATTTTCCAACTAGCCAACACTTCACCAAAAAACCTAATTTAAAAAAAAACTAACAATCATAGCAACCATGTATCTCTCTGGCGAAGTACATGTGCTGTCAATTCCCCTTCATATTTCACATCACCTTCAGCCTTTGGTCTTGTCTTTTATCACACCATTGAAAAAAGTTTTTCATGCGGAAAATAATAGTTTCATGAAAACAAATGAGTTAATAAAACAATATATTTTGCTAAATTATTTAATAAATTCTTCAGCAGAGTTATCACAGTAGTGAAAGCCAAAATGGTTTTAAGGCTTCAGACATTTGGCCTTTTAACGCAAACTATTGTGAAGATGATTATATGGCAACAAAAAATTCTTGATCGATCAATGACAATCAGGTTCCAATTAACATTAATGCTACTGAATTTCCTGCTGAGGCTGATCAACAATATCACACATCACTAGTCCTAATAATAATTCTAATCTTAGTATTTCAGCTGGAGAATCATTTGCTAGAATATCCCCTACACCAGGTTCTTCCAAATTGGTAAGCCTCAAAACAAAAAACAACAAAAAAAAAAAAAAAAAAAAGAAAGAAAGAAAGAAAGAAAGAAAGAAAATAAAGGTCCACCAAAACACAAGTCTGTAATCTTTACAGGAATATTCATCAAAGTTATTCTCAAATAGCAGGAGGAACAATGTCTGCCCAAGGACCAAAATAACTCTTTTTAAGGGCAACTGCATTGAATTTATTAGATTATGGCAAAGCATGCTAGGGCTATGTATTCAAAGGGAAGGATGAAGAACTTCTAGGCCATTTCTAAAGGAACTAAGAGACTTCCCAACAAAATTGTATTCATGTTACAAATGAGAAAGACCATGAAAATACCCATGCAACTAACCCATTCACTTCGATTTGAACCCAGATTAAACTACTAGTGTCCAACGGTTTTACTAGTCAGCCATTAGTGTGTGCCCTTCTTTGAAAAAACTTACGAACTTACGAAAACTGCAAATAAATAATACTACCAGGAAAACCAAAAGGAAAAATGAAGATTTAAAAAACCTTATTTTGTGACACATGAGGAGCCCAAAAGTTAAAGCAAAGGCCATGTCCAAATGAGGAGGAGTTGAAGAAAGACAGATGAAGGAAGCCTTAACAAAAGCTTGTTATGATGATAATGAAATATATGAAGGTTTTATTAATGAAATTGACTGCACGTGTAATTTTTGGAAATGAGATCAAACTATGATTCAAATATAAATCCTGTTCTAAATGGAGCCTTAAAGACTGCTGTGGAGGGAATAAACTAGAAAACTATATCTATGCATGTTGCTAATCACAAAATAACCCAATTATTTGTGATATAAATTGTTTGATTATTTCCCAAAAAGCAGCAGAATTATTCTACATGTTTAAAGATATTCACTATAATATTTTACCTTTATTTTTAAGTATTGCTCTGGTTTTTATATAAACAAAAATTACATATAAATAAAGTGTCATTTATGAGAGTAGCAGATTTTTTCTTAAAACAATTTTCTTTATTTTTTTATTATTTCTGGGTGTTATTATTCAATTTTTTAAGTATCTAAAAAATTATCTCCCTCCATAATATACAAAATGTAAAGCAAAAAGGAAGCCTCTAAATCAGGGCTTAACATCCTTCTTTTTTTCTTGGGAAGGGGGGGGACATAAGCCCCTTTTTAAAAGAATAGTTTTATCATCACCTCCTTCCATTTTTCTCTAATATTTAGCATACATAATTATAATACAAATAACTGGGCATAGATATTTTAAAAATAACAAATTGATTAAGAATATGAACAAAAGTTTTGAAAAAAATGGCTTATGTTTTACTATTTTTTGTACTAGCAGTATTTTTAATTTAATTAAAAAAAAAAAAAAAAAAAAAAAACATAAACAAGATATAAAATCGTAGATTCTAACTGCTCAAAAGTTTAGCTTTAATGAATGTGATGGCTGTGCTTAATGTATTGATGCAATGTTTTATATATTTAGCATAAAACTGCTAAACGTAATTCTTAAAATCATCTCATTCAGAAATATTCAACCTGTTTCTTATCTTCTATAGTAAGTTATTAACTTGACTAAAGCCTGCTTCCACTAGGAAAGAAAAGTCAATAACGTTGATTCAGTAACAACTTTAATTTAGGGATATTTTTCTTTCAAAAATGAATTACTTTCAAAATTCCAAAAGTTTGTGTACCCATGTGTTTTGAATACAAACTTGATTTATTTTTTGTGATAAAGCTCTGTATCAATAAACAATAATTATCATTAATTAACACATTTTTTATAATGAATGGGGTTCTGATTATGATGATCAATTGCCAATGCACCTTCGCCCATCGACTCCTTGATCATAATAGTACCCTTTAAAATTTCATCGAACCTTTTGGGAATCATTGCTCTAAATGAAGGAAATTTTAATTAAGATAGATCTATATTCCTCAATAATATACACATAATTAATATTTATGTTTTGAGTTACAAATTAATTACATTATTTTTAGTAGCAAAAAATATTAATACTCCACAATTTTATCTGAAAGAGTCATTAAAGCATTTAAATTTTCCCCCAAACATTTAAATAAGACTCTTAACTCAAGACTCAAAAGTAACAAGACTTTAAGAGGAAATGGAGATATGCAAGATATTTAAAAAAATAATAATAAATATACAAATAAATAAAGGGGCTGCAAGTTTGGGGGTTAAAATCATTTACAGTTCATTGCAGTGTCATATACTAGTGTATACATTAATCCAGGATTTCTTAAACTGTGGGTCGTGACACCACTGCAGCAGAAGGTCACCAAAAATTTTAACAGTTTTGATATTTCTTTAACTTAATTTTTATACAATGTATCGGAAAACAGATAAATATAAGACAATACAGACAAAGAAAAAACAAAAACATTTTGCCACATTCTTTTTATAGTATAAACGTTCATTTTCCTTGCTTTGCACATGGCGCTTTCATTTCGTCTGTTACTTATTTAAACTTTTCACATTGTTCTGTGCCTTAAAATTAGAAATTAAAGTTAATGACCTAAAAATGCGACAGTATATTACAATACAAGTAAAAAAATTTACAGTTTCACTCATGCGTGTGTCGGATTTGCACAGTACTTATGGGGTTTCACAAATTTTCGTAAACGTTATGGGGTCCTGGGGGTCGCGAAAAAATCTCTGTGATAAAAAGGATTTGTGACTGAAAAAGTTTAAGAAACCATGCATTAATCTAATATATACATTTTCACATTATAAAGCAAATCTAAACTTTTTATAAAGATAATGAGCATAAATACAAGCATAATATACTAAAATTAGCCACATGAGTATTTTCAATTAGCAGTTTACTTTGTGTAAGTCATCCTTTTCAGCCTTTATAACTTTCAGATTTTTCTCTAATTCTTTAATACGTGATAACTTCTCATCTTGTATAGATTCTAAATCTTGTTTTGCAGTCAAAATTCTACGATGATCAGTACGATGCTTTTGCAGTTCCTTTTCTAATTCTAAATAAAATATAGTACCATAAGAACTTTAGCAATGCTCTTATCATTGATGTTAGCAAATTACAAAAAACACATAGTCAGTGATATACTAATAAAAGCTAATAACTTACCTAATGCCTTTTTCCTAAGAGTGTTTACTTCATCTTGGAGTTTTCTAACTTCAACTTCAGATGGACTCTTTATGCTTAGACCATCCTCGTCTATGCTTTTTTGTACCGTATTTGACATTTCTTTACAAGAGGAATAATCATATGTCAATTACCTTTTAATATCCATAATAATTAACTAAACAAGCAAAAAGAAATATTCATCAAGCTTCTGTTTATTTCTTTTACAGCTTCAGTACTGGATTAGATTATACGATTATGCAACATGTACTAACAGATAAACATCCTATGTGAAGGGATCCTTTCTGGAGGACTTCTGAATAAAATTAGGCCTATATTTACATCACACACAAAGCAAATCAAATTCATGCAGCCAACCCACTCAGCTAATTGCCAATAATAGTTTATAACTTTTTGCAGTTTTACAGAATAAATATGCATATGTCAAATGACATCTGATGCTGCCCAGATGGTAGAGTGCTTAGGGGAGCCTAGGTTCCAAAATTAATTGCACAATAATATTAAAATATTCTAAACAATATTATTTCTCCTTTCCTTAAACTGAGGTGCCATGCATGAAATAAAACTGAGTATCTGCAAAAAATTTATCTATGAAAATAAAAGACACATATCAATAAACATCTAATTCTTATTATGGGTATTAAGTTTTATATATATATAAAATTAATCCAAAAGTAATTAAATTACAATCAGTAAGAGAAAATAAAAAAACTTTATCATATGAACTTCAACCAGAAACCATAATTTTTATAAATTTGTCTTTGATTCTTCAAAATGAAATTTAGAAAAAAAAAAAAAAAAAAAATGTATTAACAGAAAATCTCTCCAAGAATACATTCAACAAAATCTCGCATTCATTTTTATAATTTTAATGAAACTTTTAAAAGTGCAAAGCAAATGCTGCATGCTTTTAACATGCACGAGACCTACCAGACATTTATCATGAAGGACGAAATTTCACTCCTACTGCTTGCATATTTTAACTAAATTATTCTTTGAGTAATTTTTTCATTCAGTTATTTGATTTATTTTTCCTGCTTAAATGTGGCAAAGCTCCTAAAATCTGGAGGAAATATATAAACATTTAAATTCCATATAAAGAGAAATTCACTACTTGCAAATATTAAACAATAAAAAAGAATCTTTTAATCTTCCAAGATTGCAAACCAATTCTGCCACAATTTAATAAAAGATGATTTATAAGAAACTGGTTTTCTATGTAATTACTTTTATATCATACTATCATCATATTCACTTTATCATTATATTTTAAGCTACAAAAGTAACAAAATTTTTATTTTAAAATATGCAGGGTCTGTGGAAAATGATGCTCTTTTGTAAGTACATGAATATGATTGGTTTTCCATAACGATATTTTCATGTCATAATTTTAAGCTACAAGAGAACCGAAATTCCATTTCACAATACACAGGGTCCGTCAAAAATAATGCTCTTCTGTAAGTTATACAGCCAGACATGATGGAGAACATTTTGACATTTTCCCTAAAACTCATATGATGTGTTTCATTATTACATGTTTATGAATTTCTGTAAAAATTCTGTAAGTCTTCTCCTGTAAATAAAAATGTTATGTAAATTACCACCTCACCAAAAAGTTCACTAACTTTACCAAACCCTGTTATATTTTTACAATTATCCGTTAAAAAAGGGGGAAGGTACTTAAATATGTTCACAGTTTTACAGAATCACTTATTTTGGGTGATTATAAAATGAAAACTATTAGCAATTGTTCCATTACATAATGTATAAAACAATACTATACTGCTTCATGCATTATAAAATAAAATTTTTTCCACAGCAAATGAAAATTTCCCAATCCTACATTATTCATTGAAAATTGTGGTGATTTTTGTCTATTATTTATCTTTCTTGTTTATTAAAGCATAAAATTGACATTCTTGTTCAATTTTCCTCTTCCCCCCCCCATGGAGAAGGCACACAATAACAACCATAAGGCCTTAAAAAGCAGCATAATAAGATGCATAAAATTTTTTCTAAATATATCTCTTCCATGTTTTTAATGTGGCATAATTCCTTTTTACCTCACTTACATTACATATTTAGTCCCATTACTTTTATAAAACAGTTGTATTATGTGCTGTTACTACCTACTAAATTATATGAATAAAATTTAAATATTTTTAGACAAGCAATCATAAAAATTTTAACAACTCTTCTCACCTTTTACTATTTTTACAAGGTCACTTTTTTCCTTCTCTAAATCCTCCACTTTCTTTTCTAAATATGAGTTCGGAACACCATCGATAATATCACAGACAGCATTAGCAAATTTGTAGAAACCTAAATCTGATATTTTACTGCAAAACAAAATTGCATATTTCATTACAAAATACATAAAATGAGCATATTATAAAAATATAAATAAGCATAAATAATCAGAAATAAAGTAATCAGAAAGAAGTTTACCTTCCACTAGTATATGTAAAACCTATAAAAGGTAGATGTAGTCCTGAAAACACAGAATTGGTTGTTGGTGGCACAGATTCCTACAAAAGATATGCTATAAGCATGTTTGCATCATCATCCAATAAGTCAGTGGAATTTATTTATGCAGTACACAAAAAGCATCTTTGTAAAAGAGAAAGGCTACAAGGTTTTAATTTCTCAAATGCTCATCCAAGATATTTACTTCAAAAATTTCCTAAAATATGGTTTAACACTGCTTGTAGAACAGTTCAGTAATTAAAAAACTTATTTGCAATATCTTTATGCAGCAATAAATGCAATTAATAAAATATCGATAATGTTTAATGAGTTAAGTATAAAAACTTGAACAGATAAGTTAGTAACAGCATTCAATTTCTTTATCTCCTGATCTTAAGAACTGGAATCATTCTATCATAAATCAATGACACCCCAGCAACAACCCTGTATGTTTTTCCACCCTTTCCCCCTCATAAAACAGTTGCTTTTTATTTTTTTATTTAAGATGAGAATTCTGTTCAAAACCCAAACTATGAATAGCTTCCATTCTTCCAGACTATGTTTATATCACTAAATTTCAAATGATAAGTCAGCATCACTGCAATATGGAAAATCATACATTTTTTGAAAAATGAAAGTTTTAAATTAATTTGCTGTGCATTGCTTGCAAAAAACTGTGCACTTTTATATTTTTCTAAATGAAACCATCCATTTAACATCGATAGCAATACTTCAGATTGCTTGTCTTGTGAAGATTCATTTTATTTAGCTAACAGTTAATTTTTTTAAATTTAACTAACAATCATTAAAATATTTTCCTATAACAAAACCACTAACAATAAAAGTATATAAAAAATTTTTATGTCATAAAAATGCAGCAAAAAAGCCAAAAAGCTAAATGCACTGCATGAAGTCAAGTCAAATTGGAAGGAGTGATTTCATGTTTTTAGACGGAAGGAGAGTAATCTGACAACACTTTTGTAATTTAGAATATATAATACATTCTTTGCTTCATTGTAACCATTGTATACTTACAGACTGTTTTAAATCACTCTCATCTACATCAAAATTTGAAGTATCTGTTGGGCTACTGACTTCAGGAATGTATGGGGCAGCAACTACACACAAAAAGTAATTATCAATGACAAGAATAAAGAAGAAAATTCACAGAAAATGACAAACACATTCAATGATAATTACACATTAAAATCACATTTGATGAAACAAAATTCGGTTTTTCTAAACTTGTGTGAATACTGTCAAATAATTTTAAAGATGGTCTCAAACAAAAGAAAATGCTTGAAATATCAATTCTAATAGTTTTCACAAAAATAAATCTAATGATTAATCCAGATCAATTTATGAACATTCTAAAGAATATCTGAAATAGAAACACTTTTTTTTTAACACACATTTCACTTTAGGTTTCACCAGAAATTTAAATGCTTATTTTTATTTTTTTACACAATTATTAAATCAATGTTATTTCCAGCTTTCCAATTCTCATCAATTTATTACACACATTCTTTTACTTTATTTCCAATACATTTATATACTTCAATACTGTTTGTTTAAATTCCTTCTGAAACAATTCACTTTTATTACAATTAACATGTGATATATACAGTACAAAGTACGAGATCCAGAGGTCCAATATCCGGAATGATATAAAATTCAGACCTTAAAGCCACCAACAAAATTTTTTTATAATTTTTTTTTATGCTTTACAATTATTTCCAATACATTTATATACTTCAATACTGTTTGTTTAAATTCATTTTGAAACAATTCACTTCTATTATAATTAACATGTGATATATACAGTAAACAGTACAAGATCCAAAGGTCCAATACCCGAAATGATCTAAAGTACAGACCTTAAAACCACCAACAAATTTTTCTTAGAAAATTTTTTTAATGCTTTACGCATGCACATTTGATTCCCCCCCCCCCCGTAAGAAAGCATGTGGAGAATCCAGATTCTTAATTTCACTTTGGTACTGAATACAATACCTCATTATGGAAGAAACAATCATTTTAACATTAATTTGTGTGATCAATAATTTAGCTCTGTAGCTGCGTATCTGTTTCCAATTAATTGGTTTTGTAAAGAAATGTGGAGAAGCAGTAATAAATATGTAACAGAAGTTTTTCATTGTGATGGCAATGTTCTAATCGTCAATCAATAAACGGACGGCGAAATCTGTAGTATGGTTCTAGATCCAGAAAATACCGTTATCAATAGTGAGGAAAGTGATGAGAGGTTATTGAAAATGAAAAAATTTTGATTGACAAGTTAGTTGGAATCCTTGACACAGCAACTACAGGACTTGAATAGTGGAACTTTGTAACTGAACAAGAAATTATGTCTGCCTACAGAATTGAAGAGAAAGTATAAGCACAAAAAATGAAGCAACTTAAACAATTTACATTCAAAGAAATGTTTAATAAAAAGTAAACATAATTTTTTTTTTTTTTTTTTTTTTTTTTTTTTTTTTTTTAATGTGTGTGTGTTGTGTGTGTGTGTAAATTTTGATATATTTTAGATCACAGATACTTCATTATTTCGTAAATCACGATTTCATATTTATAATTTTATAATTTCTGCATGCCATCTCACTAGATTTAAACTGATCTAATATCCAGAAAAATCCCAAATCTGGAATCACCAAGGTTCTGACGAGTTCAGATCTTGGACTTTGTACTGTATTTCATTTGTGGATGAAATAGGAATTTTTTATCTTAATCTTCACCAACAACTAATTCACAAAAGTATTACTATTTATTGAAGCAATTATTTTACTGTAAAGTAATTTTAGGGTTGAAAATTTTAAATAAAATAAAGTGAATAAACAAATATTTTACACTGATGTGAAGTAATAAAATTATGTTTTTAAAACAAATTTTTATTTTTTAGGAATTATACAATTAAATTTAAAAATAAAAAATATGCATATTTTTGCTTAAAATAATACAAATAAAAAGTTTCATATTTTATAATTCACACTGAGCAAAGGAAATCTCAATATTTACAAAAGCAAAAAATACTTTGTTTACTCTTATTATAAAATCTAGTAAATTACAAAATCTATTCAAGAATTATCAAAATGTAATTTTAAAGATGAACTAGCAAACTAGATATATTCTGACACCCTGTTACCAACACATATATAATGCAAATAGATACAAACTATGAAAGCCTGAAATAATTATGGAAACAACTAATAATAATTATGGAAATAATTATGATAATAACTAATATCAAATTCTGATATACTTAGGAAAATACAGAGAAATTAATTTAAGAATAACAGTTTTATTAAAACCAAATTTAACTATACTGTATAGAATTAATGTAAAACCAAAAATATCAAATTTTACAGGAAGGAGGAAAAATAAGCTTCATCAAATCAATTTTAGTTAACAAACACAATTATTACTCACTATTTCTAGCATTTTCCCAATCTACATCACTAAACCATGGATGACTTTTAAAATCCTCAAGGCCGTTCTGTCCTAATCTACACTCAGAAGAGCATATTAACTTTCTCATCAAGTCTTTGGCATCTTCAGAAACACTAATTGTAGGATCATCAGGAAAGTCGAAACAATTCTGCAAACATGAATTAAATATATTTGATTACACCCTGAATAAAAAAGTATATACATATATATTTCTTTACGTATTTTTATTTGACCCACCCAAAAATTCATAAAAATACACACATTTTAACATATTCTATTCCATAGCAAAAATTTATTACATTACATTAATAAACATACCTTATGGTTCATAATTTTGCCATATGTTTCAACTAATGATTCAGCATAAAATGGAGTTTCTCCAAACAACATTTCATACATGCATACACCCAATGACCACCAATCACATTCAGGTCCATACTTTCCTTGCCCATCTTCCATAGCCTGAAAATAAAAATGGAAAATTTCATGTACAAATTAAATAATTTAGATAGATATAAATTCAAAAATAACATCTTAATTAAAAAAAAAGATATTACACATTACCCGCAATATTTCTGGAGATATATAATCTGGAGTACCTACGGCTACATTTGATTGTACCTGGGGGGGGGGGAATCAAAATAATTAGCAATGCGATGCATCACTATAAAATAAAATGCAAAAGATTTCAATTGGCAAAAAATAAACTAATAAAATAAATGGGCTTACAGAACCATCTTCCAAGAGTTTTAAGCACGACCCAAAATCAGCTAATCGAATATGGCCAGATGCATCTAAAAGGACATTGTCGGGCTTGATATCCCGATGCACATAACCCAATTTATGAATGGAATGAATAGCTAAGATCATTTCTACAATATAAAACTTAGCCATGTCTTCTGGTAATCTGTCCTCAAATTTAACCAAAAGTGTCAAAAGGTCTCCACCACAATAGTAGTCCATTAGAAAATACTGTAAATTAAATAAATTATTGTTAAAATATTGAAACAAAACTATAAAATAAATGCATTACACACATTTGCTCACAGATCAATATTTTTTTTTAAAAAAAAGGACTGCTTTTATAGATCCCAATTATTATTATCTCACAACAATATAAAATAGTTCTCAGCTTTTTTCTCATATCTTTAATAATTATGTCCCTTTCACAAATTTTAAACATGAAATATTGATATATTCTCCTAAAGAAGATCACATTCCATGTTTTTTGATAATTTTCTGCAATTAAATTCATAATTTTCATTGAATTGGATGATCATTTATATAGTTACTAAGCTTTTATGTATTTCTACAGATTATACATTAAAAAAAATGAATCTGATGTTTTCTAATACTTAATGCAATGTTACGCATTAAAAATACTTTTATTAATCACAATAATATACCAAATGCTCATAACTATCGATCGGGTTTTAAATAAGTAAGTGTAACTTTAAATTGTGTCAAACAAATGTATTGAAAAATAATACAAATTTAAATTACTAAGTGTGCTTATTTCTTTCTTTATGATCACTCAGTTTGTTATATAATACAGTTATAATTTCAAAATTAAATTAAAATCTTATGTCGTGTTAAATGATAACACTCTGGAAACTATTTGGCAAGCCCCATGGAAAATATCCTAAATCTCAGTCAATGGAAAAAACCTACCATGTCACATGGATGATAAATGGCATGATAGTATTAACAGCCCCCAAAAAATGCTGAGATTCCATTAGAACACAAAACTATAAAAAAATGCATGGATAAAATACAACTATAATGGAATATGCTTGTATTTTATTTTTATAAGAATCATTTTCACAGAATTTACTAAATATCAGACACTTTTGATAGTGTAGCAAAATGATGTGGCAAATTCTAAGTACAATCAATTACAACCATTTTCTTTGGTTAAAGACACCGGTTTAAAAAAATAATGCTAACTCATTTGGAGATAAGTCAATCAGTATATATTTGAATATGTTGTCAAATAAGAATTCCTAGAATAATATTATTAAAGAAAATATTCCTAGAATAAGAAGTAAAACTGCAGTATGCAAATTAGGTGGCATCGCAATCAAAATAGTTCATCTAGGGGGAGCATGTTTCACAGCAAGCCTGCAATGGGATAGCCAATTTGTTACAATGACTTCCAGGCATCATTTCCCCAAAGAACTGTGATGGAAAGTTACTGGGACACTAGTAGTAGGACAAAGTCAGAGAGAAGTGGCCAGATGGCTAAATAAGAGTCCCTCTGTGGTTCATAGACTTTGGCAATAATTTCTAACCACAAATTCGGCATTCAGGAGGTTCAGCGAAGGATGGCCAGCAGCTACAATGAGCAGTGATGACTTATATTTGTTTATAAGCGCATGAAGGAATAAAACCTCAACTCAGATCCTCTTATTCTGCACTCACTGGAATGTTGGTGTCATTGTCAACCATGCATAAAAGGCTTCACAAAGGAGGTCTATATATGAGGCAGCCAGCCATTTGTGTGTAGCTCACATCATGTCATAGAAGGGAACGTTTCAGGTGGTCACATCAACATGTCCACTGGACAGCTGATCAATGGAGGGCTGTTCTCTTTACAGATAAGGCTAGTTTTAGCCTCCAAAGTGATGGTAGGCATTATATGATTTGGAGAGAATCTAGAACCCGTTACCATCCATCAAACATCTGTGAAAGAGATACATACAGAAAAGGCAGCGTCTGTATTTGGGATGGTATCTCTTCGGGTGATGGAGGTCTGAGCATCCATGTTACCTTTACTATGGAGATCTGTGCATTCATAGTTTCACTCTTTCCACATGGAGGTGTGGTGTATTTAATTATGGCAAAGCACGCTAGGGCTATCTGCCTAAGGGGAGGGATGCCTTCGTGGAGGACTTTCTAAGGGAAACTGGCTCGTATACACATTACACATGGGGAGAACCACGAAAACGCCCATGCAGCCAGCCTGTTCGCGGGATTCGAACCTCGGACCGAACTACCAGTGTTCAGCGACTTTACCGCTTGGCCGCTGGTGGGCGCCTTTCCACATGGAACCATGATTGCTCAGGCCTATAGAAATGGCATCCTTGATACTTATGTGTGCCCTTATGTCAGAGCAAAAGGTGATAATTTCCTGCTGTACGATGACAAAGCTAGACCGCACAGGGCTTACATTGTGGATGATTATCTTCAGCAGCAAGCAATTCAACACATGGAGTGGCCAGCTCGATCTGAATCCTATTGAACATGTTTAGGATGCTTTAGGAAGACATATAGCTGCTTTCAATCCTTCTCTTCAGACCCTTGGTATGCTTGCTGCAACAGCAATGGCTCTCTTTTCCTATGGAACTGATAGACTGTATAATTGACAAACATCACTGAATACGTTGTATTGCTTCTATGAGAGCTAATACTCTAAATAGAAGGTAATTTCCCTGTACCAAATTGAAACATCACATTTGTTCATTTATACATTATTCTAATTTCTATAACACCATAATTGTCTGGGAATTTCTTTTCATATTATTTTATACCTTACTATGTTGTATACTGTAAGTCAGTTTCATTAAATTCTACATATGACTTTTTGAATAATCTTCACTGTGATTTTTCTTTAATTAATGATAACCAGTGCATATATATATATATCTTTCATTTACCAAATATCTACAAGAGTTACTTGTTTAATATTGCAGCACACCACCATCCTAAACAACAGTACTTATATGAAATCATTTGCAACCTTTCATGTTGTAGAAGATTTGGAACATCAATTATTCAGTGTTTTTAATTTCAACTTTTACAATAGCTTTACGAACCAAATCAGCAATTAATGCAAAACTTAATGAATTGCTGAAAAAGTATCTTACTTAAATGAGTATAATGAGTTTATATGAAAATCTTCAACATTCAAAGCAAATGAAGCAACCAAAATGTGAAGCTGCATACTTATCAAACGAGAAAAATAAACTATGAGAAGTATTATCATGCACTAACAAATAAGAACAATAAGAAGTATCATTTAATCAGACAGATTAAATTAAGCTTTCTGATGCATGAAATGCCTGAAGAAGTTCTTTATTGTTTCAATACAACAATGCTTTTGACTGAAGTCTCCAGTTTCACTTTAAAAACATGCAACTTAAAAAATTTAACTAAGTAGTTCAAAGCCAAAACTTCATTTCTACTAAACATCTTTTGGATAAAACTGCAGCATCAGCATACCAGAAATATTCAATCAATCATCATTCATTGACCATTCACTGTGCAACCGGAAGAATGGAAATAAATCCCACCAAAAGTTTAGCAGAGCCTGGTGTTAACATATCCTGATGCACAGCATCAGAATAAAAGCAAAAAGAAGACTAACATCTTATTAAAAAACCACCTGTAGCCTTACTCTACATAGAATCTCCAAAGGGAAAAAAATACTTTTCTCTTAAAGACCCCATAGTATGTACTGTGCAACAAATTATTTTTATTCTTACTAAATTGATAATTTAATAAACAGATCATTTAAAAAATTTATTGCTTAGTAAATATTAAAATATGACCAATACTTTGCATAGAATGTGACAGCTCTACACAAATTAAATAGAAACATTTTTAGAAACTATTTTCTAATACAGTAAATAATAATTAGAATGTTAACTTCTGGAAATCATATTTAATTACTCACTAAATTATTGTCATCTTGAAAAGCAAAATGAAGATTAGTAATCCACCTTTTATCTCCATACACTAAAACATCCCTTTCTTCTTGGAAGCATGCAGTCTGTAAGTAAAATATATATTTATCTAAATAGTTAACAAATAAGCAGCTAAGATGTCATATACGGCCCGGGATATATGTGGTAACCAAATGTGGCAATATTTTGTGTTGGATGGTTTAGTTAAGATTTTGTTTGTATGGCAACCCTTTTTACATGGAAACTTTTGTGAGGAATGTGGTTTTATTTTGTCATGGTGGTTTTTGGGTTACATGTTGAATAATGGCATATAGTTCCATGAAGAAAGTTGGGAGAAGAGATATCAGCCATGTGTTTTAGAGTGTATTCAAGCTAGATTTAGTTCAAGAAGATATGTTGCTGAAGTTATTAATGAAGCATTTGTTCACAGTTGTCTGCATGCTGACAGAAGATGGGGATACAGAATTTTTTAAGACAAAATCAACATATGAGAAGTGTGTTCTGATATGATGATTCGGAAGAAACATTTTGTTTCTAATAGATTTATGTGAATTTGCAGAAAAATTGTTGAGGGTAAAGAATGTGGTTCTCTACAAAATTTGAGGTTTGGATCCTGGTTTCCCTGCGTTAAGTTGACTTTAGAGGAAATTTTTATTGTAACACTTGAAACTTTGAATCATAGAAAGATGTCTGATATAGCTAAGTCATAGCATTTTGATTCACATGCTTTGTGTAATTAGCATTTAGTTTTATTAATGAAAGTATATTGGATTATATATGTGATATGTCTGACCTTGTAAGTTTTTGTTTGAAATGAATATTTTGTCTTTTTGGGAACTATTTTGAATGGTAAGTAAATTTGCTTTTTTATTGTTTTAATTTTGTAGGGAGTTATTTTAATTGTTGCATTGCTTTAATTTTTATGTTGTTATTTTTTTTTTTTTTTTTTTAATTTTTGAATTTATTTGTGTTAAAATTTTATTTTAATTTAAATGGCTCTAGTGTAGAAATGGGTGCCCCTTCGATTGGCGACCAATTTTGTTCAATTTTGGTGATGAAACCTCATTTCTGGTTGCCATGATAGTTTTAACTTGATTTTAGCTTTCTTATTTTGTTTTTAAGTGAAAATAGATCGATGTATACGCGGACAAAGTCAAGGCAGTGTGCAATGGGCCGAGTTTGTACAATTCTCTGATGTTTTTTAAGTGAAAATAGATCAATGTATACATGGACACTGAATTTGTGCAATTTTTTGACTTCTTATTTTGGTTTTTGTGTAGCAGCCATCTTGAAATATTGCCTTCCTGGCACCGATCTTAAGAGTCAAAATAGAGTCAAGAAAAAAGGGACAGCCAATTTTACAGTTTAAATTTGTCGTCAAACATTTTTGGTGAGAAACTTCATGCTTTCACTTATCTAAACTTGTTGTTTTTTATTTAGGACTTCTAGTGTAAACCATGTGCAAAAACTGAGGTTTTTTTCAGACATTTTAGGCTTTAAGTCTGACATGTAAACAAAAAATTTAGATAAGTAAAATTGTTGAGTTTCTTGCCAAAAATGTTTGGTAAGAAATTTTTTGCCAACCCGATCCATATATGACAGCTGTTCCAAATAAACTACAAACAATAAGCAAGCTTAAAAATAGAAATAAGTTATTTTTAAAATATAAATGTTCAATCTTTACCAAAGAAGTTTAACATAATTAACTACCTCAGCTCTTTTTAACATTTCCCATTTATTAAGGATTTTCATTGCATAAACTTTCCCTGTTGTTTTATGCTTCACTACTGCAACCTGTGAAAATATAAAAGAACAATAGTTTTAAAAATAGGTATCTAATGCACAATTCTGAATAATAAATATTTATTTAAATTTCTAAAATTAGATACTCTTAATGTTTTTAATTACAATACTCAATTTCAAAATTTTAATCATTCTTGTATAAATATTTCAAACAATTGACTTAAAATGTTATAATGAATGCACCAAATATACTACAATCAGAACACATATTGGGATCAGTGTTCAAAAAGACACTGACAAGAAAAAGTTCATATTTGATAAGATAATAATTCAAAAAACATCAAAAAGTCACTTAGCATCAAAAAAGAAGTATTTTGCACAAGCAATATGGAATGATACCTACATATTATACAGGGCCAGCACCAGTGCATGTGCAAATGGTACAAACGCACCAGGTGGCAAAATTTTGAGATTTTTGGAAGGAACTAAGCAGCAGAATTTTAGATTTGCAGAGTTTGCACAAGGCAGCAAAAAGTTTAGTGCCAATCCTGATAATATATATATGCAAGTTGAATTTACGAAGAAGTTACATAGCAATTCATTCCTAAACTGGAAATAAAAGGTGATATAAATTTTTCCATGCATATAACATTAAAAATGGAATGTTAAACGAAGCATTTATTCATGGGGTAGAAAATTTTTAAATATGTTTTAATAAGAATAGAATTAAAATTTAAAGCACCTGTGGATGATACAAACATTACCAATACTCACAAACACATATATTTTTTTTTTCCTCCTTATCATTTCACAAAGCAAATGAGAATAACATAATTAATTAACACAATATAAAAAAACTGAATAATTAAAAATACTTCTTGTAAATTGTACGCATATTTAATTAGAAATTTCCATTTTATTACTCAAGCAGAAATATCACTCAGTCTACAAATATATTATTGAAGCCAATATTTAAAATCAAAAATAACTGCAAAGAAAATTAGAATCTATGAACCATATATACCTATAGATAGTTATGATATATATTTATGAGGATTTGGGGGTTCTGATTTCTAGAAGGAAATGAAGAGGGGGGAAATAATAAATTATAGAAAGAAACAATAAATATGATATGATAACATAAGAAGTCATTCAAAAAATATTTAAATATTTAGACATTATTTATAAATTTAAAATGTAAAGATTTATAGGTGGCATACTTTGCAAGATTAAGTTCTGAATTAGATAATCTCCTTTTATAATAATGGTTTCTCATTTGCCTGTATGTTTACTTTTTCAATGAAAACGGCTTCAAGAGTTTTTGTACCTAAATTTGGCTGAAATACAATCTGATTTGGCAGAGGAGGGAGGGGGGAATAATAAAAAAATTCTTTCACAGGTTGCATTTGAATGAGGTATTTTTTTGCTATGGCAGCATTCGGGAACACTGCCTATAAAACCCGCTTGAAACAGTCCAAAACTGAAACCAGAAAGTTGTCTTCAATTAAAAATTAAATTAAATTACATTTAGTGTTTGAGTAATACCAGCTACAGTGAAACTCTGTTTACGTTTTTTTTTTTTTTTTTTTTTTTTTTTTTTTTTTTTTTTTAATAAGCTTTATCATTTTTGCAAACATGCTAAAATGCTTCTAAATTTTGTAAATATCTGCAATAAAAGTGTTTTTTCATATTAAATCCATAGTTATCTTCAAATCTTTAAAAATTCAGCTTTTATAACATCTGTTTCATTGTTCATTAAGAAATTCAATATCTATTTTGGTTTTATAGCACTATTTTCCTTATGAATTAGAGAAAATACATACTGTTCACATCTTCTATGCCATGTGCAACTGTTGTTGTGTCTTTATTGCATACAGTGCAAAATGCATGATTTACAGAAACTTCAGATGCTTTAATGCACAGAAGTTCTGTTATCCCGCACATTTTCTTATCCTTGGTGTATTTCACACAGAAATTTTGCTTCATTCTAATGATTTGTGACAGTAATTTTTGCATAGTTTCATAACAACTAAACTTTTGTTTCAGGGGGCAAGATCCAGTTAATCAGAAGCTGACTTTACTAAAAGAAAGTATGCAATGTAACTTACTTCACCAAAAGCTCCTCTGCCAATAACTTTTAAAACTTCAAAATCATCTCGGCTAAGTCGTAAACTTTTAATATGTTCCACCACAGGTTTTACTGGAAAAAAAAAAAAAAAAGAGAAAAAATTAAAATAAACATTAAAAAATTTCAAATTGTTAAAATTCGCACATTATTAGCATTTAAAAAGGCATACAGTATAAGTACCAAAAAAATTTTTTGAAGTCAAAAGGTTAGATTGTGTTGTTACGATATAGCTAAGCATACAAGGGGTACCTGTATATGCGTAGGGAGGTTGCCTTTGTGAAGGACTAAAAGAAACTGACACGAGGAAAACCACGAAAACCCATCATACAACCAAGCCTGTTTGCCTGGGTTCAAACCCCAGGTCAAACTATCAACCTATGGCACTCTTGATGACACGATCACTGGCGGTGCATTACATTTTAAAAATATATATAACATACCTAAAGAGTAATGTTCATTTTATACAAATGAAACATTTTTTAAAGTTTTATTTGTTAGTAATAATGATACGCTGTTATGAAAATATTTATTCTGGAAATTAATGTTTAAGGCGTCAAAAAATTTCCGCACTTACTTTCATTTTGTAATTATTATTCATTACTTTTCATTTTTCTTTGAGATATTTAATTAAAATTTTCAGATCAATGTATTTTAATTCGCATAATAATAAAAAGAACTACTTGCATACATATTTAGCCTTTAAGCACCTTCAAGTTTTTCAATACTTCAATGCCATTTGTTTGCCAGTTTGTTTCGCGTTTTTCTCATTTGTTTGCCATTTGTTTGCCAGTTTGTTCTATTTTTTCAAGATATTTACTAAAAAAATTTACACATAAGTGTGTAAAGTCATTAGGATTTTTTAGATGTGCTCAATGAGCAATGCCCTCGTACAGGACTCGAACTGGACCTCTCGAATATGCACCACGTGCGCTACCGTTACACCACAAAGGCATGCAGAAATGAGGGAGAAAATACTTTATATACTAATTAGAGGACCCAATCGCCAAATCCTGGTGGTGAAGAATCATCGTCTGCCACCTTTTTAGTTGGAGTGCCACTGCAGAGTCACTAGATTATTTTGATGCCTGAGACATGAAAAATGAGCAATGCCCTCACAAGGACTCGAGCCTGGACCTCTCGAATACATGACGAGTGTGCTAACCATTAGGCTTTGTATCGCCGGTTTACTATAAACCAGAGCTCTTCTGGCATGTGAAAGTATTCTGTGAGCCGTTAGACTAATCTACTAAACCTTGAAATTATTACTTGTTACGTTATTCTGTTAAGGCAAATTATTACTTGTTACGTTATTCTGTTAAGGCAGAGGTACTTGGCTTCTTGTAACTCAAATTGGGTCATTAATTTTTTGTTTGAATAATAGAGTCTACATCATTTTTCTGATTTTTGTTTTGTTTAAGATGGCTAAACGATAAATCTTTAATAATTCTTTTGTCTAATTTGTATGTTCCCAAAGAGACAGAATTTTTAAGTGGAATTTCATTGTAAAAATCCATCTTTGCTCAAATATCAACTGGATTTCTAAAACACTTTTAGCAAACCATAAGTCTAATTAATCAGACAGAAATATAAATTCCGAAAAATGTTCATATAAACACACAATAACATGAACTTTTCTTATCTAGATTATTATATGGTAGACTATAGCCTTGCCAAATGTGACTTTACAGAACGTAATTTCTCATATATATGTTATCTTAATTGTTTCACTTTAATTTGTTCAATGTCAGAATTTCATTCATATGCAATTCAATGTTCATTCATGAATAGTTGTTTGCTGACATCAGATCTGGCCAGAGGTTATCAACAATTTTAAAGGATTTATATCAACTGAAAATTAGCCCAAAGAAATCGTACAAACTGCAAATGTAATAGGGATTTTCAAATATAAGAAGGGAAGCTAGAGATTTAATCAAAAAATGACAAAAGAGCTGATCTTATAATACCAGCTAATGGTGAAAGCAGTAATAATGAAGAAGATAATGCTCCTTTAACTTACAAGAAATTAAATGAATTGTTAAAATGATCCAGAAATCACTGAATTTGCAAAGCAGATTGATCTAAATGAAGAATAAAAAGGACATATTATAAGACGCATTAAAAAAAACTTTGCACTCTTTAACCACAAAACTTTTGAAGAGTTGTGTCAGTCACTGCCACAAACAAAAATCACTAGCTTTTTTTAAAAAAAATAATAACTACCATGTACTCATTAAGCAATAAAAAAAATATTTTTAATTAGCATTTGTTTCATTTTAATTATCACAATATTTAGGTTTGTTAAATTTGCACATATTATTTTCATCTGAATTATACTAACATATTTTTTCATAAAAGATAAATTTGTCGAACATAATTCATGAATGGAAAATTCATGCAAATTAAGCTTTTTTAGTACAGTTAAAAATCGTTAATCTGGACTCGTCGGGACTTCGGCGATTCCGGATTATCGATTTTTCCGGATAATAGATCATCAGTTTAAATCTGGTAAGATTGCATGCAAAAATTATAAAATTAAAAATATGAAACCGTAATTTATGAAATAAAGAACAATTATGATCTAAAGGGTATCAAAATTTAAAAAAAAAAAAAAAAAAAAAAAAAAAAAAAAAAAAAAAAAAAAAAAGCTTAATATTTATTTGCTTACTTTATTAAACATTTCTTTCAATGTAAGTTGTTTAAGTTGCTTCGTTTTATGTCATAATACTTTCTCTTTAATTCTATAAACAGACATAATTTCTTGTTCAGTTACAAAGTTCTGCTGTTCAAATCCTACAATTGCTGTGTTGAGAATACTGACTAATTTGTCAATCGAAATTATTTCGTTTTCAATAACCTCTGTGACACTTTCTTCACTATCGGAAACGAATTATAATGACGAGGAATTTGATTTAAATCATATCAAAGATGGAGTACATCGAGATGAAATATTACATTTTTAAAGAATTATAAGCCAAATAAAATAAAAACATCTGCCCTGAAGATAAGGATAGTGCTGACAGATCAACTTCCAATTCACTGCGCGCCACGGCGTAATCTGATAAGTATTAAAAAATTTATTTCCTCACATTTCATAACAAAACAGTGCCAATATTTAACATATTTCATTATTAAAATAAAAGGTGCTCTAATTTGAAATGGACCGAATAGAGCATTAATTAAAAATTGACTCAGATTTTCAGTTTAAAAGATGCCTCAGGTGCTAAAAAGTCATGTCATATTTGAGAAAGTATTTTAAGAAGCTCTATATACAGAAAAGAAATAATGCGTAATTTTAATTTTAATAATACAATAAACTTTGATCTTAATTTTTGTAATCCTTAACCGAATAAATTTGAATTATTTAAAATTTTTTTCCCAATGAAATTAACAAAAACCTGTGAAAATTTTTCATTCAAATTAAATAAGCAAACTGTTCCATGAAAAGTATAGCATTTAATTCTATTGAGAATGAAATGCTTAAAAATGTATTCTTTTCACATACTTAGGATACTGAAATATTCTTGGATAAAATATACACATTTATATGTATATTTACAACGTAATTACACAATGTTTACCACTGATCGTGTCAAAACCCATTGACCTTAATGGTAAGTCACCAAATGTTTTAGTACTCACGAAGTGCTTCAAAGCAGTATATGAGGAAAACTGGTTAGAGCCTCTCCTCTCACTTTCTACCTTTATGAGCATTCCCTCATCCAAATCACTTCCAATTTCTCCTCCCCTTCAATAGCACGGCATGGAGGTAGGAAATAACCTACCTCCATGGAGCTGGGTATATCACTACGACAGCACCAGCTTATTCCCTAGTTCTTGAATTCAACCGTAATGTAGGATTATACCATGCTTGTTTAATTCATTTATTATAACTACCTGCTTACATAAAGAATTTTTTACGACCTTATGAAATAATGCAGGATTATACCATGTTTGTTTAATTCATTTATTAGCAATTTAAGCATTATATTATAAGGTAGTTCTCCCGCCTCCTTGGCATGCCTTCGTTGTGTGCGGTGGAGTAGCGAGCATAACTGGCACCCAGGGCAAAATACTTTTTTAGGAGCCCCCCTTCCCCAAAGAAAAAACATAGTGATATGATGCAAATCTTGTTTGGAAACCATTTGGCGCCCCTCTGCGAGAAACGCCTGGGCTTCATACCCCCTTGCCCCCGCCCACTACGCCACTGGTGGTGTGGTGGTCTGCATGCTAGGTGCGTATTCCAGAGGTCTGTGGTTCAAGTCCTGTCAAAGGTATTGCTATTTTTTCAATCTCTCTTGCCTGTTTCCAAATTACCTAACGTCTCTACAGTGGCCCCCGAACTAAAAGGGTGTTGGATGATGATTCTCCACACCCACGATTTGGCAACTAGGTCCTCTAAAAACCCCAGTCACTCTTTAAAAAGGGAAGTATATACGATATTTATCCCGCCTTCTTGGCATGCCTTCATGATGTGGCTTCATGTTTTGCACGCTGGATGCGTATTCCAGAGATCCGTGGTTTGATTCCCGGCAAAGGCATTGCTATTTTTTCAATCTCTCTTGCATGCTTTCGAATTATCTAATGTCTCTACAATATAATTAATGATGATATTTTGGAAATATCAATGATAAAACTTCCTGCTGAGGCTGAAGTTCTGTTTCTGATGGACTTCCTATGAAACAACAGTTTTTCAATTCAGTTCCATATAATTTTCAATACAACAGAACAATTTCAATTTTAAGGCAACTGATTGTTACAGCATTATTAATCACATGTCTCACAAATCACGATTTGAATTTATTATGTAACAATGTATTTATAATATTTGTTTTCAATAGAGACTTAAAAGGAAAATACTTTTACATCAATTACAAGAAATGCTGAGGTAACCTATGGGTAGCTTACAATCGCAGTTTTGGCAATCTTTATTCTATATATTACTTATCATAGCCTGAACAGAAAAAGCGTTGTTATACATATTTCAGGGATCTTGGATCTAGGCTCTTAGGCAGTGTCCAGGCCTTTCAACCATACCAGAATTTATCTGTAACTGGAGAATGCTCTTGGCATGT